ATCTGAATAACGCCATCTAGTGAAATATTACATATCTAAAATTCGTTCTGTGATGTCCATACAAATAATTGTAGTTCGAAGTGAAAAGCCCCTGGTTGTAACGCTCGGAGCGTGCGCGACCCAGGCGCAGTTCGTACGCGCGAGGCGTCCAAACCATGAGCATTTGTTACAGGCTATGTTACCTTGCATGATACATTGCAGCAATGTGGACGTCAAATTCTTGCATTGCAGCAATCTGTACCCACCTTAGGGACTTGATTCTTGTATACGACAATATTTAACACCTGAATGACGTTTAAGGTTCATGTTATTTTAAGTGGAAATTTCGAAATTTTGCTACACTTATTGATGTTATGTGATCCCAGCGTTCTTGTTACTACATAAACTGGCATTTTACTTTCGATTAACACCAAATTTTAATTAAACATTCAGTACGTACAGCTCATACACAACTGTTAAGTTAATAAGCTAAGGCTATTGCTGCGGCATGATTGAGAGAAGTATGTGTTTATTTATTTATTTATTTAATTAATTGCACATGTACAGTGTATACAGGATCTTAAAATTATTTTGGCATGGTACATGACCCTGTCAGGGTGTTGCAAGTACAATAACTATATCACCACAACTACTAAACAGTTTCAATATCAAACAAGTTAGTGAGCTTTCCGTGACAGTTTCACTTATCATTCATAAATTCATTTACCGAATAGTATGCTTTCTTGATTAGATGTTGTTTGAGTTTCATTTTAAATGTATTTATGTTGCTCTCTCTTTTAATTTCTATCGGAATTTTATTATATATTTGAATTGAACGGTATAGAGGACTTTTTTTGAACATTTCTAGTTTTGGCACTGGTAATACTAAATCAAATTTATATCGCGGATTTTTATTGAATGTAAAATATGTTGGTTGTTTGCGAACAAACAATGCTATTTCCATTATATACAGTGAAGGAAGGGTTATCAATTTCTCTTTAATGAAATGTGGTTTACAACTTACTTGCTGTCTGATATTGACGATAATACGGAGACACTTTTTTTGAAGGATAAAAAGGGCGTGAACGTCCGTACTATGCCCCCATAATATTATTCCATAGCGCAACCATGCGTATGTATATGCGTAGTAAGCAGACAAGGCGCATTTTGCATTCGTATTGGCCTTAAGAACGCTAAGCGCGAAAATAAATTGTGAAACCTTTTTCTTTATTTTATCTATATGAGGTTTCCAGTTCAGATGTGAGTCGATGGTTATGCCTAACAATTGAACATCGGTTACTTCTTTAATATTTTGGGAAATCCTAACCTTGTTTAAATCAAGTGGTTGCTTTTGGTATGGATGAAATTGAATGAGTTTAGTTTTATTTTTGTTTACTTCTAAATTATGCAAGTTGAGCCATTTTTGTAATGTTGCCAGTGTGGAATCTATAATTGGATTACAGTTAAAGTTTTTGGGACATTTGAAAAGGACTGAGACATCATCAGCAAAAAGAATACATTCTGTGTTCGTTGTTTTTGCTAAGTCGTCAATATATATCAGGAACAAAACACAACCCAAAACACTACCCTGGGGGATTGAGTGATTCAAGGTTACTGTTTCTGATTTAATAAATTTAGTTTCCCCGGTTTCATTATCTACATTTTCAATTTGAACGAATTGTTGTCTATTATGCAAATATGAACGAAACCAATTATGGGCATCTCCACGTATACCAACTCCATGCAGCTTTGACAGCAACATTTCGTGATCAACTCTGTCATAGGCTTTGGACATATCCAATCCAAGAGCAACCCCACCGCGTGACATTTCTCCCTAATATGGTTTAAGATCTTCTGTGTGTAATTGTATGTAGCGAGGATGGTGGAATGATTTTCGCGAAAACCATATTGATGTTTATCCAATATTTTGTATTTTTCTAAGAAAGAGCAAATTCGATTAGACATGGGTTTTTCAAATAATTTGGATAACGTAGGAAGCAATGCCATTGGCCTATATTGGTTTGGATTGTCAGGTTTGCCGCCCTTTTTTAAAATGGGCTTGATTTTTGCAAGTTTTAGTCGATCTGGGAAGACGCCTTGTTTATATGATTGATTAACTAGTGTAGTAATTATAGGTGTTAATTCATAACTTTATTTACATACTGCCCTACCTCTCACTTCGCTTCAGAGTTTCGGCAATGGCAGACGTCGAAGTAATGACAGCGGCCGCGCTGTGTTTTTTGCAATCCATAATTATGTTCGAAATTTAAATAATTAATATGAATTTATTAATATTTAATTAATTAATAATTTTTAATTACACATCTTTCTCCACCAAGCGCGTGGCGCGAACTAAGCGACGCGCAGAGTGTGAACATGCATTGCCACTCGCGCTGCCATGCCGGTCCTTTGACTTCCGCACAAAAAACCGCTCTTTTGGGGAGCGCCGCCGGGCAGCGCGAGTGGCAATGGCATATATCAACTTTACAGAATAAAGTTTATTTTTATGTATATATTACACACCTTCCGGTTCGTCTAGCAGGTACTTGTGCTCATCGTAAACGTCTGGCAATTTTTTTTTGAAGTTAAAAATGAATAAACTACATTGTATAAAAATTTCAAGCTTACAGCAACAAGTTTTTTTTTAATATTTTTTGACACTTTAAAAAATATACGGCTTGATGACGTGAAGGGCTGAGGAGTGCCAGACGATGCTTACCGTACTAAGCATGCTATGGCTCATCACCATAAGAATTTCTAGCCTTACAGACATACCGTTACTCGGAGGGTTCAGTAGCTCTTGGGCTATTATGGGTAACAGAGCGGGTCTTTCCGCGAGTGTACCATCGAGCTGGTCTGATGATGGGACTGGAAGGTGGCTGATGGAACCTTGGATTGCCTACTAGTAAACATATCGAGTCTGGGCTCCTTAGATTCGTCTTAACATATTCTATTCATTTTTCTTGATGACTGAAACTTTCCTAGCCTTAAGCTGCAAGGCAACGCCATCTCTTCGTATTGTAGGCAACCCACAATTTTTTCTAGTAAACTTTTCTTTAGATTTAAACATCTAGCAGTTAAATGCTTAAAAATAAATTTTAAAACACGCTTTTATTTACTGCACTAAAAAGCCAAAAATAAACAAAATATACTTCCTGTTTACTTCATTAGGGCCTTAGAGTTAGCCATGTTTATAGTTTATTTTTGGCTTTTTAGTGCGGTAAATAAAAGCGTGTTTTTAGTTTTTTTAAACTATTAATTTTCTTAATCCAACAGGAACTTAACATTTTCCCAGGATAAAATGTATCCTGTGTCTCAATCCAGCTCAATGTGTATATGCGTACCAAGCTTTTTTTTTGTTTATTATTTATTTACTTACAATTGCCATTACAGGTATTAAAGCCCTATTCGACAAGAGGTATATGCTCTAAGGACAAAGTATCTTGATTAATTATTAATTGTATTTTTATTACAGTATTGATTTCATCATCATCATCGACCCATGCTCGTCCACTGCTGGACATAGGTCTCCCGACTCTCAGGGACGACGGTACCTGAATTAATTTAATTTATAGATTTTTGCAGTGGCGGACTAAACTCGTCAGAGGCCCGGGGAGGCAAAGCTGAATGAGGCTCCTCAGCAAATTATTTCGACATGTTATTTCGTTAACTCATTCGTGATACAAACAACACAACTGCGTGCACGCACTACAAATGACTGACATGTTCACCGATAAATCTGTGAAAGCACACACACGTACGGACTTGTACGGCGCACTCGGGTGCGGCGCGGCGCCGAGCCGCGAGCCGCGCTCACCAATACATTCACACGCGAGTTTGTCTGCGGACTTGTCGCCAGCGACAAATCCGGCGGATGGGCGCGCCTGTGAATGGTAGCCTTAAGAAACTATGGACATGTTCTGAACATAAACGAAATTATTATAATGCGGAGTAAAGGAATATACGTAGGAGGCTGAAAATAACCAACCTAAGATACGCTGACGATACTACCCTACTAGCCAGAGAGGATGTCGAATTACTTCTTCCTTGACTAGAGAAGACAGCGTTGAAATTTAGACTTGCAATCTATCGAGATAAGACCAAAATGATGATTGCAGATAGGGCTAACAATAAGCAACCAGACATACAGGGTATAGTTGCGAGGTCGTCAAAAGCTCCTCCATCACCAACGATGGGGACTGTGAGAATAAAATTCGAAGACGTTGCGCCATGACTAGATCATCAGTGGAGAAACTCACAAAGATTTGGAGAGACCAATGAGATACCTGGTTTTTCCAATCTTTTTATATGGAGCTGAGACATGGACGCTGAGAACGAAAGACAGTCGCAAGGTCACCGCTATGGAAATGTGGTGTTGGAGACGTTTCCTACGAATTCTGTGGACTGCGCACCGTACCAACGTTTCAATCCTGAGGGAACTCAAAATCGAAGAGATTATCTACAACTGTCCAAATAGTAGTTGGAAAAGTTAAGGGCAAAAGGTCTCGCAGGCGCCGTCGGACATGGTGGACAGAGTTATTAAATCAACGACACACTCCAGCATAAACACTCGCTCTGCAAAACATCGAGCTGCATGGCAACAAAGCACGATTGCATCAATGGCACAGGAATTGACCAAGAATTGACCACAACAGAGTGTACAACTAGGAGAATATTTATAGTATAGATACAACCTACTAATTAATTTGTCTCAAGTGTAGGGAATAATTGAATTTCAGTCTTTACTTAATAGAAGACAATGTTATGTACAGAAAATCTTTAATCATTATAATCTGTATCTGTATGTATATTCAGTCTTCATTTACCTTCTGTGCAATGTGATGCCTGCTATTTTCTAAAAAAGATATTGAAATATAAAAAATGTTCTTATTGATTAACTTAAGATTTCTAAAATAAATTGATTAATATCTTTTTCCTTTTTCCAAAGTATAAAAGTTTCTATTTATGTAGTTTTTACTTTGTTGTCTATGAATATGGCTGAATAATAAATACAAAATATCCTAATCATTTCTTGCTACTTTCTCAAAATATTTTTTCTTTTCATCTGGATTTGGAATAATCTGAAACAAAGAAATAAAAATTACTTATCCACTTTTATGAAGAAAGTGCCCAAAGAATGAGCTGATAATAAATTATGCTAAATATCACTTACCGTGTCTTGCCCTGGCTTCCAGCCTGCTGGACATACTTCTCCATGTTGATCTGTGTATTGGAATGCTTGAACTAATCTTAAAGTTTCATCCACTGAACGTCCAACAGGTAAATCATTCATTGTGATCTGCCTCAAAATACCTTTGTCATCAATAATAAATAGTCCTCTCAGTGTGTGTCCCACATCTTCTAAATAAACTCCATAGTCTTTTGCAATGGAATGTGTCAAGTCACTAAGAAGTGGTATTTTAATTTTTCCTAATCCACCTTCCTTCCGTGGTGTATTAATCCATGCAAGATGAGTGAAATGAGAATCAACAGAACAAGCAACTACTTCTGTATTAATTTTTTTGAATTCTTCAATCCTTTCAGAAAATGCTAAAATCTCTGTAGGACAAACAAAAGTGCTGTGAATAAAGAAAAAATACAGTGTTATCATTTTATGATAAGATAAACAGTCAATCAAATAATGTTATTTATTTTTAAGTGACTTTAATGGTAGATACAAAATAGAGATAAATTATGAATACAACATTGTTACATAACAGAAAATTAAATTACGTTTTTTTTGTTAATTATACTAATTAATATTTCACAAAATACTCACAAATCCAGAGGATAAAAGAAAAATACCAAATATTTTCCTTTAAAACTTGAGAGTGATAATTGCTTTATTTCTCCATTTATTACTGCAGTTGCCTCCCACTCGGGAGCCGGCTTTGAAACTTAACGGAACAAGAACACAAGTAAATATTTGTTTTTCAAAATATCTCAGTAAGTATTCTGGTGAGAAAGGAACTTACTCATTGCTTTGGTAAATTGCAATTTGTGATCAATTTTTCTTGCTCCTCCGGGAAATACATTTCCACTACCAAAAGAGTAACAAGAATCACTTTCGAATAAAGCCGATTTGCCGTATCCGCTTAACGATATAATTAATAATGTTGTTATTAATTTAAATTTCATGTTGGGTTAACTTTAAATATTACCCTTAAGATATGAGAATAATATTATCAATAAAGTTAGTCACGGTAGCAAATAAAACAACGCGTTTCTAAAAAGTACAGAAGCTTTTTATCAACAAATTCCACAGAGTGTTTTTGAATACAGTAGAAATAACACGTAAGCTATTTTTTTCATTTTGACGTTCGGTCAAGAATCAAGTGGAATCAAGATCCGTTTTCTGGCTACGTTCCAAACCTACGCTCCAGTTGCAACAAATGTCAATTTTGACATAGGTTCAATACATTTTCTGATTTTATGTCAAAATTTAAACGTCACGGTAAAAAGTTGTACCTACCGATGAAATTACCTATACTTTATTTATCATTATAACTCTGTGTTGTTTGTGTGTGTTATGCTTTTAGAAGAAGAAAGTGAAAAGCTCAAGGATAAAACATTAAATCTTTATTTGTATAAATACCGAGCAACCTCTCTCATATCATGTCTCTATCACTACGGGACATTGGCGAAGCCGTAAAACGGAAACAGCCACAGTATATAAAAAAAAAGATTCACTCAGAGCGTAGGTTTAGAACGTTTCTTTGTGCAACTCATTGGCTTCTGGCTTGATTCATAAGATTCTTTAAACCTAAAATCAAATTTTCAACAATAGTATCCTTCTCATACTCTTAGCAGAATAAAAAGGACAGACTTTTGTCAAATTTCGCTCTGAGTTTAGAGAATGACATGAGTGATGTCGATTCTGACATGATTCTCTAAAGCTAAACTAAAATTTGACAACAGTGCATCCCTGTCATTCTCTATACAGAATAAAAAGAAGAGACTAATGTTAAATTTAGTTTTAAGTTTAGAGAATCACGTCAGAATCGACACCATTATCATGCCAGAATCACCGTATATGAATATGCACGAGTTGCACGAATAGACTCACCATACGAGTGGCTTGTTTCCTTTAATTTTAATTATTTTCGTAGTAGCTATTATTACAATTATTTTTTTATATATTTTATTATAATATCAATGGTGTCAATTCTGACATGATTCTCTAAACCTAAAATTAAATTTGACAACAGTGTATCCTTGTCATTCTCTATACAAAATGAAAAGGAGAGATTGATCTTAAACTTAGTTTTAAGTTTAGAGAATCACGCCAGAATCGACATCATTTCCTTTTTTTATTTCCTAGCTTATCGGTCGAACATTCAATTGAAATCGGATATTCAATTGATTCGAATACGAATGGTAAGTAGGGAAGGCACATCACTATTTAAGATGTGCGCTTCGTTCGCTAGCAGCGAATGTCGCATTATTTTCCTAAGTTTTTGTGTTTCTATGTAAAAATTATCAAAAGAATGAGTTTTTGTTGTGTTATTTGGTTCTTATCGTGAAGTTAATAATCTAGTGTCCATCGCAAACATTTGCGGTAAGTTGCAATGTTTATTGTAATCCACTTGTCGTTCATTATGGCGGTCTTCATTTACATTACTTTGATACTGTTGTAATTAATTTCATCATTGTTGTATCATGTAGCGCGGTGTTTCTATTATTTTTTAGCGTCGCTTTTTTTAAATTTGTTGTAGATGGACGTACCGGAGGAGGGTGTATTAGACGTGGATTTGTTAGGTGATGATGGGTCTGAGGAAGAGGGTGAAGTGCCGCCGTCTTCAGGTATGCCTGACTATATATTTGCATTTCGTTTTAACTTATATAGTACCCACATGTCGATTACAAAAGTTGAAGCCTTTCCTTTACCTTATATTTGACTTGTTGTAATACATTACATACAAATAGGCAACAATGTAACTGCAGTACACTGTGTAGTCCACAGTTCACAGCTTTCTAGCTACATGTATGTTACTGTAAGTTTGCTTTTAAGTTAATAAATTGACTAGCAATGTAATTTTGTCAAAACAATCTTTCATCTCTAAGGCCCGTATTACAGAATGACAACTAAGTGTTGATCTTTACCTGAGTACAGTTAGAAAGGTATTTGCTATATATAGCGACATCCTATCCATCCAACTATGCTCAAGACTAGATTAATTACTGAGAATCTTTCTGTAATATGGGTGTACAGTTTACTTGTACATAAAAATTTGCTAACACCACGAACGTCACTCAGGCCATGTCAATGACCCGCGTTTACCTAGAGTGTCATATTATCGTAATTATAAATTATTATTTCTTTATTTAAAGACAGTGCAATTAGAAACGCGAACTAATTAACACACATTAGAGACAAGAATAGCCTACACCTGAACTGTGACTTTGTTTACAATATATATCTCGGAAGTTATCTCTCTCTGATCTTTTTCACCTGCACACCAACTAACTAAATCTCATTAAAGGTGTACAAAGTCTACAACGGGCCTAAGACTTAATGTGCTGAATAGCCTGTTAAAAAGTAATTTTTAGTCGTTATCAATCTAATATATCTGTTATGTGCAAAAAATAAACTTTAACATTGCAGGTAATATTTAACAGTATTCTGGCTGATACACAAAGCTTAATTTTCTGACATCTGTTCACTGTTATAATGATAATGATTTGCATATCAGTTTGTATTCGAAATTCGCTTAGTATAAAAGATATACTATTCAAAATGATGGAAATATATAAATTTCCATAAAATGCACATTGCAGTTTTTTTGGTTTGACAAGGATGGTTTATTGTAACACAGCCTTTGATAATGTAAGGGATATGTTTTTTCGGAACCCAACCTAATGATACGTTATTGTCGTAGATAGAAAGGTGTTAAATATTAATAATATTGACATAAATAAATCTAATTTGGTTTGTAATATTATAAAGCCCTTTACTTGCTATCATGGGTGACCTAAAATCAAGCTTTGTTTATCTCCCAGTCTGGATGAACATTAGGGTGTTTAATTTTTTCAAAACTTTGATTTTCATGTCAAGTTGATTTTCCCTGGAGTCTCACTAAGTATAAGTTCGCTGTGGCATGAAGCAATTTTAGCCGATGGACTCCAAAGAATTATCTGGAAATGCTATATGGCTTTTGAGCACTTACCCCGATACCAATGACAGGCAAAATGCTCATGCAGTTGCCAAACAATTTATTGTTGGTGTTTTAACACCTTACATCAATATTTGTCAGACAGGAACAAACATAGTATTGTCTTTTTTATCTGAATGTTTTATTCAGGAATTCAAGAAAAATATTTAACATGCTAATAAAACAGAATTAAAAGGAATGGGGCCAGAAACATAACTTGAAGAAATTGACCTGAGCCTTTTTGTATCTACTAAAATTAAGATGTTTTTGAATTGTTTGAGACTGATTGTTCCATGTGAGGTGACTAAATATTCTGATAATTCAATGAAAAAGTATGTGTATGCTCTTAAGGTTACCAATGATCATGCAGAAAGAGGAATTTCTTTGATCTAAAACAGTGGCTGTTAGTAATTGTCGAAATTACAAGGAAAAAGTAGCCAAGTGGTCGACAGAAGGAATTGTGTGGTACAAAGTTGGTTCATATAGCACAACGGTGATGCCCTCTTATTTTAATTTAAAATATCCTCATTCTGATAATTTATTCAAAAGTGATTAATCTGTGCATCCTCTAAACGTAATCTAATCTTCTTGAAATTTGGCATGGATAAGTTTTATATCATTGGGACTCAGGGGGAAAGCGAATTTGGCAAAATACTAACAAAATGAAACACCCTAATGATCATAATTTCAAGATTAGGTGCCTCCTAAGTTATAGTTATTAACCAAGAAAGATAGATTTCTACGCAGGTCCAGGGTCAACACCAACATCATGCGCTTCATCACCTCGTGGAGAAGAGCCTGCCTCTCCGCTGGCTGTGGTCTCCCAGCCCCCATTTTTCCACCACCAGCCTTATGCTCGGCCTTTCTTTACATCAGCAAGACGGGGCCCAGGCAGGCCACGAAAGGAAGGCCCAAAACTTGTGAAAGAAGGGAAAATTGTTAGAAGGTAAATTCTTTTTTTTTAATTTAACTGTCTAGTGAGTGCTTTAAAAATATAACTATAAATCATCAATTTGAATGTATGGACTTAATTTAGGTATAGGAATCCTGGCTCAGTTAGGGGAGCGAAGAGGCATCGCAGCAGCCGGGATGATGCATTAGATGATGCTATGGATGAAGACGATTTCACTATGCCAGCTCCAGAAGAACCGCCATATATGCCTGAGAAATGGTAAAATAACAAAATTTTTACAATGAAAATTTAAAGTATAAATCATTTAACGAAAATCCACCTAGATTGCAGAAGGTTCGAATCCTGTCTGAAACCTGGACTGTATGTGATGTTTTCTAGTAAATATTTTCCAAAGGTTTATAAATCTACCAGTTAAATGCTGACAAATATAATAACCTATAAAATATCTGTTGTCTGGTTAATTCTTTTTCTTAACACATTAACATATATTTCACTGCTGCTTCTAAAATTGTGTATTATTGTATACTGCTCATTGTAATGTTACAAAGCTGTTTGGTTATTACAATACGCAACAATGTATGTCGCTACAATAGTTTTCTTGAAAACTTGATGTTCAAATCGTGTGATAATCTTTTAGGCCAGGCAAAGTCTGTGCACTTTGTAATTTGAGTGAGCGTAGCCAACTTGGACAAGGGGAGATGAGGCAGGTTCTATGCAACATTGGGGAGGGTGATGGCAGTGTGACCCCAGGAGTGTCCAACTCTGGTGGAGCTACTCCCACAGGCATCCCCACACCAACCAGCACACCGACAACCCCTGTGCCCCCTGGACTTGCATCCCCACCCCCTGAGTTAATGGACAGTCAGAGTAATCCACCACAAGCAACATTCCCACTCAGTAGAAGGCAGAAAGCTTTCAGCAAGTGCAAGTAAGTTAAAGAAATCTGATATTCAAAATATCAAAGGTGTAATTATGTGTGACAAGTAATTTTCTGTTACTTTACAAAGATATTTTGGTCATATACAAAATAATCTGATATATTTAAACAACTAAAAATATAAATACATTTCAGAACTCCCATTTATAACTTGGAGCATACTGACGAATTATCAATAATTGGACATGTTGAAGTATTAGAACTAGCTGGTGTAGTAACATCTGGAGCATTCTATGTTCATCGTTGCTGCCTCGAATTCAGCCCTCCATTTCAAGATCAGGTGGCAGCGGCTTCTAATTCTGATGATGAGAAGGAACAGTTGGAAGAGGCAAGGATAAGAGGGATAGTGACTGTTGGTCTTTCAAGGAAGTGTGCTTTCTGTACAAGACATGGTGCTAGTATTCCTTGTAAAGTGAGTTGTTTGACACTAATGGTAAATTATTTATTTAGGGAAAACATTTCTTATAACTTTGATTTTCTTTTTATAGATGAGCTGTAGTAAATACTTCCACTTTCCCTGTGTTCTTGCTTCTGGAGGCTATATGGATTATCAGACAAAATCCCCATTTTGCAAAGATCATTTGTATCAAATACCACTTGTTTGTAAGTATTAAATTTTTAATATATTTTTTGGTATATTAATAAGTATTATATTTGGCATAAAAAAATATATATAATTATTATTTTGTAGGTTCAGCAGATATTGAGTGTCGCACTTGTAGAACAATCGGCGATATAGCAAACTTGATGACTTGCGTTACCTGCGGTGCGCATTATCACGGCACCTGTGTTGGTCTTGCACAACTACCAGGTAATGTAAAAGGACTGCTTCCAATTAACTCTGCGCCTTAATTCATCATTGTTTAATTAAATACTTTTTAATCGCGAGTCTTTTTTTTTATTTCTTTGATCCTTTACTGGCTCTGTATCACAGTTATAGGCTAAGTTCAGATGTTCGTGCGTCAAAGGAGTTCTAATGACGAGCGATAACACACGGCTATTCTCATCCATTATTCGCTACCCCATACGTTTGCACTGGTACTTAACTATAGTAACTCAATGCGCGCGTGTTAAAATACTTGCAACGGAGCAGCGACGATCGCGAGATCATCTTAACGGTCTTAAGTAATTATTTAGAATATCTAAGCGCGTTGTCGCGCGACCATCTGTACCCTTAGCACGAACCAATATCGAATTCGTTACGTTGGCGAATGCGAAATGTCAATGTAAAATTTTGTATGGAAACTTGAGAAATTTGGGGCACAAACACAAGATATTGGCCAAATCCTGAGGGAGCCATCACTGAAGAAATCTAATGTAACAGCAGCGCCACGATCGACGTATCAAGAAATAAAAAATATTACACTTTTGACGTATATCTAGATCGAATTCAACTATTTTAATTCAATAATAGTTCGTGCTTAGGGTACTAAACTTAGCCTAAAGCTGCGTATCGACTTTGCCCCTTGGGTCGTTAAGAAAACCGGAATTTGGAAACCATTTTCCTATCCTTATTAATATATTTTTTTGTACCTATAAGTAACTGGTTTCCTATAATTGTTATTTTATTTTTCTACGTAACTGATTTCCTAAAAGGCTTTTTCTATACTTCTAATGTAACTCTCAAGAAAACTTATATTACTAAAGTTCCTAATACTTTACTGTATTGAAATTATTTCACCAGACGCATTTTTTTTTTCATTTCATCTTAAGATGAGTTGTTTTAATGTTTTTATTTGTAAGTACGTGGAAGCACGCAACGTATCTCTTGCTGAAACCGCGCTTACGGAATGTCCATTTTTCCGCATACTACGAAGTCAAACACTCGATAGCCGGCGTGTTTTGCCTTATACAATTAACATAAACATATCAAAATTCAACGAAATTTTCTACACAAAACTTTATTCACACTTTATCACTAAACATATTTGTATCCATAATGTTTTTGCTTTCTGAGCCCAATGGAAAGTACGTACAAAATCTCCTCGCGCGGGTCTAGGGGTAGGGTATTGTTCCATCGGCCATTTTTGAAGTGATAACTTCTTATGGCAGGGTGAACCGCCTCGTTACGTAACGCGATACGGCGTCTGTCTGGCTTCCCTTTGCCGCGAAACTTTTATTAAATTTGACATTTGTTGCACCTGGATCGTAGTTTTTGAACGCAGCCTTGTGTAACAGCTATGTGAGCAGTAGACGGCGTGTGTAGTAACATGTTTCAGAAACGATGTTTTGTGTATGTGTATTTGTTTTTTTTTATTTATATTTATTTATTTATTTTAGGTCGCTTTTTAACATCTAGGTCATTAGCGACCACATTTTAATAATGTGAATTAAGCTTAAACTAAGTTATACATATTTATCATTTTTAGGAATTTCAGTGTATTTGTTTGTTTGTTTGAATGTTTTCAAAAAATATTTGCTGCTGAAAGACCCAGCTGAAAATAAACTCAACCCGCAGTTGTAAATTTTTCCAGACTTGTAGAGAGACCATGCATGACGTCGCAAGTTCACGAAATTTTGTGTTCTTATAGTTATTTATGATATTATTGTTGTATGTTAGTTATTACATACGAGTAGACGAGTTTTGTAAATACCAATACCGCACGAATGTCATATAAAGTTTTTCAACATAGTAGCGTGCGCCGCGCTCGATCAGCGCTCACCCGCTCGGTTACGCAGATGCCACTGCATTGTCGTACCTATTTGCCTACATAAATTAACATCAGTGCGAGTTTTCAGTTCGTTTTTGGGACGGCTATCGTTTTTTTATGTTAAGTGGTGATAAAGTCCAAACGCGAAGATAGCTGGTACAGCAGTTATAAACTGCTACACCAACCATCCACACCTTGCCAGCCCGCAAAAATGCTTCTTCACGCCTCTCTTAAAGGACCCCAGATTATAAGGAAGGAGGGAACACGTGCGCGGGTAAAGAATTCCACTTACGAATAGTACGACAAAGAAATGAGTCGCCAAATTTCTTTGTTCGTGTAGGAATAGTGGCCACAGTAAGTCGGTGGCAACGTAGGCCAGCGCGCGTGGTCCTCTGAAGAAAAGATGATGGAGGGATAAGCGAGAATAGCTCCTCAGAACACTCGCCGTGGTATAGTCGGTAGAATGCGCTTAATGATGCCACATCACAGCGTAATTGTAGAGACTCGAGTTTCTTAGTTACCTCTTGATCGCCAATGATGCGGGCAGCGCGCTGCTGCAACCTATCCAAGGCATCGAGTAAGTAAGTTTTTAATAAAAAAGGAAAGTTAGATCTAGGTTATTTTCCGTCCAGGCGTGCGTTCCGGTTGGTCGTGCCGGGCATGCCGCGTTTGCCAGGTGTGCCGCGGCGAGGCGTCGTCGGCGGACGCGCGCGCTGTTGCCTGCGAGCACTGCGACAAGCTATACCACGCCAACTGTCTCCGCCCCGTCATGGCCACCGTACCCAAGTACGGCTGGAAGTGTAAGGTGGGTGTCTGAGGCCCAAGCATGAAAATTGACAGCTCCGTAATCAAATGCATCGTCAAATTTTATATGGAAACTAAGCAGCGCCGTTGCCGGAGTAAGAACAAACTGGCTCCTTACATACACAATTTAACGAAGGCGATACGATTATGCAGCTGTCAAAGTTCGTGCTTGGGCTACTGATGTGATTTGTTAATGATGAATGAATTTTGTTAATGTGCTCGTGTATTTGTTCTGCTCAATAAAAGATAATTTATGTCTTGTATTGTATGGGGCACTTTACTTGGCTTGTTTGCCTGCATTTTAGTTGGCTATTCGTATTTGGCTTTGTATAAACTTAACCAAAGTCTGTCCATATCATGTTTTATAAGGAATGACAAAGACAGAGCGATGTCAAGATTCCAAGTAGTTAAAACGAATAGCCAAGTGAAGTGCCGGCATCAAATGATAATCAAAACATTGCACTGATTTTTTCATCTGATTTGATTGATCTGTCCACTTAGCATGAGCACCGCGATGTTATATAAAACTCTTTTTTGTCACGCTTAATTGACTAATTACTATAAAAGACGTGATTATAATGATAATTGTAGTGTCCTTATTACGGGGATTGATCAAGAACAAGTTTAGTGGAGGAGCTCGATGGCGCGGGTGGTTAGCGCGGTCGGCTGCGATCGTTAAGTTAAGAACTTTCGTAATGGTCGGTCATTGGATGGATGACCAAAAATCTTCTATCTCGAGTTCCTCCATGTTTCGGAAGGCACAGTAAACAGTTGGTTCCAGCTGCATCTGCAGTCGTTAGCACCCGCCAATCCGCACTGGGCCCGCGTGGTGGGTCTTGGCCCAATCTCCCTATTCCATCCATAGGGAAGGCCTGTGTCCCAGCAGTCGGGACATTAAAAGGCTGATGATGAAGTTTGTGGAACAATCCTCATGTAATTAATTCATTGGCAGTGTTGTCGCGTGTGCTCGGACTGCGGTGCCCGCTCTCCGGGCGCGGGCCCGTCGTCCCGCTGGCACGCGCACTTCACCGTCTGCGACTCGTGCTACCAGCAGCGGAACAAGGGCTCGTGCTGCCCGCTGTGTCGCCGCGCATACCGCGCCGCCGCCTACCGCGACATGATCCGCTGCACGCTGTGCAGGAGGTAGGTACTATGAGTGCTACCAGCAGCGGAACAAGGGCTCGTGCTGCCCGCTGTGTCGCCGCGCATACCGCGCCGCCGCCTACCGCGACATGATCCGCTGCACGCTGTGCAGGAGGTAGGTACTATGAGTGCTACCAGCAGCGGAACAAGGGCTCGTGCTGCCCGCTGTGTCGCCGCGCATACCGCGCCGCCGCCTACCGCGACATGATCCGCTGCACGCTGTGCAGGAGGTAGGTACTATGAGTGCTACCAGCAGCGGAACAAGGGCTCGTGCTGCCCGCTGTGTCGCCGCGCATACCGCGCCGCCGCCTACCGCGACATGATCCGCTGCACGCTGTGCAGGAGGTAGGTACTATGAGTGCTACCAGCAGCGGAACAAGGGCTCGTGCTGCCCGCTGTGTCGCCGCGCATACCGCGCCGCCGCCTACCGCGACATGATCCGCTGCACGCTGTGCAGGAGGTAGGTACCTTGAGAGTGCGTACCATGAGTGCTACCAGCAGCGGAACAAGGGCTCGTGCTGCCCGCTGTGTCGCCGCGCATACCGCGCCGCCGCCTACCGCGACATGATCCGCTGCACGCTGTGCAGGAGGTAGGTACTATGAGTGCTACCAGCAGCGGAACAAGGGCTCGTGCTGCCCGCTGTGTCGCCGCGCATACCGCGCCGCCGCCTACCGCGACATGATCCGCTGCACGCTGTGCAGGAGGTAGGTACTATGAGTGCTACCAGCAGCGGAACAAGGGCTCGTGCTGCCCGCTGTGTCGCCGCGCATACCGCGCCGCCGCCTACCGCGACATGATCCGCTGCACGCTGTGCAGGAGGTAGGTACTATGAGTGCTACCAGCAGCGGAACAAGGGCTCGTGCTGCCCGCTGTGTCGCCGCGCATACCGCGCCGCCGCCTACCGCGACATGATCCGCTGCACGCTGTGCAGGAGGTAGGTACCTTGAGAGTGCGTACCATGAGTGCTACCAGCAGCGGAACAAGGGCTCGTGCTGCCCGCTGTGTCGCCGCGCATACCGCGCCGCCGCCTACCGCGACATGATCCGCTGCACGCTGTGCAGGAGGTAGGTACTATGAGTGCTACCAGCAGCGGAACAAGGGCTCGTGCTGCCCGCTGTGTCGCCGCGCATACCGCGCCGCCGCCTACCGCGACATGATCCGCTGCACGCTGTGCAGGAGGTAGGTACCTTGAGAGTGCGTACCATGAGTGCTACCAGCAGCGGAACAAGGGCTCGTGCTGCCCGCTGTGTCGCCGCGCATACCGCGCCGCCGCCTACCGCGACATGATCCGCTGCACGCTGTGCAGGAGGTAGGTACCTTGAGAGTGCGTACCATGAGTGCTACCAGCAGCGGAACAAGGGCTCGTGCTGCCCGCTGTGTCGCCGTGCATAATTGTCAACAATTAAACATACACCAATTAGCCTACCAAGGTACATTACTTACCACACAAGGCACGGAGCCGTCAAAACTTTTAACACATTTTTAAAGCTTCAAATAATCAAAAAGAAGTAATCATACCGTAAAATGAATTTGTTAATAATTTGTAGGTAATAGTTTCTTTTCATAAAAATATTAATGATTTTTATCGTACACAGGTATGTCCACGGTATGTGTGATCCGGATGCTGAACCACAGCAATATAAGCAGAAGAAAGATTTGAACCCAGCATATGAATACAACTGTCCTATCTGCAAGTCTCGGGCACCAACAGGTTCGAAATCACAATATAATTCTATTTGTATTTAACTAAATGACTTAAGTAAAACTAGTTTTTACGGGTTAATGCACGAAACTTTATTTATTGACGTTTCGTAGCCTATACAGATGTGCGTGAAAACCTAAGAAACAAATAAATGACTTAAGCTCAGTATTGTACAAATGAGACGATAAAATATGAAACAAAATTATAGATCGGTATATTATTGGACGTGTTTTAGCTTTCGACGATGATAACGCGGCCTCAACATCTCAAGATTCGTCATTTGGTGATGACAGTTTGCAACAAGAACAGGATCCTCTCGCTTTAGAAACCTCTAAGGTAAGAAGAAGCACAATTTACTTTTAATTTTAAACCACTGTTCACAGTTAAAAACTAATTATTTAATTCACAGCCTGATGTCGGTTTGGGTAAGGGCAAGCCATTTTCCGTGTCGTCAAAGATTGCCAAGAAAAAGATGCAAGGCTACAAGCTGAAAGGTGGTTATCCGCCTGCTGGAAAGCTGGGCTTCCAGAAGCGACAAAGATCGGTTGTCGAATTTGGCCGAAAGAGAGGCACCAAGCCTAAAATGCGAGGAGTATTTGGAGTACCAGGCTTGGGGTTACAAAGACCGCAAGCTCCTGACAATAAAACTTCCGAAGACGATCCAGGTATATTCACATTAATTAACGAAGTTCCTTTTCGAGTGTAGCACGATATGATAAGTCACCATAATGTTTTTGTTTTAGGAATGGAGAATAAATTAGTACTGTGTTCAAGTAAAGACAAGTTCGTACTGACGCAAGATTTGTGCGTCATGTGCGGCGCTGTTGGGACTGACTCCGAAGGGTGCCTTATCGCCTGCGCGCAATGTGGGCAGACTTATCATCCTTATTGTGTGAATATTAAGGTTAGCAAATATAGTCAAGATTTTTTTATCTAATAAGGATAGTTATTCAAATTACTTGCCTAAGTTCTATTGAGTTTCGTATAATTTGTTATTAGAATTCTTCTAATAATCATTATATTATAGACTTCTTAATTAATTGAATCTAAGAACTTACGGCGCGATTTCCACTCGCGCCCGCCGTGGCTGCGGGACCGCAACTTGTGTAGCATGTGAAATTGTAGGTAAAACGCAATTAAACAAATTTGCGGCATCTGCGTCGGGCTTCGTCCGATCTTTTGTTAAGTTTACTCGCAGATTGTTAGCTCGCAGCAGCGGCGGCTGTGGTCCCGCAAAAAACTGCAGTCTCGTGACCTTTTAACTAAAACAGCTCTGTGGCCGTATTATCATTATCATACAAAATTTTAATTGTAAAATACTCCAAATTTTTTCTCAAATTACCGATATAATGTTAATCATAACAAATTTTATTTGTAGAAAAAAACCAGAGATTTAAAGAAATAGAGAAAGATAAGCAATTGTGTGTCTTACGTTTGTAGGTATCTCAAGTGATAGTGACTCTGGGTTGGCGGTGCTTGGACTGCACTGTTTGTGAGGGGTGTGGCAGCCGCGGCGACGAGACCCTACTGCTGCTGTGCGACGACTGCGACACCACGTGGCACACTTACTGCGCGCGCCCGCAGCTGGCCGAGGTGCCGCGCGGCCCGTGGCGCTGCGAGCGCTGTCGGCGCTGTCTGGTGTGCGGCACGCGCGACACGCTGGCCTGGTGTGACAACTACACCGGTCAGTACCCGCCTCCGCCCGTCACTATATAGTGTGGCATTGTGGCACACTTACTGCGCGCGCCCGCAGCTGGCCGAGGTGCCGCGCGGTCCGTGGCGCTGCGAGCGCTGTCGGCGCTGTCTGGTGTGCGGCACGCGCGACACGCTGACCTGGTGCGACAACTACACCGGTCAGTACCCGCCTCCGCCCGTCACTATATAGTGCGGCATTGTGGCACACTTACTGCGCGCGCCCGCAGCTGGCCGAGGTGCCGTGCGGCGCGTGGTGCTGCGAGCGCTGTCGGCGCTGTCTGGTGTGCGGCACGCGCGACACGCTGGCCTGGTGCGACAACTATACCGGTCAGTACCCGCCTCCGCCCGTCACTATATAGTGCGGCATTGTGGCACACTTACTGCGCGCGCCCGCAGCTGGCCCAGGTGCCGCTCGGCCCGTGGCGCTGCGAGCGCTGTCTGCGCTGTCTGGTGTGCGGCACATGCTTAATCCCTATTAAATAATAATCAGTTCCTATTGATTTTTTCTCTTATCGCAATAATCACTTCAATTTAGTTACAAAAAATCAAAAACAAAATCTTATATGAGCAGTTCATTCAGCGTTCAACCATAATCTGGATGAATGTAAACTAACACGTTTGTTTACCCCCTTAGAATGCGCGCCGTGTGCGTCCCTGGTGATGTGCTGCGTGTGCTCGGAGCCTTACTCGGACGGCGAGCTGATCATCCAGTGCGAGGGGTGCTCACGCTGGCTGCACGCCGCCTGCGACTCTATACGCAACGAGAGCGACGCGGAGACGTGCTGTCGCGCCGGGTGAGTGACGTCATCATGTGGTTGGTGCAAAGGTTCTGCACTACACAAGTACGGACGGCAGCTGATCATCCAGTGCGAGGGGTGCTCGCGCTGGCTGCACGCCGCCTGCGACTCTATACGCAACGAGAGCGACGCGGAGACGTGCTGTCGCGTCGGGTGAGTGACGTCTCCATGTGGTTGGTGCAAAGGTTCTGCACTACACAAGTACGGACGGCAGCTGATCATCCAGTGCGAGGCGTTCTCGCAATGGTAATAGTGATAGTACTACCACTTGTATTGATAATATATATACAGATATTATACCACAGAAAAAACAAATTATTAATAAACTAGATAGTGATCATTGTGGCCAGTTGATTACTTTTCCGTATCAGCTCAAGCAGATGACGATAAAACACATCACTGTTATACCAAAAACTGCTAATCGTGTGGAACGTTTTAAAAATCAATTAGATAGAAAATTGTGTTATCTTAAATATAGAGACAGTCCAAATGATTTATATAATGATTTTTTTAATATATATTGCGATGAATTTAATAATGTTTTTGTACCCAAAAAAATATGTGTTAATGATGCGGTAAATTTTAGTAAGTGGGCTACGCCTGGAATTCATAAAAGTAGAAGAACACTTTATGAACTTTATAATGAACGAAACTCTAACACTAGTGAAAAATTTAAAGTGCATGTTCGTAACTATTCCAAATTGTTTAAAAAAGTATGCCGCTTAGCAAAATCAAATTACTTAAGTTCAAAGATTAAGAACAGTAATGACAAAATCAAAATGACATGGAATATTATAAACAATGAAACTGGAAAATCCAAAACTCGCAAAATTAATTATAACCTAAATATTGATAATAAAATGGTTACATCAGATATTGAAGTTGCTAAAGTGTTTAAAAATTTCTTTACTGATATTCCAGTTTCAACTACGAAATCTGTGAACTCTTCCCCCATTGCTGCCGAATCAATCTTAAGAGAAAACGTGAAACCTTGTACTAGTTATTTTCATTTTAAACATGTTGACTTTAAAGATGTAATAAAAACGTTTCACCAATTAAATAAAAAGAAAACCGCGGATCTGTGGGGCAATTCCGTTGATGTTTCTAAATCGGTAATTGAGACAATAGCTCCTATTCTAGCTTGCATATTTAATGATTGTGTTGACTGTGGTGTTTTTCCTGACCTCATGAAATACAGTAAAATTATTCCTTTGCATAAAACGGGAAGTACATCAGACCCCACAAACTTTAGACCAATTTCTGTACTACCCACCTTTAGTAAAATTTTTGAAAAAATCATGTGAGATCAAATGCAATCACATTTTAATAAATATAATATACTTCACTGTAAACAATTTGGTTTTACACGGGGTCGTTCAACAACCGATGCCGGTGTTGAACTTATACAACAAATTTTTGACGCCTGGGAGAACTCGCAGGACGCTCTAGGTGTGTTTTGCGACTTGTCCAAGGCTTTTGATTGCGTTTTTCATGAAACATTACTCAGGAAACTCCACCACTATGGATTTAGAGATACTGATCTGGATCTTATTGCATCATACCTGAGGGATAGGATTCAGAGGGTTGACATTAATGGTAATAAGTCTGCGGGTTCGCCGGTTAAGATGGGTGTTCCGCAGGGCTCAATCCTAGGTCCTTTCTTATTTTTAATTTATATTAATGACTTACCTTACTATGTAAGAGATAAGCATGAGATAGTATTGTTCGCGGATGATACATCACTTTTATTTAAACTCAAACGTAAGGAAACAGTTATTGACGACGTGAACAGTTGTATCTCTAAGGTAGTCCACTGGTTCAATGTTAACAATTTATTACTTAATGAAGGAAAAACGAAATATATGAAATTTGTATTACCTAATGTAAAACAGGTAAAAACCAGTGTGAATGTAAAGGATAGGAATGTGGGCCTTGTAGACACCACAGTATTCTTAGGGATAACTTTAGATTCTAAGCTTCAATGGGGCCCACATATTGATAAATTGTCAAATAGACTTAGCTCTGCAGCATATGCCGTAATGAAGATACGCCAGTTAACGGATGTAGATACGGCCAGATTAGTGTACTTTAGTTATTTCCATAGTGTAATGTCGTACGGAATTTTATTGTGGGGAAATGCCGCCGACATTCAAACTATTTTTGTGCTGCAGAAGAGAGCTATTCGATCAATTTGTAATCTTAAAGTTAAAGAATCATTAAGAGATAAGTTTAAAGAATTTGGAATAATGACGGTCGCATCACAATACATATACGAAAATTTATTACTTGTAAGAAAAAATATTAATTTGTTTCTTAAAAACAGTGATGTTCACACAATTAATACAAGAAACAAAAATAAACTAACTTTACCTGCTACTAGGCTTCACAAAATTAATAATTCATTTAAAGGTCTTTGTGTTCGCTTATACAATAAAGTCCCAAGCAATATCCAAGAGTTAGCCATAAATAAATTTAAAGATATTATAAAAAAAACACTTATTAAAAAAGCTTATTACAAAGTGTCTGCTTACAAAAATGCTTGGGTTTGAACTGTTCCAATCATTCCAACAGGTTTTCTATATTAAATAAATCATAATTGTATTGACGTTATAACAACATAATGAATTGTAAATGTTGTTACGTTAGACTTTTAATTTTGTGGAGTTTTTTTTGCTCGTTTTTCTCTGCAGCTAAAAAATATGTCCATAACGAGTGGTAGGGAAAAAAATTTTTGGACGATTCAAAAGAGTTGTACTATACATCCAATTTGAATAAAGAATATTGATTTCTGATTTCTGATTTACTACTTGTCCTTAGTACTATTAAAAGGGATACCGATAAGATATTTTATACCTTGTATTTACTTAGAGCGCGCACATGGTGTTTCAAATCGCAGAATAAGGCTCAGTACGTTCATCTACTAAATTTACTTTTAATAAAATAATAATTAATGACCCAATGTTTCTAAGAACTATGCGACTGTAATGTGACCAGTTGTCCATCGTCTTCAATTATTTACCTCATCATCAGCCGATGGACGTCCACTGCTGGACATCGGCCTCTTCTAGGGATTTCCATATGAAACGATCCTGCGCTCTCCGCATCCAGTGGGTCCCCCCCCCCCGACTCGCTTGATGTTGTCAGTCCACCTCGTGAGGGGTCTAGCGACACTGCGCTTGCCGGTGCGAGGTCGCCATTGAAGCACTTTGGGACCCCAATGTTCATCGGTTCGCCGAGCTATGTGCCCCGCCCATTGCCACTTCAGTTTGGCGATCCGTTGAGCTATGTCGGTTGTTCTAGTTCTTCTACGGATTTCCTCATTTCTGATTCGATCTCATCGATTATTTACCTAATTTAAAGAAAAGCGCTATCTATGGGAAGGCATAAATTTCAAAGTGTCCGTACTCGTGGCAGGTACAAATGCATCATATGCCGCGGACGTGAAGTCCCAGCGCCACACTTGCGGGCACGCGAGGTAGTAGCCCCGCCGCCCCGTCCTCCGCCTAGACCGACGCCTTTATCGCTGGGATTGTCCGGTGAATACTACGTAGACGACGTGTGCCTCTCTCAACGAGGCGCTCATTATATGAAGCAAATGGAGGCTGAGCTGGGCATCACGCATACGCGACGCAAAAGGCGCTTCAAGCACGACAACCCTGAGAAGGAAGCGGGTGAGTTACTATACCAACTCATTGATTGCTTAGATAATAAATAATCTCCCTATAGTTCCCTGTGTTGGCGACAGCTAGTATTATAGTTTTAATAATAAAAATATCTTAGCTACAAAACTTAAGTAGGCCTACCTTTTCCTGGAGTTTCATTATTGAAACTGGCCGTAAATGAAGCAACTGGAAGCCGAGCTGGAACATCACGCATACGCGATGCAAAAGGCGCTTCAAGCACGACAATCCGGATGAGGAATCTGTAAATGCCACACATTAATATTCCACCCACGCCTCTATCGATGAAACTGGCGAGCAAGTACATCGTGGTCGATGATCACGCACAAGCCAGAAGAGGCGATTAAAGCAATACCATGTTTGCTCAAACAAAGAGATTGGTGAATCTCTACAAATGATAGTTTTGATATAGGTTAACACAGTATGCTTTTGCAGTAGACCATTAGAATTCGATAAATGATTCGGCTCGAAAGTACACAATATAAAAACCTACGGAAGGTGCCGATTGAACTACATAAAGTATAAAGAAAATTTTACTAGAAAAAAATCCACGCGGACCAGGCAGCAGACGGGACTCGCACCCCCCGCACCTTTCGTTATTCGGGTGAATGCACTGACCATTATGCTACCGCGGCCCTGATGGCCGTTTCGAATTTTCTCTATCCTTTCTTAACTGCAAGGCAGCGCCATCTCTTCGCATTGTAGATAACCCACAATGTCAAATAAATACTTTTACAGGTATAAAAACATTTGAAAGAAGATATAACAATTATAGTTATATTTTTTAAGCATGTAACTGCTAGATGTTTAAATTTAAAGTAAATTTCACTAGACAAAAAAAACTTTAGATTTAAACATCTAGCAGTCATATACTTAAAAAATAAAAATATGACTACATGAAGGATTTCGAAATTATAAATAATTACTTCAGTTAACAATGACTTGATAATAATGAATAAAAGTTACAATAAGGGTGTTCATAAAAATCCACGCCGCTAGTTGGCGACATTGTGACGTCAGGTCTTTTGTATAAAGTTTTTGGCGCGAAATACTTAAACGAGCATTTAAATTGTTCCATAAACTACGACGACATACTATTACGGGATTTGGCGGATGAGTAGACCTTTCTCTGTGTTGCCACCTGGCGCCCGTCATTACAGAAAACCGTCATTGAATTTATAAATTGAGGAGCTGGCGAACAAAACGGCATAATTACATAAAATTAAATTTAACAGCTGTATAAAACTGAATGACATACCACCAATAAGCTTTGGGCATGGTTTTTAATTTATAAATTTAATAATTTTAACACTCTTTTAAGCAGCCTTGATTGAAAATTATTTGAGATTCAAATACAACGGGCCGGAAACCTCGGGACTGTAAAAAAAGTAGTTTGACCAGATTGTTAATTATACCGTTTTGTTTGGCAGCTCCGCAATTAGTATAGGAACATACAAAGACACATTTTTAAATTACAAATGTGAATGCATTTCAATATATTTTTAAAAATAAAATTATGGGCATAAATATCGCTGTAAATGTGCTAGTTTATTATAATCATGAACGCATTATTATGTTTTTGTGTGTCACTGAATATCGACAGTAAACTATATTTAACAATAGATATATTATGAATGCTTTCTAATTTGACTTTTTTGTGTGGGTTGCTGACATGTTGGGTTAGAAATAATGGCATCTATTGAAACAGTGGTTCAGAACACCGACGCTGACATGGGAGAAGATACGAAGCCAGATAGCACCGCGGAAGTCAAAGATGAACCAGGTATGATTATGAATTTGATAAATTAACATATAGACTTATTCTAAGGGAAATCCAATCTACAGTAAATAAAATTCATATTTACTGTAGATTCATATTCACTTATTTGATTAGATGAAAGTGTTATAATTATAACTTTTAAACTTTAAGACGAACGGCAATAAATACAATTAAAAGTCGCGCGCACACTTCAGTTAATTAAATGCTTAATTAAAAATTCTAATATTATCTGAAAGAAATAAACTTAAACTTAATAAATAGAGAATAATTCTCAGCACTGCAGTAACACATAGTTTACAGAGTGCTTTATTGAGTTTACCTTATTTAGGGGTGCCATCAAATGCAAGTTTAAAAGAAGGTATAATGTGGAATGTCTCCACGGATGGGCCGCCGCCGGAGGGATTTACGATATGCACCAACGACGCAGGCATAACTATACTGCGTAGAAAGAGACAGAGGAACTTGAATAAACTCGGCATCGGTGGATTCGTTGTGCGACAGAGACAGGCGACATTGAAAGCCCAGGCTGAGGACGAGCAAGCAGATGGCTCTCAAGCTGGAGGTAAGAACTTGGAACTTAATATGTAAATACGTATTATTTTCGTCTATCAACAGTATAAAATTTAACCAAAAATCTCATTTACAGAATCACCAAGTAATAAACGAAAACCGCGACGCAAGCCTCGGTCAAAACTTATGGAGCAGTTTCCCTCTTATATGCAAGAAGCTTTCTTTGGAAAAGAACTTTTGGAACCTACTAAACAAACTGTCAGCTCAACGGGTAAGTTATGACTCAACAGTTACAAGTAGTCAAAGGACATGGTAAAGTTTTGTATGAGCGACTGCCCTGGCAATGTATAAATACTGTACTTATAGTTAATGGTAAATGACTAAGTATTTATAATTTCTATGAAAAAAGGCTCAGGAACTTTTTATAAAGTCACAATCTTGAAAATTATGAGAACTCCTACTATGTCATTACCTTACTACAGTTGATAAAAGATGTTGCCAATTATTTACAGTGATCAATTTCGCATTTTCTTAGAATCTTTCTTCCCATTTCTCTGATTAACTCTTCACAAAAAGTTTTTTAAAGCAAAAATAAATAGAAACAATTTGTTATCGTCAGCCTAACAGGAAATCTGTGAAGTTTTATTTTGTCTATTTGCAAAAATTAAAGGATCAATTATCATACAGCCTTGTCTCAAGCCTAATCAGAATAATAAAATCTATTATTTTAGGCCTTCCGTGATTTGTTGTAACAAAAATTAGGGCCAAATATGTCATATTCTGAAGGAGTATAGAAATAATATTGTTTATTTTGATATACTTACACAGATATTTTTTGTGTACATTTATTGTTCATTTATTTTATAAAACGAAACATTTTGCTTTTGAAACAGACATGTAAGTCAATTTTTATACTTTTAAATATTTGATTATTTCACGAAAGTTGTATTAACACGTAATAATTAATAAAAAAATATTGTAAAGTTACGGGCTAGTGCGAAATATTTATACACGTTTAGGGCAGTTTCTTAGCCATATCCTTTCTAAAATATCCTACTTATATGCCATATTTAGTTTTGAAGGAGAAAGTGGAAGAGATAAAATTAGACAATAAGTCCACTATTGTCATTGTATATTTAATAGCATTGATAGAGACCTTCTTGAACGAGAACGCTTAATATTTATATTTGTTACTTAATTCAGTGGGGATTGAATAGAGATAAAACAGAAGACTGTAGTGTCATGCATGGGATATGCTTTTAATCAATATTTTGTTTCAATATGTAAATGTATCGCCAGGTAATCCATCTGAGAGTCCTGGTGGCCTTACACGTGGCGGTACTCCAGAAGGTTACCGTGAATTGCGAGATTTCAAAATTGACCTCGACAATTCCGATTCTGACGGGGAAGAGTTTCTGTCCGCACTCAACGCTGCCAACGACGCCGATAATACTATTCTCATTACTTTGAACATGGTAAGTCACTCAATAGTTTTGTAAATACATTTCCGGACACATTTATAAGCCCACCAAGCGTTTTAAGTTTTAAAGCTAGCAAAAAAATATTTGAGCAAAAAGTTTTAACACAGTTTTGAAGAAGATTTATTAACCATCTTGTTCATGTGTTTTAAAAAATATATTATTAATGCACAACCTAACATAAATTTTTGCTACAGACCGCTGAAATTTATAACACTAAGTGGGCCGATAGATGTGTTCGCAAGTATACGCAGTTGTAAATTGTCCTTCTTAAGTGGCTGAACTTTATAAAGGTGTGAAGAAAACTTTGCAAGGATTGGTAGCAAATGCGAAAAACTGAGCAAGATGATTGTCGCATCTGATCTCCATTTTATCATTCAATCAGGAAGATCATTACATTTGTATCTAACCAGACTTGACTGTATATCGATACTTTGCCTTCCTGAATCTTAAAAATAGAGATACAAAGCAGCGCTTCTGGTCTCAGTTTTGTTGTACCCTCTTGGAAAATGTGTGAATGAAAATTAATATGAATCACATTTATCTTTGTGCTGTCGTTCATTTTATGTTGGTGTTTGTATTGATTCTGGCATGATCCTCTAAAACTAAACTTAAATTTGACAACGATGTGTCCCTGCTATTCTCTATACAGAATGAAAAGGAGACACTGATGTTAAATTCAGTTTTAAGTTACAGCAATGCCAAGACACCATTGTCTTATGTCTGCTCTAAGGAAACGAAATCATATTCAAAACATTGTTTTTACAATACTAACAGGAGGAGATGGAAATCCTGAACTCTTTGAAGCCGAAAGAAGAGAAAGACGATGCTTGTAATCCCGACGGTAGCATCAAAATAAAGACTGAAATGGACGATGGTAACTTGAAACATACGGAAGATTCGACTGCTTTGAAGAACGCGATATTGGGACCACAACCTGCTGAGGCGGAGCAACCGCCCACTGTGGCTACAGAGAGCATACCCACCGTTCATAGCACTAAGACTGAGAATGTCAGCAGTGGTAAGTTATCTACCTTTATTTGGATACTCACGTTTATAGTCTTTTTACAGTAAATAAATAAAAATATGATAAATAATACATTAATTTACTGAAGTAATTCATTGCAATCTGTATATCATTATCTTAAGGTTTAAGTTAACTTATTATTATTATTGATAAATTTTGCTTAAATAATTTGTAAAAGGGACAAATTTATTTTTGCTGAATAACTATTTCATTTGTATTATTATTATGTGTGTATTTTGGGTGATTTCGAACTATTTTGCTGGGTTTAGTCGTTTGTAATAATTCATGGAAATTTATTGCAAATTATCTTATTATCAATCGCATAGCTCACTCTCTTTGCAAAAATGTTTTTATACGTTTGTACAATGTTTGTCTATAGAAACGGGTGGGTCTTCGCAAGCATCCACTATATCGCCTAAGGACGACTTGTCACTTCTGGGCGTTAATCTTGACGCGATGGTGCGCGATTCTCTGCCCGATATGGACAGCAACGATGTCGACGAGATATTCAAGGGTGTGCTTACCGATGACTCACAGGTATGATTACAGTTACATATATTAGTTGTTTTTAAATATCAATTAAAGTACAACCAATAATTATGATAATATTGAGATGTATCTCTGTTTTGTGTCAAAAGAGCTTGGAAAGATTCCGAAACATCAATAATAGGGATGTTGTCAGTAATCGTAAATTTACGTTCCGTGTTAATTTTATTATGGTTTGTATTATTAGAATATCGTAAATCAAATTTTTCAAATCAATAATGTGATTCAATCAATAAATCAATTTTTTCAAATTTGATTTATTGAATGAATCACATTGAATTAATTTCTCTATATTCTAAATAAATCTTTAAAATCTTGTCTCACACAGGTTGATACGTAATCTACCATTGAAATAATAAATAGATGAAGCATTTAAATTGTTTTTAAGTTTTTAAGAATGCTGAACAAAGTTCTGACTGCTGTGAATGATTTATCGGGAAAAAATAATATTCCTATATTTAGTTGATTTTCTCATCGAAAATGCTTATATATATATATATGTATATATTTATGATAAACAAGAGGTGATCTTAAGAATAAGAACAATTCCGAAAAAATTACAACATTCATATTATGTATCTGCTCTATACATACTCATATAAAAAGTTTGGTTAATTTATGCATATTAGTTCTTATCATCAAGTACATAATCTGATATATTATGAGGATTCACTTTTTACAAATCTCATAAATACTCATGATTCTAAAAATGGTTCAAGAATAAGGAAACAATTTTGATTTGTTTTTTAAACAGTACCCTATCTAAAAATCTATTCTTGGTTTCTATTACCTACACTCGTTATTTAGAATCTAACGTTTTGTTAACGTTATATTGAATTGTTTTATAAGGAGTCACAAGAATCGTCCGTGTCGTACGTGAACTCTATGGCGGGCACGCCTTACTCGCAGCAACGGCAGCAGCTGCAGAGCCCCATGGAGTACGCATCGCCATACCACAACGATTTCGGCAGCAGGTAACTTAACTAATAATCAAGATTTGTGTAGCTATTTCTGTTAAGCTGTTTCCATGTTTGATGACAAGTACTGTGAGCCCTATGGAGTACGTATCGCCATACCACAACGATTTCGGAAGCAGGTAATGTAACTAATTAAAAAGATTTGTGTAGCTATTTCTGTTAGGCTGTTTCCATGTTTGATGACAAGTACTGTGAGCCCCATGGAGTACGCATCGCTATACCACAACGATTTCGGAAGAAGGTAATTTAACTAATAATCGAGAGTGGTGTAGCCATTTCTGTTAGGCTGTTTCCATGTTTGATGACAAGTACTGTGAGCCCTATGGAGTACGTATCGCCATACCACAACGATTTCGGAAGCAGGTAATTTAACTAATAATCGAGAGTGGTGTAGCCATTTCTGTTAGGCTGTTTCCATGTTTGATGACAAGTACTGTGAGCCCTATGGAGTACGTATCGCCATACCACAACGATTTCGGAAGCAGGTAATTTAACTAATTATCAAGATTTGTGTAGCTATTTCTGTTAGGCTGTTTCCATGTTTGATGACAAGTACTGTGAGCCCCATGGAGTACGCATCGCCATACCACAACGATTTCGGAAGCAGGTAATTTAACTAATAATCAAGAGTTGTGTAGCCATTTCTGTTAGGCTGTTTCCATGTTTGATGACAAGTACTGTGAGCCCTATGGAGTACGTATCGCCATACCACAACGATTTTGGAAGCAGGTAATTTAACTAATTATCAAGATTTGTGTAGCTATTTCTGTTAGGCTGTTTCCATGTTTGATGACAAGTACTGTGAGCCCCATGGAGTACGCATCGCCATACCACAATGAATTCGGATGCAGGTAATTTGACTAATTATCAAGATTTGTGTAGCTATTTCTGTTAGGCTGTTTCTATGTTTGATGACAAGTACTGCTATAACAATATTTTGTGCGGTTTATTATGAACTTAAATATTAGGGTCCCTAAGGTTTTAAAAAGCGATTTATTATAGCGGATTACCCATCGGATTTCTTCGTCGAGATAGCTAAACGTACGAAAAACAGAAGACTAGAGCCAAACAACACTATTTTTATGTTCCATAGAACACCATGGGGCGGATTGCTAAGGTCGAGGTTAGCAAAGCTAGCTAGCATTTTTATTTTAATGACATGTGATGCTGTGTTACAGTATGAATGTTAACACTAGTATTAACCGGAGTAACGATACTTGGTTTCTCATGTAACGCATTTTTCCGTCTTTATCTTCTGTAAAGGATCGCGTGATACAGTGCGATTCAAACTTAATTGCGGCTCTAAAGTTAGCGCAAGTGGCGGCGCAGTAAACGAAATTTAGTGTGATGTAAGTGAGTGCCGGATTTCACTGCACTGAAATCTGCGCTCGCCGGTAACTTCACAGCGGTCATAAAATTCTATTGTTTCCTAGGTCCATATTTGTACAATAAATAAATAAGATTAATAAAGACATAAATATATATGTGTAAGCATAACTTGTGCATAGCGTCCCATAATAAGTAAGTTGTGAAGAGCAATAAAACATTATATTATTATTATTGTAAAGTTTTTGTCGTATTACTATAAAGAAAGCGCTCCCCTGCCTTGTTTCCGTTGATATCATACTGGAATGTTAATTCAAGTAGGAACGAAATTTTCTTTCGTTTGTTAGCAGTAGCAGCGCGTTGAGCCCTCTATTCTCTGAAGGCGGGGGCGGAAGCGGAAGCGGGGGTGGGGGGCAAAGTGCTTGGGCTGAACAAACCCCTGCGCCCCCACCTTCCTACAACCAACGGACTGCGGACAAGATGCGAGCCGACGAGAGTGAGTAGACATACACTGACACAACACTTACCACCTCTCACCTAATCACTAGTAGTGGTTGTTCAATTCATTTGAGTTTACGTTATTTTATTTAAAATTATACTCATGAAATGGCAATAGGAATTTTGTTGCAAAACATCTAGCAGTTAAATGCTTAAAAAATAAATAAAATCATAAATAGGAATTTTGTTGAGATATTACTTTATAGAATATTTAATTTATGAATATGACAACAGTCTCCCCTTTTTATTATCTATATAGTAATAAGGATAACTTGCTGTCAAAATGACAAATAGCAAACACGAAAAGCTAAGTGAAGTCCCTGCATAATATCATTGATTGGTGATCAATATTCGATACCTTATCTGTTTGTTTTGATCGTAATAATCAGGTTAACTTGAACTCCTCCAATACAAGTACATACCATATAAAATATAATTACAGTATAACGCCGATTAACGAAATCGCCAATTATCCGAATCAGTCCTAAGCGTAATATAAAAAATTAAAACCAAGTTATTTTTATTTTGTTTGGTTGTAACAAGTTCTAACTCGCTGGAGTCCAGATATATTTCATCTGTTATTGTTGAAAACTAGAGGCAAGACACTACATGTTTAGGGACACGATATCGAATAGAAAGTATCGATACTGTACTCATGAGTAGTATCGGTAAAAAAGTATCGTACTCGTAAAAGTATCGAAACAAAAGTATCATATCACATTTCATAGAGCCTTATGGGGGGTAAAATTGAACAGCAGCCTTTACAGGCCGCGTCGTCGGAATCAATTTTATTTAATTTTGTCGAGCTACCTTCGAAAGACTTTTATTGAGCGTTCGGTTATTTCATTGCTCGATTTTTAAAGTTTTATTGTCTATATATGAATTTATTACTTAATTTAGTTAATAAAGTACTTTGTTTAAAAATCTTTTTTTTAATTTTGAATTTATTTATTTGACCCTAACTACCGTAAACTACCACCGGTTCCAAAATTGGGAGATCTTTCTGAGAAGAACCGGCGAAACAAACTCAAAATAAATAAATAAAGTTTCGTGCATTAACCTGTGAAAAACTAGTTTTATTTAAATCAAATACAGTCAAGCGAAAAGTACAATAAACGGCGAATCAATCACAGTTCCTAATAATATGGTCGCTAAATAAATAACTATGAAACAAAACAAAGTACAAAATAAACACAGTCACAGATTGGAAAGAATTTGAATATGTCAGTTACTGACTTTATAACAACGCAATAGGGTATTTGACAGTATTAAAAATAAAGTGCCAATTGTTAGCATCTGTGTTTAGGTTGAATATTGACATGGGTTTTTACTATTTTTACAAAAAAATATTCATAATTTTACTAAAAACTAACGAAAAAGATATTAGTTTTCTTATCTATTGTCACGTGACCTAAAACGCTTGGGATTGGCGGAGCCTAAAATGACGTCACACGCAAGTAAACTTCCGGTTAAAGTGACATTACATTGTTTGACGTTTAAATAACAGTCGTGTGACGTCACACACTAGTGGGACGCCATATTGTTCAGAGAAACGTTTTCGCGGCAACTTGAAAATGGAGTTTTTGATTTGGTTAATTTTACTGAAATACACGACAGAATGATGAATATCTACTTTTTACGGACTCCATAAACATTAGTCAACAACGTGAGATCGTTGCCTAAAACTTGTCAAATACCCTATGGAACGTTTTAGGAGGTTTGCTATGATTTAACAAGATGGCGTTGCCATCAATATGGGGCGCTTATCCAAATTTTTAAAGGTATCCTTGCCAAAAAGTACTCATTTAGTAAAAGTATCGAGTATAAAAGTATCGGTATCGAAAGGAAAAGTACTCGATACCACAAAGTATCAATACTTTTTTCGTGTCCCTATACATGTTTTGTGTGGCGCGGTTTTATGTACCTCTATTATTGTATTTAGTATTGTAGAACTGTGTTTGTTAAACTTATTAGGTTTATTTTATGTGTGACAATTCGTTTATCTTTATTAACAGTCTATGTCAGATTATCCGAATCGACCCCGATCCCACTTAATTCTGATAATCGGCGTTCTACTGTATGTATAAAATATTATAATCTAAAAACCATAAACCTGACATTATGTTTATATTGAAATTAGGCTTAGGTTCAGCAGCAACCATATCTGCAGTGCTATACGCGAACACCAACCATCCTGAATGGAAGACCGAATTCCCTAACTGGGGAGATCGGTGTAAACAGATACTCAAGAAATGGCGTGCCTTACCCTCCGAACAAAAAGCGCCTTACTTGCAACGTGCCAGAGACAACAGGAGCGCCATTCGCATGAAGAAGGCCCAACAGGTGAGTGTTTGTGTGTGCCAAATGTGGTGTGTGCTAACCCAACTCACTTACCACTGTGTTTATACATTGTCTTTCACAACCCTCGCTATTATTATTTTAGAGTGGATTCCATTAATAATTTTTACAATCAATAGGGATGATGGCAACCTTTTTTTCTTTATCCAACAGGTACATTATCAAAAAGTATTGGATACGTATTTTTTCTTTATTCACATAATAAAAACATTGCAGAGATACATATATTGATTTGAAATGCCGCACGTCTTGGTACAATTTTTACTTAGAAGTGACGTCATGAGCCCCCACTTTCAAATTTTGACGCGCTTTATCTTTGTCATTTATAGGTTGATTGACAAAAGAAAAAATAGTGTCGATTATTTTTTTATAGTCAAACTGACGGAAATAATTTAATTTCTTTACTTTACTCTGTTATCATCCCTATTGTTTGACATAAAGTTTTTCATATAAAAGTCACAAAGGAGTTCACTCTGAAACTGATTTGTTTTAATGTTTTTTTTGGATATTTGCTAGTCACTTTCATCAAAATATCATGCTCATTTTCATTATTCTTTCACGCTCAGTCACACGAGACGCGGTCGACGGTTACGAGCACGCTGTCGCACACGATTTATTGTAGTAACACTACACTGTAAACATTGTTCTTGAACATATACACACTGAATTTTATATTGTCGCTATATGTCGATGTTTCTGTGTCTTTTAAATATTATTAGGTAAAATTTAAGGCCGAAAGACCCGATTCCATTATGCTACTTATTTCAATGAGTATTTATGTTTAACAACACAAATTACCACCATCAATAAAGTACTGGATGGATCATTCAGACCCCAGTACTTTTCCGATTGTGTTATCTTTCTTTTGTCCCTTATTAATAATCAGGTAATCTTTGTCTACATACGCAGTGTTTTTTTTTTAATTCACATTAACTGCGTGTAGGTTACGCTATACTCCAGCGTATACTTCGTTTTTTAATAAGGGGGAAGAGATTACTGCCGTCGATCGTAAAGATAACTTGGGCAAAACTCTCATGAAGCCAACTCAACTTAGGGATTTTACTCGACCGCGTTTCGTGTACGTGCGTGAACATTTCGTGGTCGGCGTTACGACGACTTGAAGGTATTGAGGCTAAGGGTCGCACTGCGAATTTTCACTGAGCGGATTAAATCTGGCGATTTGTAATTCGCATACTGAAACTTTCTTTACACGCACGGCGTTTGCACATTTCTGATATAATATGCTCACAAAATTATCGTACGAGTCTAAATTATAACCGGTGCGTGGGATTCCTTTGCGATTGAAAAAGAACTGGCAATTTATTTTAGGGAATTGCTCTACTAGTTGCTGAAAATGTCGGTGGAGTCATGTTCGACAACTACTGATGATTAATGATCTTTAGGATAAGAGCCGCAGATTAGACCTAAATGTCAACGGGTCCGATTCGATGTTTCGTACGTAGATGATTCATGCATGTATAGTCTGTTTTTTTAATATCGGAGACAAAGATGACATTACCTGTGTTGCAGGTCCGATAACTCTTAAATAGTGATGTGCTACTATAGGAAATTAACGCTCATAAAATATTTAGTATCGTTTTTTATTTTATAAGAGTTTTAGTAAGCATTATCGGAACCGGATTCCCAGTTATGTCCATGAGCCACAGTGACCGCACGCCACCTAGCGGCATGTCTGCCTGTATTTAATTTCTTTGATATAAAATCAAATATAAAAACGGACTTGTAAATCCAAAATTTTCATTTAAAAGTAAAAAATGATATTGAAACATGGAATAAATTTTGATTTTTAATCTGTATAAGAATGTGTTTTAATCTTGACCATGCCAGACTTTGAAAACATACCCACATAGAACCCACCCGATTTCATGATTTCGTGTGAATCGGATATTATTTTTTACTTTTCAGTTCCATTTTCAATTTTGAAGTCATTTTTCATTATATGTTTAAAAATAATTTTTATTTCATCTATTTTAGTGTAAAGCGCCTACACATAGGTACATAAAAATCCTGAAAAAATTCGTATACGAAGTATCATGAAAATTACAACAAAAAAGGAATTACGAAAATCGGATCAGAAATCATATTATGTACATACATATAACATACCGACCAAATTGAGCACCTTTTTAAAGTCAGTACAATGAATGCACGTGATCATAAATTATAGCTTTTGTTCGGTAGAAAATGCTAAATGAAGACAGTAATGAGAGACCTACATGTACAGATATAAAATGATCTTATATTAATATATTTTCAATTTATTTATTAGTAAATAAATATAAAATTATTTTTTATTTTATTTATTTCTTTGAAAATGAACGACGTTTACAAAAGTATTTGAATATAGTGTAAACCGACATTAAAGGTAATTACAGATTTTCCATAAATAATTTTCAATTTATTGTTTTTACGGTCAGAAACATTCCCTTGCCTTAAGCTAGGTAAATTCCATACTTTCAAACAATACTAAACAAAATGCCTTCCAAAGGATATAGGTAATGATAAACAAGTCGTAACAGCCACGAAATGCTGTAAATTTAAATATACCTTGTACCTGCATTACTTGACACAACCACCTACAATATTTTTTAATTTAAGATTTACAGGGAGATTTGAAGTTCATAATAAGATAAGCATTATTATACTAATCAGATATGAACTTTCTGAAACGTGATCATCAGACTCGGCATCTATTACTATAATAAAAATTTGGTAATGTCGACTATATGACCCAGTTGACCGTTTTTATTTAAAATAAAAAGGGTGTTTATATTAATGTGCAACACATTAAATATTATATACTGATAAAGCATGCTATAATTTTGAAAATTTGAAAAATATCAATGAATTAAAAAATAATCTTATATAATAAAATTCTCGTGTCACAATGTTAGTTACCATACTCCTCAGAAACGGCTTGACCGATTTTTATGAAATTTTACATGCATATTCAGTAGGTCTGAGAATCGGCTACTATCTATTTCGTACCCTTAAGTGATTAGGGTTGTCCACCACTAACATTTATTTTTATTTATTGGACATTTTTTTTCTTTTATAATGTGGCATTAAAAATTACATACAACCCTAAATTTTCACACTTCTATCACCAACCCCTATTTTTTAATAGTCAAATATATGGCAAAACAAAGTTTGCTGGGTCAGCTAGTCTGTATATAAAAAACAAAACTTGATAAAAACCGATATAGCCGGTACAACACCACATAATAAAAGCTGGTATCATTATTTGCACACTTGCATGTATCGTTTTTGTCTCTGATATTAAAAAACAGACCATAGAGGGAATGAAGGAGAGATAGGATGTACAAAGTGCATTTCAATTTTATTAGCCAAACTTATGATTTATATTACTAAAACTACCTAGAATAGGGAAATGATGTTAGAGCAGATTACGTGTGACGGATAATCCCTCGTATAGCAAGCATCTATAGCTATCACAGCTATAAGACTACAGCTGTGGTGGTCGATTACTATCGAGATTGACCATTACACTTGTTTCTTATTTTCTTCATGTGAAAATAGTACTGTGCGGTTTCCGAATGTGTAAAAATCGCGCGGTGAAATTTCGCAATGCGGTGTTGGCCTAAAGAACGGTTCGGGCGCGGCACAGAGTACGGGCGGGGGCGGGGCGACGGCGCCGGGCGAGGCGGACAGCGGCTGCGTCGTCGTCAATAGCGCGCCAGCCGTCGCGGCGAGCGGAGCTGCGAGCGGGGTGCGCGCGCCCAACGTGACGGTGACGGCGGCCGGGCTCCTGGAGGCGGACGCGCACATCCGCGTGCTCACCCCCTCGGAGATCATGCGCACGCTGCCGCGCCTCGCACGCCCCACGGTACCGCGGCCGATGCGTACAACGCGCGCGCTCGCCTCGCCTACACACCGACAACGCGGACTTATCTCCCTCTCTCTCTTTCATCACATAACACACTCCGTTCGGAAAAGAACTAAGAAACTTAAAAATTGGACCTATAAATATTTTATTATTTATTGTTTTTTTACAATATCATGTTATTGTGTTATTTACAAGAAGTATTATTCTTATTATACAGAGCGAAAGGTGTCAAATCTGTCATGATTCTCCAAACTTAATTTAACATTAGTCTCTCCTTTTCGTTCTGTATAGAGAATGACAAAGTAACACTCTGTTGTCAAATTTAGTTTTAGGTTTAGAATTTATTTACTTAATCTGATTTATTCTTTACAATTACTTTCTTTGACATGTTCGCAGTCTTGAATGTTATAAATTATTATTTACAATAACAAAGATGGTTGAATACCACAACAACAAATTATTATTTGTTTTAGAGCGTTTTTATGACGTACTTAGTTCTTTTAAAATTACTCTTACTTCGAAGTCGAACTAGTCTCTTTATCTAAAATTTAATATTTAACTTTTTGGTGTACAAGTGCATGATAAATGTGTGTGTTCTGCTTTCAGAGTAGTTATCACGAAATTCAATAATTGAAGAATTACCTGTTGTGGATAAAATATTTTATATTTTTTAGAGTAATATTGCTAATAAAGTTAATATTCTTAACAAATACAACTATTTTATGATAAAAATTCAAGAGGACTACAAACGTCATAATGCCATATTATTTACATATTTAATCATGTAGCAAATTACCAAACTTTACCTGAATACATCTTAATTTAGACTTTACCAATTAGGCCCTCCCCACATTGTCCATACTCGTAGAAGCGGTGTGTACGCGAGGTTCGTTCGTTTTGGTTGTTGGGTGATCGCGCGACCCGCCCCGTAACTTGCTCTAAATTTGTTATCACCCAACAAAGTTTTGGCTGTTCGATGGCGTTGTAAGCTGTGTGATTATTTTTCGTTTTCTTTTAGCTTCTTTATATAACGAGGTCTCTCGAAAAGTACTGATGCGCCTCCCGGACTCGTGTCCTCGTTTCCGTAATGTTGTTTATTTTTTTATTTTATTTGAAGCTTTGCCTTGGTAGTGTTGGCTTTAACATTCGACGCGGTGGTGGCTGGCTGTGATGTGCTAACAGTTCTAACAAGTCGACATAGTTGGTTCATTTGCAACGTTACGCTCATGTTGTACACAGCTTTTAGTGTTAATTTTAAGTTTACAGGACTGGGTTACGTAAAGTGTAAAATAAAGTAATTTACGTCACATTATCCCGTTATTTATAGGGATTCTGTTTTACACTTATTCCTAAGTTATTGTTGTAAAGACTATCTTACATTCATCATATTAAATAATAATACAATTTTCACCTAAAATAATAACATTACGAATTTAACATACTCATTATTTATATAATTCATTTATTTACTTGTATTAAAATGTTTCTGTTTACGTTACATATAAAAGCATGGTTACAGGGCAGTCACAAAATAAATTTTCCAAAAGTTTTAATTATAATTTCTTTGGTATTTATAACATTGGTATTAAGTTGTCTCATATATCAAACACATTTACATGTTTTATATAGATTGAACTATTTTTATTTATGTTGGTTAATACGCACAGATGTATATAGGCATACTCTGTAAAACACACTAGACATAACCTGTTGATCTTGCATGCTGATAACTAGACTATTAAATAATCCTCAAGTATGCAAGAGAAAGAAACTAATAATAAATTGTATTTGTCAATATTAATTATAGTGTACAGATAAAAAGTGACTACATAAGATGTATGCTCTGTATATCATAACCGATTTTTGTACTTCATCATCCTTTAAAAAAACACGCACATAAATTAAAACACACTCATTAAGTTTAATTAAATTAAATTGATGTTTATTACATTGTATGTAGTCTGCAAACTTTCACGTTAATGTTCAAGTCACACAAATTTACTGTAATTATTTTACAATATGTAACATGTACATAGATATTATATTTTAGTTAAAGCTTTTAAATACAAATTAGAAATAATTAGATGACTGCACGTTTATTGACGCATGATTTATGTGTTTTGACAATACTTTGACTCGATTAATTTATTTTATTAAAACAACTAGGTAATGTGACAATAGTTTTGGTACTACACTCTACTTTCGTCATATTTCTTTATTTAATATAGGACTCGGCTTTGACATTTGATTATTTCAATCTTTTTTATCTTTTTTCTAGAAATATAAATTATCACTTTTTAAAAATCATAATTTTCGTCAGGTCGGCTGGTGTTGTTCAAAGTCAAATGTATTTATGCTTCCAAGTTTAATAAAAAATCTGACTGACTTTGTACACTTCTATAAAAACCTTTTGTTTAAATATTCTATGATTAGTACTGATCACATAATATGTTTCCAAAAATGTTCGTTAATAATCCATGAAAACTATTGCCACTAGACCTATTCTATATTTTATTGTTCAACTGAATTTAATAGTACAGGTACATTAATTGAACAAATAAATCGTTGAGTCCGGCTGCTTCCTGGACCGCGTAAAAAAAATCTAGTAAATTTTTCTTTACATTAAAACAACTAACAGTTTAATGCTTTAAAAAAGATATAATAAATGAATCGAGGCAAGTATTTTGTACCTAGCGACCAAGGCTGCTTTATAACAATGATCGTGTACATAGGAGCAGGAACGGTCATGCGGTCAGCATCGTAGCGCGCGCGAGGCCGAGCAGGAGCGCCAGTGGAAGCACCTGCAACAGCAACGGCAGCAGCAGACGCAGCAGCAGCAGCAGATCATACACGACCAGCGCATGCAAGGTATGTGACGGTGATGACGGACGACACTTGACAATATTCTTGGCCCATATTGTTTTAAACTTTCATGGTCACTACCATTATAGCTATTAACGGGATTGTTACCATGTACCTTGTTTTTTATGAGTCTCCGATATTTCGGCACTGTTGCAAGCGCCATGATCACGGAGTGACTGAATATCGACAATAACTGAGTACTAATATCGGAGATTCATAGAAAACAAGGTACATGGTAACAATCCCGTTAATAGCTATAATTCTTAGGCCCGTATTATAGATCTCTCTCAACTCTGAGACTCCACGATCTTGTGATTTTGTTTTCAGACAAAACAGCATGTCAAGATCACTGTAACTCTGAGACTACGATTTTGGGATACTGTTGAGAGCGATCTATTTATACGGGCCGTAGAATAATGATTTACATAGAAGGAATGGTAAAATAGCAACAATATGCATTCAGTCCGTCCTACTTTTACCAACAAGCCCGATAATGTATTGGAAAAAGATAGATATCGCACTTTCCTTGTCGTCTTGGAATTTGGAAAAAAATGTTTTGACGCCAAAAAATAATTAAAGCTCACTAACTCAGTATTAAAACTGTCGACTTTTGAAACGAACAAAATTTATCTTTTTAACGCTTTTCAATTTCCAAATACATGACATTTTAAAACATGTAAACCAAAAAATACTACGAATTCTAAGACAACTTTGAAAAAAGCAGAACAAAGTATGATCTACTGTCTCACTTATACCGATACCGATCAAGTCAAACAGTTTTTATAATTGTTTTTTTTTAGGTTTTCACGCACACCACTCATTAAATAAAACAAGTTTCAACGGTATAGATGCACTGATTTTTTTTTTCACGATTTTTATTCAAAATTTGTATTCCTTTTCCGGATTCTAGAAAGGATGCGAAACGTCAATAAATAAATAAATCAGTGCATCTGCTATACCATTGAAATTTGTTTTATTTTAGCATTCCCGCTATGTAAATTATTATTCTATGATAATATTTGTTGCTAATTATAATTGTCTATATACAGTCTAGTGTTTTCATTTGGGCGTAGTCTAAGGTTGACTATCATACATGACAGCAATCAGATTCATTATGAGCTACAATTCTTACTATTAAGCGCTGTCAATAGAGACAAGAATGCTTAGTATATCCGCCGAACGAGGATTGATAATTATTTTGCTGTTATTATTCTTGAAAAAAAAAACCATTAAATAAAAGTTATGTACATGACATAAAGATTTTATTAAATTCACTTAAATGTTTATTATTTTTATAATTTCTTGTTCAATACTGACTGACACTATAAATGAAGAAAAACTATATTATGATAACCTAAAAAGCGTATATTATATGGATTGAGTTGCCGAAATAATGTCGTTGAAGGCGCGTGTGTTACCCAAGCAGCGATCTCGCGGCTGCGCGTGCCGGACGCCGGGTCTCCGGTGCCGGGCGCCGGACCGGTGGCCGGATCGGTGACCGGACCGGGACCAGGGGTTGGCGCCGCGACGGAGGCGCCCAGAAGTGCTTTCCCCGCGCAACGCTTCCCCTTACACTATGGCGCCAACGAAGATTTAAACAGGCAGTTGCGCGACTTGCTGCAGCGACACCCGGACAAGATATGGCCGCCGCGTGAGTCAAATAATAATAATAATAATAAATTTATTTGCCCCATCATTATTACATAGTTAAATCATAACAATTGTTTTCTTAATGCCTAATAACAGCGACAATACTACTTGAAACTAAAAATACAATAAAATAGCACTTACAATACACTAGTACCTAAACTAGGCCGAGCCTGTATAATAGGTACTACATCCTTCCATTTTGACTAAATTAACATTGAAAGGATTTCATCTATAATATTTTGAAGTCAAAGATATATAAATTAACACAATAAATGCGTGTTAAGATGCCACGAATAGTTTTTAGGCTGAATACCGAATATTGGGCGAGGCTCTGTGCCGAAGCGCCGACCATTCGGCAGCACTTAGTAGTTTTCGTGGGTGACAAGTCACAACTCGTTAAACTTGCATTGCTGAAGTATTAGGCGCAGGTAGTTTTGTTTCATGGTCAGTGGTGTGGTGGTCAACAAAATGCAAAACAATATCTCTGACCCTTTCACAATTTGCTGAGATTTATTTATCATCTCCCGATAGCATTGAATGTAGTAAGCGGCTGTTTTCGGAAGCAGCTATAATTTATGACGAAAATCACAATTGTCTGCTATCGACAAATGCTGAAAAAATTGTTTTCATTCATCATAACTAGTGATTGGATTATCGGATGCATATTAACCTAAAGTTGAGATGTTGGCTATTATGAAAAGCACTTTTTTTATCAAAAAATCCCGCGATTCCGGTGAATTCAAGTTTTAGGGTTTACTCCGTGGGCTCTTATAAACCCAGTTAGACACAAATGACAGTTGTCCTGTGTATCTAACATAAAAATATAGTGTAAGGTGCCCTTAATGATTAAAAAAACTTATACTCATTTATGTTTTCTTAATAACCACTACCATTTATCTTACACCTTATGTAGGTACATTAGGTACATACTCGAATTGTAAATTAAAATTTAACTATGATTAGTTATGAGATCCCGGAATCCCGAGATTTTATTTTTAGTAAAAATATCGTGAAACGCCGCGTCCGTAATTTGTTAGCATAATCATAACTTACCACTAGTACATTTTAAATATTAATAATTACCTATGTATGTTAATTTGCGGGTAATAAAAAAAATAATAATACAAACATTTTTGGAATTCGTAACCATACAAAATTATTTATTACCCCGTAGTACTTTCATGTTTGGCAGTTGTTTTAGGTCGAATCTAGCATCTAAAATTTTGAGCTCTTTCTAATAAGCTACCTGCTTGAAACTGTTATGTTATGACTCAATGGCATTGCATTCTTAATCCATTTATTAGCACAAAATAAATGGATTAAGAAAATGCGACCTTACCTTAAGAAGATATAAAAACATTTATACCTTTATAACGAAACAAACGATCAAAAAAAAAAAATATGGTATTTAGATTTGATTTTATACGCCGAAAATACCCACAGTTTAAGTGTAATAAAAATATGATCTTGTTTTAATTGTAATATTAATCTTATCTTTCACTATCTCATACAAGAAATAGATTTGTTGCCTTCGTAGGTCGATCATATGGAAGCACACTATTGCATAGGGGACTACTGTGGGGTTACACGAATAGGCTTCTTTTACTCCATATGGCTGCTATAAATTTCATATAAAGAAAAGTATACTGGTCAGTGCATTTGCCCGGATAGCGAAGGGTGCTGGTTCGAGTCCCGTCTGCTGCTTGGTACGCGTGGAATTTTTCCAATAAACTTCTCTTTTTTTTAATTTATTTTATTTATTTATCTCCTCTCAGGTCATCAGATTCCCACAAAAAGATGTCGATTCAGTATATATAAGGCAATAGACATGGTTTTGACTCATTAACATTAGAATCATAAATATTATTAACTGTAAGCATTATTTCCAGGAACAGAGAAGAAAACAAAAAATAAATAAAACAGGAAATCACTAAAGATACCACTTAAAAATAGTTTAAAAGAATATACGTATATCTATGCCATGCAAAACATTTAAAATTTTACATATGGATAATCTATCTCAATGCAATTAATATTACCTATCTACACAAACAACTATGTAGTTATGCAATTATATAGAGTAGTTCTTCAGTCTCATCGTAACTTAGGTTTTAAAACTTTTCTTTTTATTTAAACATTTATTAGTTAAATGCTAAAAAAATTAAAACATAACTTATTTTCATTTCCATAGAAGCTGGCAGCGATGACGGCGCAATTCAAGGTGTGAATATAGAAGGGCAACAATTCCGGCAACCGCTTCCCGTTGGGTTGCGTCCGCGTACGCCCTTGCAACCCGGACAGAGACCAGACCATCAAAGTAAGTTTTAATTCATCATCATCAGCTTATTAATGTCCCCACTGCTGGGGCACAAGCCTTAACTATGGATGGAATAGATGGAATAGGGAGATTGGGCCATGACCTACCACGTGGGCCCATTGCGGATTGGCAGGTGCTAACGACTGCAGATGCAGCCGGGACCAACGGCTTAACGTGCCTTCCGAAGCACGGAGGAACTCGAGATAGAAGATTTTTGGTCACCCATCCAATGACCAACCGCTGCGAAAGTTGCTTAACTTCAACGATAGCAGCCAGACGCGCTAACCACCCGCGCCATCGAGCTCCTCGAGTCTTAATTACTCGACTGGATTTTCACATACATATTATATACTTCACGGTATGTCCCGGGTGGGATTTTAACGAGATAGGAGAACAGGCTTTTATCGATATCTTTCCATTTCAGTACTGATGCAACAGCGTATAGTTGCAGAAAATGCTCAAATGCAGCAAAATCCTTCGAACCAAGTCACTCAGCAGCAAGTTATGGAACAAAAACAAAATGTTATCAATCAACAAGGAGGTTAGTATGTTCATGTAATAAAAATAATATGTATTTAAAATGTTTATTATGTAAATTAATGATTGTTCAAATCGTTTTCCTGCATACCTCCACACGTCGTTCTGCAAGCTGATTTAAGACACCATCAGGTTGTTTTTATCGTGGAGAATAATATATGAAAGCTGTTATTTTATAAGCCTTTATCCAACATGACTTTATGTTTTCGTGAAACTGGCTGTTAAGAGCTTTCAACATTCTCGTTGATCCATTATTCAATTGTTTTCTAACAAATATAGGGATGTTAAAGTGGTTTTTTTCTTTATAGGTACCGTAGGAGATAACAAGCAAGAATCGGGACAAGACCATGGAACAGACGAAATGGATATGGGTGATATGGATAAATTGGAACAAGATACTGGTAACATTGGAGAGGTAAAATTAAAACTAATTTAATTACATATCAGTGTAAATAATATTTTCGTAGTTTTTCGACATCACCCTTGGTTTAGTTGGGTCTTTTTTTAGGGTTCCGTACCTCAAAGGAAAAAAACGGAACCCTTATAGGATTACTTTTTGTCCGTCCTTCCGTCTGTCAAGACCCTTTTACTCAGGTCTACTGTCCCTTGCAGCTGTGAAAAAATCAAACTTCTAAGCCAAAGCAATCAAGAGATACAGCCGTTTATGCCGTAAATTTTCGAAACTCGCACGGGGATCAAAACCTACAGGATACTTCCCGTGAACTTAGAATCTTGAAATTTGGTACGAAGTAACGTCTTATACTACAGATAAAGGAAAAATTGCGAAAACCCTAAATTTTAGTTACATCATATTATCAAAAGATTTTTTAATAATTATTAAAAGATACCTACAGATTTGTACGGACCCCTCGGTGCGCGAGTCCGACTTACACTTGACCGGTTTTTTGTACATACAACAGCTCTTCTGACTTAACAAAACTGACAAACTTTGGCTTTCCACCTTAATTTGAAGTTCAAAAACTTTTGCTGAATTTTCACATTTAATGGTAATTTAAAATACAGTTTTGCATACCATAGGCCAAAGGGGATCAATATTTACAGTAGACACAGTTTAAGCAATGTTTAACGAATTCTGTTTTTTTTTTACTGAAAGAATATGTCGTCATCATTATCAGTCTATTAATGCCCCCACTGATGGGGCACAGGCCTTTTCTATCGTAGGAATAGCGGCTTAACGGAAGAGCTCGAAATAGTAAATTTTTGGTCACCCGTCCAATAGCCGACCACTGCGGAAGTTGCTTAACTTCAACGATCGCAGCAGATCGCGCTTACCACTTGCGCAATCGAGTTCCACTAATATAATTCCATATTATTAATAATGAATACTAGGCTAATCAAGGCAAGGCGGGGAATAATATATAATGCCATAATTATTAAACGTAATTTCTCCCAAACAATACAGGTGGATATACTAACGGGTCTGGGCGGCGAAGATGACGAGGAGCTGCTGGAATCGCTGACAGCCGAGATCGGAGAACAATTCAACATATTGGAGTACGCTGACCCCGAACTGGCCGCGCTCAACGACGCCGAACATATTCTCGACGGGTTAGAGTTGGCTGACGACGGCATGCCTGAGAGACATGCTAAACGGGACCCTGAGTGAGTACGCTTAATGCTTCTTTTAAAAAGACCTTTTTAACTCTTATCATCATCATATGCAGCCGATAATAATAACACTCACACAAAAAAAAAATCCAACACTCACACCAATTAGCGTAGCCCCAAAGTAAGCACTGTAGGCTTATGTTATGGGATACTAGGGTAACGGATAGAATACATATACTGATACATATATAAGTATATTCATACAGAAATACATATTAAACATCCACGACTGGAGTATAAATTCTCGTATTCATCACACAAAAATAAAAACTCGGCGTATAAACCACTCGGCCACGGAGGTCGTCAACACCGATGGCCGATGGAAGTCCACAGGGGTATCCAAACAACGGTCGTGCGCTTTCCGCATCCAGTGGGTCCAGTCAAGAGTTAAAGACCCACTGGATTGACTCTTATGTATGTTATTATTTCAGGTTTTTGTGGTTATGCAGTCCTAATGGAACTGTAGTCATTGCGACCTAAAAGATCTATTGTGACTAGTCACCAAGTTAAAGTATCTCTTTAGCCCGGTAGCTTTTAAGAAGCTTTAAACATTACTAGCTTCCAGAGATTTGTAGCTCAAAACGGTGTTTTTTTTAAGTTTCCGTTCTATGTTGCCCTGGTAATGTAGTTCTAATTTGCCCTGGCACTTTAGTTATAATTTGTCAGCGACTCTGCTATATTATTGTGCAATCTTTGATCCGTTTTCCGCGGCTATTTTATTAATTATGAGCAGCAAAATCAAAATAAATAAATAAAAGAAAATATGACAACAAAACTTTTTTTATTTTTTATTACAGAGATGAAAATGAGCATAAGCAAGACAACAAAATGGACACAGAGCTCCAGAAGGCTGTGAAAAACATAGAGGCTACCAAGTCTGACGGCAAACCGGAAATGGGCGAGGTGAAGTCTGAGCACCCGGAGAGCAAGCAGGAGGCGTCGGTCGTGACGCAAATGTTTTCTGACGGTGTTCAGAGGATCATCACGCCAAACCAACAGATGGCGATACAGGTCAGCATTAGCTTTATAAACACATACTGTAACAATGAAAAATACATACAAATAAAACAATATATACAAATACACGGATAATTTTAAAACTATTGATAAGCATCAGATAAAGAAACGTCGAGGGTTGTGAGACCTCGACAAAAATTATCCAATAAAGTTTACTTTCAAAACATTCACGTCCTAACATCATATTTAGTTTATGATGCTAAAAATGGCAAGTAACTAGGGCGATGATCTATAGTTTAAAATTCTGAACAAAAGCTGCTTGAAAATTTTCAAATGCCAACAAGAAGAAATGTGCGTTGTGCGTTTTAATCGTAAACAAAGGAATATTTTGTATGTATATTATTGTATAGAAAAAATATAATGAAAAAATAGTCATTCAATATTTAATTATTTGTTTGAAAAAAAAAACATAACTTCCTCTTTTAATAAGGTTGTTAATGTAGACTCTCGTATTATGATAACATCATGATTACGGCCACGTTTCTAGCAACACAGAAATAATTCTGCTCTATTACAATATGGTATTTGACAGTTTTAAAAATAAAGCGCCAATTGTTAGCATCTGTGTTTAGATTGAATATAGGCAGGGGTTTTTATTATTCTTACAAAAAAAATCATAATTTTACTAAAAACCCTCGAAAAAGATAATAATTTTCTTATGTATTGTCACTGACCCAAAACGCTAGGGATTGGCAGAGCCTAAAATGACGTCACACGCAAGTAAACTTGCGCTCAAAGTGACATTACATTGTATCGTTTGACGTTTTAATAACAGTCGTGTGACGTCACACACTAGTAAGACGCCATATTGTCCAGAGAAACGTTTTCGCGGCAACTTGAAAATGGAGATTTGATTATTTTTACTGAAATACACAACAGAATGTTGAATATCCACTTTTTACGGACTCCATAAACAATAGTGAATAACGTGAGATCGTTAACTAAAACTTGTCAAATACCCTATAGACGGCGATGCAAGCTATCAAGGCGGAAGTAAAGTTGGAGGGCGACGACAAAAGCGAGGCGTGGAGAAGTGGCCAATCTCCGCAGCGGCCGCATCTGTTCACGCATCAGAGACTGCAAGTGCCGGCACAGGTAATATTTAATGAAGTTCAAAGGCGATAACAAAATGCAGGCGTGGAGACGTGGCCAATCGCCGCAGCGGCCGCATCTGTTCACGCATCAGAGACTGCAAGTGCCGGCACAGGTAATATTTAATGAAGTTCAAAGGCGATAACAAAATGCAGGCGTGGAGACGTGGCCAATCGCCGCAGCGGCCGCATCTGTTCACGCATCAGAGACTGCAAGTGCCAGCACAGGTAATATTTAATGAAGTTCAAAGGTGAAAAAAAAATGGAGGCGTGGAGAAGTGGCCAATCACCGCAGCGGCCGCATCTGTTCACGCATCAGAGACTGCAAGTGCCAGCACAGGTAATATTATTGTAGTTGGAGGACGACTACAAAGGAGAGGCGTGGAGAAGTGGCCAATCGTAACAGCGGCCTCATCTGTTCACGCATCAGAGACTGCAAGTGCCAGCACAGGTAATATTTAATTAAGGAGACGACAAAGGCGAGGTATGGAGAAGTGGCCAATCGCCATTGCAAAGTACATTATTTGTACTGTTTGACGTTTAAATGTTAGCCGTGTGACGTCACACATTGGTAAAATTCCATATTACCCAGAGAAACAATTCAGCGGCACATTTATTTGAAAGCAGAATTATTACTTTCGTTTTTTATGAACTACACAACAGGATGATAAAGAACCACTTTATGGAGTCCATATATACGAGTGGATAATTTAAGATCGTTTTGAAAGCAAAACGATCTTAAGATCAGTGTATAAGTTATCTCTTCTGTTCACGCCTTTCAACAAAACAAAAAATGTTTCGTTGTGACAATTTGTATTTTTATTATATTTTCGAATCTGTCGCATCAAAGGTTTTAGAAAAAATCTCTAAACTTCTTTTCGTAGTAATAATCGATGTAGTTAATAATTTAATTCAAAACATTTATTTTTCTTTGCAGGGAATAGCACAACGTGGTCAGTTCGGGCAACCACAAGTTCTGAGCCAACAGATACAGCGACCGCAAGTGCAGTTTACTCAACAACAGCACATGCATTTTACCCAGGTATACATTAATCGTTGTAGACTTCAAGTTAAACATACATCACAATAACAATAATAAATGCTGCCTTCATACTGCAGTGCTTCGGTATGTTCGCCGAATACCGAGTGGACTGTTTTAATTTTTTTTACGTTCTCCCTTTTTAGTGAAGTCAAAGGGAACAATGCCAACAAAGCCTAGTCACGGTAATAATATCATATAGTATTCTATCTTCATACAAACGGTCGGAAAGCGAGTCATACCTACGCCACTCGAGTTCGATGTGCGCTCGGCGTGCACGCAGTCGCGAATGCGCCGCCGCGCCGCAACGACGACCGAACGGTCTGAATTGTTTTTTATGCAGTTAGCCGTGCTTAAACGTGCGTTTTGTATTGTAAATATTTGATTTAATTAAGTAGATACCTACATAATTTAGTATGGAAAAGAACAAACGACGATCAATATCGTACAACAGCACAATTGCTGTTTTTGGTTGCTTGAATTCTTCAATAACACACCCAGAGATATCATTTTTTAAATTACCTGAAATATTGGAAAGGTGTCCTTACCTTTAATATTTTTTATATACCTATCTACTAGTACGTAATTTGTTTCTAATATTTAGGTTTTTCCATCGGGCAAAATATCTGGAATAATATATAAATAAGTGGTTAGGATGAAAAAAGAGACAATCGAGTAATCTACCTACACTCGCGCTAAAAACAAAACTAAATTAAATACTGTAGGCGGGCGGCCCTACCGCGTGCTAACCCAGCGCTCGGCTGTAGGCATTTATTTTCAAGGACAGGGCGGAGTCACAATACTGTATGGATAATATTACCGTGGCCTAGTCTTCAGTTTTCTTTTTTTTTTAACATTTGAATGTGGGTGTGACGCATTCTAACCTCTACGCGTTGCTGAGAATAAAGTTCTTGACAGACAGACGGACAATAAAGGATCCTATTAGGGTCCCGTTTTTATTTTCTATTGAGGTACGGAAGCCTAAACATTCGTGTTTTTATAAATAAATATTTTTTAAATACAGGTTGCCACCAATGCTCACACGCAGAGCATAGTGAACGCTATGACGGCTCAAGTGAACGCGGCACAAGCAGCCGGGCGTAGTTACGCGCCGGGCACTAGACTAGTCGGCCTCGACGGTGCCGTGGGAGTGGTGCGGCACGATCGTACCGTCGCGCTCGCCACTCTGCCGCATACGTCGCCTGCCCCCAGTGAGTAGCCCCGCCCCCTTCCCCTCCCCAGCACTAGTCTGGTGCGGCTGGACAGCGCCGTAGGAGTGGTGCGGAACGATCGTACCGTCGCGCTCGCCACTCTGCTGCACACATTGCCCGCCCCCAGTGAGTAGCCCCGCCCCCTCCCCCGCACTAGACTGCTGCGGCTGGTCGGCGCCGTGGGAGTTATAAGTAAAACTATTCATTTTCCTTCTCTACCACTTTCTCAACTACGTGTGATCGCTTGTATGGGAGTGGAGCGCTGTGCACCTATTGCTACTCCTAGTCACTGGTAACCGTAGTTGATGTGTCTGATGGCGATTAAGCGAAGTACAATTCTAAGGAAATTTGGTTTTGGTTGATTTTATATATTCAGCTTACGACTTATAGTCTCCAGTTACCGAAACTGAACCCTTTTTGATCATCAACGAGTATTTGTAAGATGGAAGCAACTGGAAGCACAAAATATTTGCGTCGTGATTCCCGGGATTAAATCCCGGTGGGGCAAATGAGCATCGATTAGCTGGCTCCTCGATGCTCATTTGCATACACATGATGGCTCAGGTGGATAGCGCGTTCGGCTGCGATCGATGAAGCTAAGCAACTTTCACAGTGGTCGGTCATTGGATGGGTGACCAAAAATCTTCTATCTCGATTTCCTCCGTGCTTCGGAAGGCACGTTAAGCCCTTGGACCCGACTGCATCTGCAGTCGTTAGCACTCGCCAATCCGCACTGGGCCCGCGTGGTGGATCATGGCCCAATCTCCCTATTCCATCCATAGGGACGGCCTGTACTCCACCATTATTATTCATTGGTAGCTTGTATCCGACACAAGGCACAAAAATATCCACATTTGCGCAGCGGTTCTTAACCTGTTAGTGACGTGGGGCCATTTGTCAAAGCTTCTGTCTTGTCAGGAACCACCACTTACGATTTGCAGCACTCCCCTTCTCCCTCTTAGAATTTGTAAATGAATCAGCGTTCTTCCTTATGAAATAATATTTTTTCAAATGGCCTCGCGGACCACTTCATGTGCTTCCAGGGAGAACACCGGTTGTTCGCGTCTATTCGGAGACGGGTGCTGCGACCACAATCGCCCTCTCGGCACGCTCTAGGGAGACCGCGGTCCTCATAGTGCGTCTCGGGTGACGATGCAGGAGTTTGTCGGGTTTTTAGTGGTCCTGTTCAGGGCGTAGGTAGGGCCCTGTTCACTTCATCGAGTCTCACATACCTTCTTCTCGCTCCCCCAGTGGTTGAAGGATGCGTTACACATTTCCCAGACACAAAAAAACCTACTTCAAAAGGAATAAGCCCTTTGAACATTATGTTCTAAAATCAAAACAAATAGCGCGCGCTTCCTAACCTTCCTGTTACATACTTCCGTCCTACTTCACGTAGTCACTCCAACAAATTGCACGTAAGCGAAAGGAAAGATGTTACACAACAAAAAAAAAGGGAGAACACCCGTTAAGAACCACTGGTCTAAAGTATAATCTTGTTACTACAGCCGGGGGGCGAGCCCCCCCTCCGCCCCCATACCCGGGCACGCTGCGAGGCGCCGCGCCCCCATTGGCCGCCCCCACGCATGCCCCGCCGGCACAGCCGCCCCCGCCCTACCCGCAGGTAACCGCCCTACATACACCACTATACACGAACATACGCACTCACACTCATACCTACACACAGAGAGACATAGTCACCTGTCTACATAGAGGTATAAGAATAGAGTAGGGGAGATATAGACTCTACTACAAGTGGAAGTGCCCCTCTAATAGAAAGAGAAGGAAGATGAGAGACCGTTAGCTTTCTCTCTTTATTCGCGCATGCGCATTGGCAACCGTAAGCATCTTACATTGGATGCCATGCGTCACAAGAGAGAGAGAGCTAGCGGTCTCTCATCTTCTTTTTCTTTCTACGAGACGGACACTTTTAGAGACGCCATCCCCACTCTATTCTTATACTTCTATGCCTGTCTACACTATGCAGAGCGGTTTCTGTTCGACCGAATTAATATGACCAACTTTCAAATAATCAAATAGAATAATATTTGTAGAACAACAAAGCCGACCCGTAGTAATAAGGAATATCTATGTAATTCAAATAAGGCTCAAACTTTTTGTATATAAACTTTATTACTATTGACCCGAGGAAATGTAACACTTACGGCAATGATATAAAAAAGTTAGATTTTAAAAATTGACTTTTAAACAAACCACGCCCTGAAAATAACGAACACCTTAGAGAAAGAGTTATCCAACATGGTCCAGTCGTTCGGAGGTTATGCTCGTATATTTACAAACTTTTCCGCGATTAATTTTTATTTCTATAAAAGAAAGAAGATAACGAAGAAAAAAAACAATTTTGACGAAATAAAAATAGACTTTGTCTTGAACTCTGTTGATCTTATCAACATAAAATGATAACCGAGCAGAAAAAAACAGAAAATGTCATACAAAAGTTGCCTAAATATTATTAAAATAACGCTTTAAGCACTTTTAGTGGGTCACGCTGCTAGGGTGACCCACTTTGACTTTTTTATAGACCTTTTAAATGGAAGCAATTCCGTCAAATATGATCTTTATGTAACTTTTATCGTTTATGCAGCGCAAGTTACGGAAGGAACATTTTACCCGTTTTTGCAAATTTTTTCATTGGTGCTCCGCTCCTGCCCCTCTAGCATGACCACCGAAACGGGATATGATAAAGCGATATATCGTCATTGACTGTCAGACTTCAGTGGAGTTTGACAGTAGTCTGACAGTTAATTTCTATATATTGCTTTATCATATCCCGTTTCGGTGGTCATGCTAGAGGGGCTGTTGGTAGTATTGTTTCGTCAAATATACTATCCAACACAAAAAGAGTTTTTAAAATCGGACCAGTAGTTCCTGAAATAACGCGTTCAACCAAACAAATAAACACACCCTCAACTTTATAATATTAGTATAAATTGTACTTGCGTCCCTTTACATCGCTTGGAAGTAATTTAATATTAATTATATTAAGTACAAATAAATTTACCAAATAACGTTAATATTAATGAAATTCGTGAACATTTCAAAATTAGCTGTTTTTCAAATCATGCCATTAGCCAAAAACTAAGCCCTGCCTTTTTTTCACGAACAAAGAGACCGCTCCGTATTTGTCGCCTAACCTTTTTCTACTACACATTTTACAAGATTATTTTATTAGTTGTACAAAATTTTATTAAAAATACAGAAAAATTATGTTAATATTTCTGCAAATAGATGCTGAATGAAATTAATTAAACTAGTAATCATACTAATGAAAATCTAGTAGACTACAGATTAAAAATATTAATTTTCTCTTATTAATTTGTCTTGGAGAATTTTTGTATACATTGTCGTGCATGCAGTATATTGTTTATATTCGTGTTTTTTTTGTTGTTGTAAGAATTCGCATTGACCGTAAGAATTGTTTAAAGCGCTTTAAGTGTATGCCGTAAGCTTGGGTTCACATTTTGGTGACAAACGTTACTCTGCCGTCCCTAAATGTGAATCAGTACTTCGTTAAAATGCTTACATTTGATCGCATCGCAAACAATGAGAAGTTTACATTATCTATAACCATAGCAATATTAAAATTTCAATATCCATTCGGTGGAGGTTCGGATCAGGTATTCATTTATGTTACATTCTATTTGAAAACTAGTTAGTTTCATAAACAATCTGAAAGGACTAATATTGCATGGGTATATGGACGTACAGCCTGTGTTCGTACGAGTTTGGAATTATTGAAATATTTTTAAACGAAATAAAAGGAAAAATGTGCATTTTGGGGTTAAACCTCTTTCACGAATACACTTGTCATTCCGATATCCTTAGCCGTAAATAGGCAAAGGATTTTTTCTACTTCTAGTCAGCGATTTCGTACACAAAGAAATACTTGTACCCCCCGCAAAACATCATCCGCTATATTACCCCTTAGTATTATATTTTCGCGGGAAAAAGTAGCCAATGTCATTCTACAATTTCCCCCCTATATCTATTGGTATAGGCGTGAATAGGCGTACTTTTCCATTTCAAATATAAGTATGGATGAAAAAGCTCGTACGAGTACAGCGGTCGTAGTAGGCGAGAACTGACGGCGGAGTACAGGCGTGTTGTTTGCATGTCGGATTGTCGGTGATCGATGGTTGTTGCGAGCAGGCCTTTGACGCGGCGGACGCGTGGGGCGACTGGCTGCACCGCCGCCCGCTGCTACTGCAGGTCAGACATGTCCCGAAACCTCCTTAGGCACACATCTAAATAAATAACTGTATTATCACATGAGTAAAAAAGGCACAGAGCATTGATGTATAAAAATAAATAGATTCACAATCGTAATCAAAAAGTGTCTGAAGAAAAAATTACGCACATTCGTCATTTCTGCGCTCGTATTTACGTATACAATAGGGAAGATGCAATATTTTTATTTTTGTTTTCATTTTAAAGAATTCCATGTAGAATAAACCACAGATATATTAAAAAATTAAAACATTGTGATTTATCGGAAAAAATGCGGTTTTAAATTGACAATTTAAATTTTCGCGCGAAAACGAACCTATGGTTGCGATGACGTCACTCCTGTCAGTCATTGGTCGTAATTGTTCGTTGCTGGCTTTAAAATTTCATACTTTTGCATATTTTTTCGACTTTCGAAATATTTTTTTGAAAAATTTAAGATAGACTATCCATCAACATCATGTGATCATAACAATACCACTAATATTCCGAAAAAAGCCGTGTTGACTCATGTTTTGTGCCAATCTACTTCAACAAAGTTCCCAAATAAATTGTTTTCGACTGGAACTTCTGACCCAAAACTGAAAAAAAAGTGGTTTCAAGCTGCGAAGAGAAATGACAATTATTCTCCAAAGACCATTATTCGATGTTGAGAAGATCACTTTGACGTATGTCGGCGAATATACTTGTTATATGCTTAATTAATCTGCTTGTACGTAAAAACGCATTAGTAACCTACCTAATACTTACAAAACCTGTCTATAACATATTTTTAATTTTACAGTTGGAGAATGACGTCGAAAATTAGATAAAGTTTAAAATGTGTGGCACAATCTTCACATTGGCAGGACTGAACCAAGCTTTGCGTTTCATTTAAAATAACTGTAACACGATAACCTTCTTTACGTAGTTTATGCTCCGGAGAACTCGACCTTTTACTGTACATAATTTTCCATCTCTTTTAATTTGGACATAGCCGATTGCATTATCGCCGTAAGATTTGTAGAAGCCGCTGAATAAAATACGAATAAACTACGATTTTTACATACCGTAGTAATAAAGTCCCTTTCATTTCTACACTTAAAAACTCTGCACTTTGGACAAAAAAAGTTATAACCATGTCAACGCTAACTCTTGGGTAAATTCCTGGAGTCTGCTTTGATAAACGCAACTTCCATTTTTATTAAATGTAAAAAAACGCAATAAATGTTCCCATAAAATAATATTTACTTTAACAACCATAACCTCAAAGAAGTTGTCATTACAGGAGTGACGTCACTAAACGCTGATTGGTGTTTTAAAATACGTTCCGTTTCAAGTATTTTTAATTCGTAATAATTGTTAAAAAACAACATTATGTAAAATAAAAACGTTGCAGTGGCATTTCTTTTATATTTTTTTAACATTGTAATCATAAAATTTTCATAAATATTATATATGCATCTTCCCTATTGACATTGAACCTTATTGCCCCTACTGTTAATAGGGAAGATGCATATATAATATTTACGAAAATTTTATGATTAAAATGTTAAAAAAATATGAAAGAAATGCCACTGCAACGTTTTTATTTTACATAATGTTGTTTTTTAACAATTATTACGAATTAAAAATACTTGAAATGGAACGTATTTTAAAACACCAATCAGCGTTTAGTGACGTCAGTCCTGTTATGACAACTTCTTTGAGGTTATGGTTGTTAAAGTAAATATTATTTTATGGGAATATTTATTGCGTTTTTTTACATTTAATAAAAATGGAAGTTGCGTTTATCAAAGCAGACTCCAGGAATTTACCAAGAGTTAGCGTTGACATGGTTATAACTTTTTTTGTCCAAAGTGCAGAGTTTTTAAGTGTAGAAATGAAAGGGACTATATTACTACGGTATGTAAAAATCGTAGTTTATTCGTATTTTATTCAGCGGCTTCTACAAATCTTACGGCGATAATGCAATCGGCTATGTCCAAATTAAAAGAGATGGAAAATTATGTACAGTAAAAGGTCGAGTTCTCCGGAGCATAAACTACGTAAAGAAGGTTATCGTGTTACAGTTATTTTAAATGAAACGCAAAGCTTGGTTCAGTCCTGCCAATGAGAAGATTGTGCCACACATTTTAAACTTTATCTAATTTTCGACGTCATTCTCCAACTGTAAAATTAAAAATATGTTATAGACAGGTTTTGTAAGTATTAGGTAAGTTACTAATGCGTTTTTACGTACAAGCAGATTAATTAAGCATATAACAAGTATATTCGCCAACTTACGTCAAAGTGATCTTCTCAGCATCGAATAATGGTCTTTGGAGAATAATTGTCATTTCTCTTCGCAGCTTGAAACCACTTTTCTTTCAGTTTTGGGTCAGAAGTTCCAGTCAAAAACAATTTATTTGGGAACTTTGTTGAAGTAGATTGGCACAAAACATGAGTCACAACGGCTTTTTTTCGGAATATTAGTGGTATTGTTATGATCACATGATGTTGATGGATAGTCTCCATTTTAAATTTTTCAAAAAAATATTTCGAAAGTCGAAAAAATATGCAAAAGTATGAAATTTTAAAGCCAGCAACGAACAATTACGACTAGTGACAGACAGGAGTGACGTCATCGCAACCATAGGTTCGTTTTCGCGCGAAAATTTAAATTGTCAATTTAAAACCGCATTTTTTCCGATAAATCATAATGTTTTAATTTTTTAATATATCTGTGGTTTATTCTACATGGAATTCTTTAAAATGAAAACAAAAATAAAAATATTGCATCTTCCCTATTTGAACAAATGTGTTAACGTCATCTGTATAGTTGATGTACGATGCCGCTCGGACGTTTTTTGATGCGACACTTTTGTTTGGCGATTGGTAGTCTACTTGTTTTTATACTTCAATAGCACTGAAGCATAGCTTCATGCAGTGTGCGTGTGTGAGTGAGCACTGGCAGCGTGTCGTCGCTAATATAAACCTTTCCCAACGTACGCGATAGTCCCCAGTATTCACCACACACTCAATTGTATGAAGCTGTGTCTCTATGCCTTCTTTACTCGTATCCTTAACATCGGAAATACATAGATACCCGTAATGAAGAATAAATAAACACCGTTTTCCAATTAGTTTTGTGATACAGTGTTTTATAATACACACTTATGGGTTAAATAGTTTTAATTAAAGACTGATATATTTTGTTATGATTAACTTTGCAAACTCAACAAATCGATTTACGTTATGTTTAGATAATTATTTAGTTTAGTTAGATATGTGCCGAATGTTTCCCCAAACCTGTCCAGGTCGCATTCTGTTTAATATAGATAGATTTGTTTTTTATATAAAACAGTATATTAAAAAAAACTAGAATGCCACCTTTCCTATTAGTACCTTAGGACACTGCACCTCAACACCTTGAGCTTCCTTCTCACGACAAAATATTTTTTTTGTAAAAAAATAAGTATCGCACTTTCAATCAGGTCTTTAATAATTTAATTTTCGGATTACTTTGATGATATATTGTTTTAAACTTTCTTGGCACTAATATTATAGTTATTAACGGGATTGTTACCATGTACCTTGTTTTTTATGAGTCTCCGATATTTCGGCACTATTGCAAGCGCCACTCCGTGATCATGACACTTGCAACAGTGCCGAAATATCAGAGACTCATAAAAAAACAAGGTACATGGTAGCAATCCCGTTAATAACTATAATTTCTTAGATGACTTTACTTTCCTTAAAAAATGGGTTTAAATTCTTCTATAAAAAAAATCTTACATTACATACTTTTGTATTTTATGTTTAAATCTCAAGAAGTACTTCATGGTTACCTTTTTCAATGTGAAACAAAATTTCCATTAGGCTTCCTTCCCCTGTCCATTCTAGATCTACCAACTTCCTTAGTCTTTAGACCTTCGTTATATTAAGGCCTTGTCACTGCTAACCACATTATTGTCGTAACAGCTTCTTACTTAGTTCGCTTCGCACGCATGCCTATTGATTAACCATTACCTTTTCAGCATCCTTCTTAACACAACTACACTAATACTACAGCTAACATTGTACTAGCACTAATACGTTAACTAAATAATCTAACAAAGATTTCCTTATTGAAATTTTAAATATTATATATTATTTTTGCGCCTGTCTCATCTTAAATCATGGTGGTGGAGATTCATAATTATATAGTGGTTATGGATTAACTGAAGTTATAGTCAAAATGACCATTCTTAAAATGTTCAGTTTAAAAGAACTCACTATATATAATATAATATTTTGTATCATTAAACACTGTGAGTAGAAAGTAATATAGTCTTCATTGCACAGATTTATAAATCTGAACACAACACAATCTTCAAAAGCAGCATTGCAATACAACATGATGAATTGGTTTTAAGATTAGTATCAAACATAGCTGTAGCATTTTTGTTGCTTCAATCAATAAGAACGTATATACAACATTGAACCCTTTTTTGAGTTAAAGTCAATTATTTTGCTATAGTAAATTTATATTGCAATTTTGTATGCATAGAATATAAGCACTATTTTAGTTGACATCAATGTCCTTTGCATAAATTATTTTGAACTATATAGTTTATTCTGCACACATCTTTGTAAGTGATAGTTTTCAATTTATATCAAAAGTAGGTAGTTTAAACAGCACTAATGTCATTGTAATATGAGTTTCTTCCGCCTAAACCCATGTCTATCCACGATCTTCATAAATGTTCTCCAAGATAACGCGAGATAGTCGCTTCAACTAAATAATAAATATTCAAAGATGAGACAGGTACATGAAAACATCGGCACTAAAAGCCGTCGCGTCGACCGATCTCCGGCGAGTTCGGTCGGGCGTCGCCGGGCGCGGACGTTGGCGTCGCTCCGTGCGCGACGTCCAATCGCTAAATTTAACCGTCAGAACGTAAACCAGGAGCAACCGTTGCTTCTGGAGGAGCTATTGGAGCAGGAGAAGCGCGAGCAGGAGCGGGAGGGCGGCGATTGGTCGGGCAGCGCGGTGCCGGCGCCCGCTCCCGCGCCCGCGCCCCCCGCCGTGCCGCTGTACGCCGCCGCGCCGCCGCCGCAACCGCCCCCGCCTACCGATGACCACCACTCCCGCCTCCTCTACGAGCAGTGGCTCAAGCAGTTCGCCGCCTTCGCCGCCGACCAGCAGAACTACTACGAGGCCGAAGTGCAGAAACTCCGCAAGATCCGCAAGGTGAGCCCCCTCCCCGGTAGCGCTTTCGTGTTTGTGTGCTTGTAGTGGTAGTCGCGACCTTTTCAGCCCTCGGGACCCGACTCTTTCGAAAATGGTTATTGCGTAGTGTCACAGTGTTGTATCGGTTTCGCAGTCGCTGAACAGCAAGCAGCGGCAGCTGAGGAAGTCTGGCAACGAGCTGCAGCCCAACGACGCGGCCGAGTTGCATCGCGTCGCCACGGAACAACAGGCGCTGCAGAAACACTTAGAGGCGGCGCGGAAGCAAGCTCGCCAACACACTATGCTTATTCAGGTATGGTCTGCTCTTTGACAATAGTTTGTCTAACGATTTATTTGTTTATTCGTAAAGTAAATTTATATTTATATTATGTATAATGACATTTATATTTACAGTAGTAGTAACTTCATTACTTATAGTAAAATAAAAAACCGCCTTCAATTGTGTAAAAAATAGTTTTATATAAATTTATCGATTCCATTTATAATTTAATTTTGTCAAATACATATTTATCTGATGATTATTCTAAACAGTTAATATTATCTTCTATGAGTTCATAAGTATATTTTATTTATTCACAGGAATATGAGACTAAACAACGTCAACAAAATCCTCAATTGGTTCAACAGAACGTCATTAATCAACAGCAGATCACAACAAATCAAACTGTCTTCGCTCAAAACCAAAATATAGGACAAGCTCAGCAAATGCAACAACAGCAGACTATCAACCGGCCCATGCAGTTGGGCCTCCAAGGAGCTACGCTTCAACAACAACAAACTCTAATACGAACACAACAAACAGTGTTAGGTTCTGACGGCCAACCCATGACGCAACAGAGAATAGGACTAGTTACGTCACCATTGAATACTCAGGGGAGAATCTTGCAAAGTGGACGTACTTTAGTCATAGAACAGACAGGTGCCCCGCAACAGCAGCTCGTCAGACAACTGTCTGGAGTTCAAGAGAGGCCCCAGTCAGTCGGCGGAATAGTCCAATTTGGTCAGCAACAAATCACTGGTGTCAGAAATACGATACAAACTGGGAACCAAACCCCTCGGCCTCCGGGTGCTAGGCCGGCCATGTCCCCACTGCACGTGCAGTCGCCTCATTCTCAATCGCCGCATCATCCGTTAGCCCCGCAGTCACCCTTACATCATCTGACTTCCCCTATGCAGTCGCCGTTGCATTCCCAACAGTCTCCCTTACATCATACAGCGCAATCTCCACTGCATCAGTCGACTCAATCTCCTCTCCACACGCAACAATCACCGTTGCACTCGCAACAATCGCCTATGCATCCACAGCAATCACCGATGCATCCCCAACAATCACCGATGCATCCCCAACAGTCGCCGATGCACCAACATCAACAGTCACCGATGCATCAACAGTCACCGATGCATCAACAATCGCCAATGCATCAACAACAGAGTCAAATGACCACGCAACACTCGCCGATGCACCCGCAACAGTCTCCGATGCACTCGCAACAGTCGCCGATGCATTTGCAACAGTCACCGATGCACACGCAACAATCGCCGATGCAGTCGTCGATGTCGCCGCAACATTTCCTTCAGCAATTCCAAGCCCAGAGAACGAGCCCGCAACTGCCAACTCCCAGCCGTAGTCCCCAGGTAAATAAAGTGATTTATTTTAGATTTACATAATCAAGGTAAAGGACATCGACGAAATTGGCCCTAGCATGCCCAAAAGAATGTCCTTCGCTATTATTTTTCTATTATTTTTTTAACTTATTAGCAATTAATCATAGTAAACGGACAATCTGTTTAAAAAAATAAAAGTCCTGTCACTAGATACTACAGTCGGTTCATCGTAACTTGTCCTATTTGGTAAACAATCTTGGCACTCCTTATGAAAATACAGCATTAAAAATCAACTGATAACTGGATTCAATAGGTTTCAGTCTATAATAACGATTTATTTTATTAGTTTATTGGCTTCGTAATTATTTTATTTTTAAATGGGTGATTTTGTCAAAAAGTTGTGCCAAGATTGTTTACCTTCATAAACCCAATTTAGGCGACCATAGGTATTTAACAACATAAAAATAGAACTCGGTACCTTAGTTAATAATACTTATCACTAGTATTTATATTATATATATTAAAAGATTATTTCTGAAATTATGTACAGATAGTTTATACTCCCATCCCATATAATATCTGTTTATTTTTATGAAAATCATAATGATAACCAGGTTCATACCTAATTACCGATAGTAAAATATAGAAACAGGTAAATGAAAAGACTTTGAACATTTCAGTTGAAAAGAAATCTATTATTACAACAGGTATAGGTATAATAGGTGCCAACTGCCAACACCCGTAAATCAATATGAATATAAGCATTCATTATTATTATTACTAATTGCATTTTATGTTCATTTAATGCCTGGGTTCCGAAACTGGGGGTAATTACCCCTCCGGGGGTAAATCTGCCATACTTCGGGGGTAACAAAGAACCTAATTATTTGGTTAAATCTAAATAATAAGAAAATACTATATAATAATACTACTAAATAGAGCATGCGCTCCTTCTTACTAGCGAGCCCGCGGGATGCTGAGTGTGGGAAGCGGGGCGAGATTTTCTCCTGATGATGACATTATTAGAGACGAAGATGTAGCGGCCAAATTGGAATTTCTTGGACTGATGATAACATTCAAGTCTGGGTAAAATCGATAACTGATGATAGACACAAGACAGGGTAAAATCTGTTTTCCTAATAGGTTACACGGGTAGCAGTATTGGAAAGGTTAGGAAACACTGATTTAATGCATATTATTTAAGTGCTTACATAGAGGTAAACACTTAATCTATTCAGAATATATAAAGTGTACATCTTTTACGATTAAGTTTATTATTTATAACCTCAATAATAGATTATGTAATAGGGCACGGTTACTCAACTTGTCCGTATCTCAACAAATGCCTAATTAGAGTTTATGAATGATTCCGAACACAACTAGCATTTTGTCATTGCTGTGCGTTCTAGGGCATTCAATGTATGGGGAACGAGCAATGTCCTTTCCATTGTAATAATAAAAAAAACTTATATATACAGTTTATTTAATGTAATGTGATTATTAATTGTTTCAGATTTACCAGCAGTCTCAAATACAGAGTCCAGCATCGTCCCATTCGCCACAATTACAGAATGTAAATGTGAAGTATAGTTATAATGCTTTGATATTATTATTATTTTTCTTGTGTTTCACAATTATAGTGTTTATTTTCAGACTGATTATACAACGGGGAGATTCCCTAGACCAGCACCCGGATGTTCGCCACTGCCGTCCAGATTCGCTAGACCGCCTCATCATCAACAAGGTTATTTCAAAATGTTTTTCCAAATTATATAATGTGTTGAGTTTCAAGTTTTATTCATTAGTTGTGTTTTTTGATTATTAATTTATTTTAGGAATGAGAGTGGGTGTACCATTCGGAAGTCGCCAACAAACATCTCCTTTGGGAAGTCCTCAACCATTGCCGTCACCAGGCAATCCGGCATCAGAGATAGCAGTAAATATTTTTCCATAAATTCTTGTAAGCTTTGAATATATTTATGTATAATTAACTAACCTGTTATTGTATTTCCAGCGTCAACAGATGTTACAACGGCAACAATACAGCCCTATGGGTGGTGCCCCTGCGTCCCCGTCCATATCTCGTTCCCCCCATGTAGCGCGTACTCCTACCCCTCATGCTTCCCCCGCGGCCTCCCCCGCCCCCTCTCAACAAGACCACGGTGGCGGCCATCACCACCAAACTGCCCCATTCCCGCCCGGCTACCGCTACTGCCGCCCCGGATTATACGGCGGCGCCCCCGTGTGGCCAAACAAAGATACTCGACCCCATCACCTTGCTAAAGTGTCCATACTCAAACGCCGAACGCCCCCGCGACCTCGAGCCCCACCCCCGCCGCAACCGGACGACGCCCACAGCTACGTCCTCTACGCCCCCGATCCTACCTTCGACGATGATCGCACCCAAGATGACGAGGAGCTCGTCGAACATTTGGACGACGATGATATCGTCCTCGTCGAACAGACGACCGTCTCACCCGAGGAGCGAATAGCCACCGAAGAAGACTTCGAGGAGCTAATAGACGGTGGAAAACCAGAAGATGAAGCAGAAGAGGAGCCGCCCCAACCGGCGACGCGGACAGAAACCGCCACTAAAACTGTCGCCGTCATCAGTCTGTCCACCGGAAAGCAACCGTCGGCGAGCGTGCAGCAGTATAAAATTGTCAACCCCGCGCAAGGGTCGGCGCTATCGCGACTCCCCGTGCTCAGTGCGACGATGCTTTCGCCGCACTCTAACGCAAAAATCTTAAACGAGGTGTCGCAAGCTACGGTCGCATCTGTCTCCATTGCAAACCAAACTATATCGGTTCCTGTTTTAAAGAGCCTCTCTGTGCCCATCGCTAGTGTCGCAGGACATCCGGGCGGTGCGAAGTCTCAGATGAAAAAAGTACCTCTCAATATCACCAACCCGCCGTTGACGATCAACATGTCGACCCCGCCGCTGTCAAAACCGATAAGTCCGGTCATCAGCGTCATATCATCGAATATGCCAAAAGTGGCAAATGTGAATCCGGTTATCACTTTAGCCACGTCAAGTGGCGCAGGTCCGTCACGAGTGCCAGTTTCGATACTGACACAACCTCAAGTGAAACAAAAGATCGTAAAAACAATAGAGAAACCCATGGCTCTATCTTTGTCGAATACTAAACTTTCAAGTTTATCTGTGACGCATGACGCTACTTTGCCTGCAAAGATTTTTCAAGACGAAGCAGCTTCACCTGATAGTACTGTTCCGCCAGAAAATAATCCTGATAAACATTTACAAGCTTCACTGTCCTCGTCAACTCATCATATGATGAGTATGTCATCTCAGGCGTCTTCTCACGATCAGAGGCCTGCTCCTATTATTAAAGAAACGAATAAGGATATAGACATAGAAACTGAAATAAGCCAGCAGACTGAACTACCACACACCCTGTGTATAACTGACAGAACACCTCTCCTGTTAGGAAAGGCAGACATAAAGAGCCCAGATCCTGTACCTGAAAAAATACCTGATAATATAATGGAAGGTGATGACGAAGATAAGCCAGAAGATAACATACCCAGTAATTTATTATTGTCTTACAATAAAACAATGCCTGAACCACCTCCGCAGAATCCAGCCACGGAAAAACCGGATGAAAATGTAGTGAAGACAATAAAAGCCATCGCCAATCAGGTGATTGACTCGAATATGCAAATAACTCCAGATATGGCCCAGGAATCAGTACAAATATCGATTCCCTCGCCGACTCCATCTCAAGAGAGATATTTAAATGACATAACCATGCAAGAACATCCTGAAGCCGTTGAAGGTAATCCAAAACACGTGGAATCATTTGAAGATATGCTCTGTATGCTAGAAAATATAACAGATGAAGCGAAAACTTACGGTATGAAACAACCACCTCATAAAGCTCAGAATCCAAGTGCCGCGAAAAGTGATAATAAAGAACCACAGGAACCAATCGCTTTTCCGAAAAGAGAACCCGAAAGACTAAATTTGCAGTCAGCGTCAGTACCGCAATTGTCACCTCTATCACAACCAGCAGAGCTGACATCGAATATGGCAAACGTATCGCAACAACTCCGAACGATAATGTCTTCTCTCAACACCAGCACGTCTAAGGTAGAGGCGCAGACCGTTACATCTGTCATGAGAAAAAATAGTGATGCAACGACACCTACGCAAGTTAATTTCGAGAATTTATTACCGTCGTCAAAAGTAGAAGTGGCAGCTTCCAGGCCATCGCCGGTACAACGAATTGAAAAACCAATAACTTCAGTATCATCTTCTGATTCAATGCCAATGAGTGCTGCACAAGTAGCTGGTTCTAGAGTAAATACATTATCCTCTATGAATATTAGTCAACTCAGAAAGTCACCAACAGTATCCCCTATAAATTCTCCTGTCAGTATGCAAAGTTCAATGATGAAATCTCCCGCACAATCGCCACTCATAACGAATCAATCTTTCAACCCTTCTGACGAGGCTAACGCAACGTCAGTAGCTTCTCAAATCATTCAAATGCCAGCGCTTTCTAAAATTCATAGCAGCACACCACAATCTATGATACATTCCAGTAATAATTCCACGATTACCACAAATGTCAATTGTTTTCAGAAAAATCAACCATTGCCTACGAGTATTTTAGGTCATACTTTACTCCAGCCTAGTAGACAAATTAATACCTCCAATTTGGCGTTCAACCCGCAAAGCATAAGTTCTAGCCAACCGCCCGCACTGGTGATGACTTCAAGACCACTTATGGTTAATAAAGAGCCAGCTCCCAATGTGACTGTCAGGACACACAGCATCGTTAGTCCAGGATTAGCCCAAATGCAAGCTAAAACAAGCACTGGATCAATAAATTTTATAACTTCGTCCAAATTACTACACACTCAGCTTACATCACCGCTAAAAAGGTCAAAATCGACAGACGAGCCAAAAAGCGAAGTCATAGTTGGCCATATACAACCTACTAAAAGACACAGTGTAGAATCTGTTGTAGTAAAATCGGAACCAATGGAAACAGATGAGCCTAATGCGTCAACAAATATAGATCAATCTAAAAATCAAAACATTTTAGGCCAAAGCCCTGCAAACCAAAGAAATGACGAGTCTCAAAATGTATTACTGAAGCAACTTTTACAGACTACAACTACTACATCAAATGTACCTCAACGAACCATGACAATACAAAGGACTGCTCCAGCTTTGGGCACTATACCATCGCTTGAAGCTCAGTTAGCCAGGCCTGCCATACCACCTCCTACTTTATCGCTTACACAAGAAGTTGAAATGCCCAAAAATTCTCCTCGTCATATTACTACTGTCAATTCTCCTTTCACCTCTAGACCTATTCAAACTATTCCGACGTCTTCCATGTCACCGTTAATTCATACTTCTACACAATCTCTAATGGATGTTAGAAAACAACCTTCGATGAAAATCATGACCAAAGAAGAGACTACTACACCATTACCGGAGAATTCACCAACAATGAAAAGTATGCCTATGTACCCAATGAGTATAGATAATCAACAGTTACAACAAGCTATCAAGAAAGAAATCGCACCACCACAACAAAGTCCCGTTCATAGCAGACCTTTTACACCATTGGATGTGAAAAAAGAGTTGCTAGATGAGAGCTCACAACAATCGGCAACATCAGGTGTTTCCACAGCTTCAGATCAAGGAAAATTGGATCAACCTATGAAAGAAGAATTTCCCGAAAGTGTTAATATGGATCCAACAACCGAGGTCAACGCCCCAGAAACACCATCGGAAGCTAAGAGGCGTAAGCGCCGAGAGTATCAACAGAAGAAACGTAAACAAATGCAAATGAATATGAAAGCTGCGGCAGAAAGCAGTTTGAATGCAGCCAACGCCAAAAGGAAATCTCGCAAGGGCTCTCGTTACGAAGAAGACTATGACACTTTTATTGATAATTTGATGACCCAATTACGGTTACTTCCTCAAATGCAAATTCAAGAACCTGCTTTAACAACAAACTTTGCAGTATGCCCACTTTTTGGGTCTGGAGATTTAACTAAACTCAAAAACAAAGATTATGATATTTTAAAAGGAGATTTAGTGGGAGAGTTTGGTAATGCAAAAATACCGAGTGTAGCTGACTATTATAACACCAAACCATTCGGAGATGAAGAACCGCTGCCTGAAAAACCAGCTGCATCCACTCAAAGAGGATTTTATGATCAAGAGTTCCAGCCAATCATGTTTGATGATGATCCTGAGGATAAGAAATTAGACTTTATTTGTAAAGAACGGGATACAGATACACCTGACAGTATTGTTAGTTGTTCTAGTCCGGAGTGTTTTGATATTGAACCTTCTAATAGGTTCCCAGGACTTAAACTAATTGAAGACGAAGAAGAGGACGAGGATAGCGATTCAGCGTCTGGTCGCGTTTCACCTGTAATACCTATTATAGCTCCGGTTCCCATTAGAATCAAACCTGTATCTCTTTATCAACTCAAAGAAGAAGAAGAAGTTCAGAAACCATTAAAATGTATCGATTCTGATTCACCAATTAGAAGCAAAATGGTTGATTCTCCTGGTAGTACAGAGAGTAATGAAAATGTCACCGTGACGCTAACTTTGACATCGGGTGCCGCGGAAGATATACTTGGTGTACTGAAAGAACTCGCTGGAATACTACATATACCACCACCAACATCATATCAGATTGTTGAAAGAACTGCTACGCCACCATCTCATAAGTTAGGATTATATAGATCGAAAGGAAAAGACGGGAAGGAAGGAACCCCGATCGACATTCAGAGCATTTTAAACGGAGCAGCCAAGTTCTGTCGGCACTGCGACGTTGTTATTTTAGATTCGGTTGTGCGGGCGAAAGCGTCTGAATTCCCCTTGCTTTCGGCCAACAAAGGAAACGCTGAAGAAATACTATGTGATAGTGACTCCGAATTATATTTCTGCAGCACACAATGTTATCAACGGTTTGCGTGGCGGCCCACAAATATTATTCTCGACGGGAAATCAAAAACTGCAGTCAAAGAAGATACTAAATCTGATGTCGAAACAAATCTCTCGAAGGATCGTGACGATTTTGATACAGCATCGACTGAGAGTATGGAAACAGATGATTTGGACATAAAGCCCGATATTAAAGATGAAAAAATGGATCTATCATTTATGGATTCGCTGGATAATGACGAGCTAATGAAGGAAGTTGGAGACGACGTTAGCGCTCTGGATGAAGACTTAAAAAGTGTCGAACAAGACGAAAAGAGCAATCAAAGCACAGAGCCTGAAAAATATAGAGGAATCCGGTATAAATCATGGACGCCAGGTTGCATAGGACCGCCGGCAAAATATAAACGGCCCACGGATAGAGAATTAACCGAACTAGTGTTCCGAACTGGTGTCTCTATAATGCCGGTAACGAATGAAGATAGTAGAAAGTGTGAACTGTGTGGGATCCAAGGCGACGGAGTAGCCGATGGAGTTTCTAGACTTTTGAACTGTGATGTGGATAGATGGGTGCACCTGAACTGTGCATTGTGGTCTGAAGGAGTGTACGAGACAGTTAGTGGAGCGTTGATGAACGTTGAAACGGCGTTAGCGAACGGTTCGAGCGCGACCTGCGCCGTTTGTCGGAGGCTGGGCGCAACTGTGCGATGTTTTAAGGTGCGCTGCGGCAGCGTATACCACCTCGGCTGCGCGGTCAAAGACAGCTGCGTCTTCTACAAGAACAAGACTGCTTTCTGCGCTTCACACGCTCCAAAGGTAAGTCCACATCAATTGATAACTTTACAGGGAAAATATTAAAGCTTAAAAACATTCTCTGCAGTCGTTAGTACCCAACAATCGTACTGGGCCCGCGTGATGGGTCACGGCCTCATCTCCCTACTCCATCCATAGAGAAGGTCTGCCCCAGCAGTGAGGACATGAATATGCTAATTTTATTATTGCAAACCTGCGTAACGAACCTTCGGGTTGGCTTTGGTACTAAATAGTGCTTAAATGTCCCGTTCAAACTCTGAATTAAGTAACCTCCTTCAGCTGCACATACAAATTTATCGTCTCCCGAAACCTCTTTTAGCGTGTCAAATTATCGCCAGTCAAGCTATCATCTAGCGTCTATAGACACGCATCCCGCTAATTCATTATGACAGAACTTTTGAAAATCTCGGAACGCTAATTGTAACGCATTTAGTATTAAAGCGTCGTCGCACAGGTGTGGGAGAAACGATGATAATAATGACTACTTATTGCGTTTGTTAGAACGAGAAGGACAACGAGCTGACGACGCTAAGCGTGCAGCGACGCGTGTACGTGTCGCGCGACGAGCAACGACAGGTGGCGTCCGTGATGCTGCACTCCGACACCAACCACCTCATCCGCGTGGGCGGCCTCATCTTCCTCAGCCCCGGCCATCTGTTACCTCACCAGCTCGCCGCCTTCCACACGCCCAACTACATATACCCCATCGGATACAAGATCGTGAGTCCCCGACACCACACGACATACAGTACATTGCGACACCGACCACCTCATCTTCCTCAGCCCTGGCCATCTGTTACCTCCCCAGCTCCACACACCACACCAGCCTTCCACGCGCCCAACTACATATACCCCATCGGATATAAGGTCGTGATTCCCCGACACCACACGACATACAGTACATTGTGACACCGACCACCCCATTTTCCTCAGCCCTGGCCATCTTTTCTTTTACCAGCTCTCTGCCTTCTACTTGTGATGTAACGGATGTCATTTTTTGAACATTCGCGAGTGCGAATGCGGATGCGAATGTCTGGTACCGACATTCGCGAATGCGAATGCGAATATTTAGTTTTTTTTTTACATGGCGCCAATTGTCTATGGCATGGTGGCAGTCTCGTTCGAATTGCCGAGTTGATATGAACTCATCCGACTGAAGTGTCATTCCGCTCGCACCGGTCTTTCCGTAAACAAAACAAGTGAATTTTGAGGTTAGTGATTGTCAGTGGTAATAGTGATTTATTAACATGAGTGAATCGAATTCTAGTGAAACATGGACTTATTTCACACTTTGCGATGCTGAACAAGCTAAATGCAAACTGTGTAACAATGAATATTCAAGGAAAGGCAGAACTACAACTTCTTCAAATTGTTTTTTTCTAATATTCATATTAGCAAAACATTCGCAGAGATTTTGCGAATGCGAATGTGAATGCGAATATTCAAAAATATGCGAATGCGAATATTCGTTACATCACTACCTTCTACACGCCCAACTAAATATATCCCATCGGATACAAGATCGTGAGTCCCCGAAACCACACGACATACAGTACATTGCGACACCGACCACCTCATCTTCCTCAGCCCTGGCCATCTGTTACCTCCCCAGCTCTCTGCCTTCCACACGCCCAACTAAATATACCCCATCGGATACAAGATTGTGAGTCCCCAACACCACACGACATACAGTACATTGTGACAGCGACCACCTCATCTTCCTCAGCCCCGGCCATCTGTTACCTCACCAGCTCTCTGCCTTCCACACGCCCAACTAAATATACCCCATCAGATACAAGATCGTGAGTCCCCGACACCACACGACACACCCTACATTTTGACACCGACCACCTCATCCGTGTGGGTGGCCTGATCTTCCTCAGCCCTGGCCATCTGTTATCTCACCAGCTCGCTGCCTTCCACACGCCCAATTACATATACCCCATCGGATACACGATCGTGAGTCCGGACACCACAAGGTGCACACTACGTTATGACACTGCCTCATCCGCGTGGTACAGCCCACCAATTTTAATTTATAACACATACTCGAAGAAATTATCCCACTTTTTAAACACTCTCTTCAACTTATTCTCGATAATGGTTAGCTTGATATAAATGAGCCGTTCGTGTATATGATCCCTTACAAAGACAAATGTCTTTATAATGAACGAGTCTCACTTACCGGCACGCGTTGGAGCGTAGCGCAGCGCATTTTTCAATTTGTTCAAAGTAGTGAAGTTCCTTATTTGCATGCAATCCAAACAGCTATGAATCCAACCGGCTGCGCTCGGACTCTGCTACAGCAGCTCGGTTGCGCATGCAAATAAGGAACTTAACTACTTTGGTGGATGTTTCAATTTCCTCCAGGAAATTGTCATTATGTGCTCCGAAACGCGCCAGTACGTAAGAATTGTACATAAGTATGATTTTTCCTATCTAAAATGATCGTCATGTTAAATCTTTATATATATAATTCTTCTGTGAGTGTGTATGTCACTGAACTTCTCTTAAACGACTGGACCGATTTTGATGAAATTTTTTGTGTGTGTTCAAGGGGATCTGAGAATGGTTTAGATTCACAATGGGTCAGCTAGTATTATGTATAAACTTTGGTCGCTAGGTACGGTTTTATTGGTCGACGTGTCGCGCTAACAGCCGCTGCCGCTACTTGTGCTGGATATCGGAAGAAGAAGGCAGGCCGCGCTTCCACGTGCGCGCGCAAGACGAACCGCGGACGGAACTTGCCGCCGCCACGCCGAGAGCTGCTTGGTCATCGGTGAGTGTCAACCATGGACTTTTCAAGTGAAACTTCTATAGAGTGTAAAAAAACCTTTAACGAAGTCGAAGGCCACGTATTTTCCACATCATGACGATCATTTTTTTCTTCTGGAACCTGGGAAATTTCTGGTTATGGAGATAATGAAGGTCAAAGTCACAATTTTTTTTTCAAGATTTTCACATTATTATTTTCAAAACGTTATTTACTATCGTACTTTGAATAATAAGTTGGTAATTATTGTTATGATGTTATACAAACTTAAATTTTAATTTTAAACCTCGAACTTGTTATCTACCTTAATATAAAACAAATGCACAAGAAATAGTTTTGCTTCTACCAGTCCATAAAATGTTACCTGCGTCACAAAAAAACAACTCTGACTACTTCACTCGGGTTAATCAAGGTCCCATCATCTTTTGTCTCACTTGAAGCTAGCATTATCACTCAATGAAATATTTATTAGACTAATGGTGCATTTTATACCCATAGATACTAGACGCAGTAGCAGCGTTACGTGAGAACCGCAGCGAAGAGGGTGTGCTAAAGTTATGGCCTAATTACGTGACCGGCGAAGATCTGTTCGGTCTCACCGAGCCCGCGGTCGTCAGAGTATTGGAAAGTTTACCAGGTTAGTGCAAAGTTCAATAGTGTCCTAACAAACTAGGTTAGTCAGTCAGTTAAACGTTTTTATTTGCGGTATCGAGATGTAACAATTAATTTTGTATTATTTCACATTATTGGTTGTTTACTCCGTTTTTTAGCATAATCTTCTTCAAAAGATAGGGTTCCAGATAATTCTGTCTCAAGCTTACCAATCAAATTTATTTAATTGCATTAATTTGGCTTTTCTTATTCTGTGGAAATTTGCCATATTGCAGGGGGAAAATAAGTATCATCGAATCAAAGTGCTGAATGTAGACTGGTAAAATTGCAAGTTTTTAATACTGTTCATTGAAAAACACAAATAAAGTTAACGAAAAGAAAATTGAAATGCTAAAGGATCTCGATTTAAATTGGCTGTTTTGTAAACTCATTTAGTTTATACATCTTATGTATTTAATAATATAAATAATGCATGGAGTTTTTGTTTCATAGTCACATCACAAGATCTAGGAGGTATCAATGAAACATCACAGCCTTCTAGTCCACTGCTGTAGGCATTTCCAGGCAACTGCTGGAATGTATGTGTCTAAAGTTTATCATAATGTAACAGCTTTTTTTCTATCTTGTTTTAATTCCAATATATTATACAATTTTAATAGATTATATATTAAAAACTATAAAATGTACAATTTCATTAATTCCATTCAATAGTAAGTAATACACGCTAGTGTCGTTGATAGAGAGAATTTTAGTTGAATTGAATATTTCGTACACTAAACACACGTTAAAAACAATAGATTTCTTTCTTTTAAACATTTGCATATGACAGTCAGTTGATTACTGTTTAGTAATTGTTTTCCAATGGACGGACTACATGATGAAGCATAAATGCACATAGGGCACGCTGGTAATGCTCGTTTGTATAAAAAGCTCTGGGAGAGACACGAAATGAATCTCGTGGAAAGTAACGAAAGGAATCTGTATTCTTTCGTGGTGCTATCCGCTTGTTGTAATATTTGGGTTCACCCAGCGAACGATGGTTTTGCTCAGTGCTATTACAGGATCAAAACGCACGTCGTTTTTCTTCTATAGCAGCGTAATATGAAAGAACTTTGTTTACTCATTTAACAAACAGTTTGCACTTACCTTTAGTGACCTAATTCTTACTTTTGTTAGGTTTTGTAGGAAGCAAGTGAGCGAATGTATCTAGGAGTGTAGGGAGAGGTCGCCAGCAGAGAACAACCGTCGATTTATTGAAGAGGTCCGCAACAGAGAACAGTCACCGACTCTATTGATGAGATGACATTCCTAAAAAAGCATGCAGGGATTGATGGACGTTGAGGAAGCGAAAGAATCGTATGGATTGTAACGTGTGGAGATAGAGTTGCCATCTTCTAAAATACAAAAGCCATTTATGACACTGATTCAGATCCGAGAAAGCCAGTTATTATTATCTATTTCTTTTTCGCCATTTAGATCGAAAGCCGGAATGACCGGACGAAATGTGTTTTCTTAAAGCCGGGCAGATGGCAACTTTATCAATCATCTCTACTGTTTGAATACTGAAATATCATTTAACTTATGGAAGCTATTTTAATGTTTTTAGTAATGGCTTAGTTGTCAATACTTAAACTTGAATATCTTAAAACTGACTAGGCGTGTGCCGCTTTTAAGGGGAACTAACATAATTCGGAACAGTTTTGCATCTGGAACAGTCAATGATATGTGTCATTTGGAACTCGATCGACCAACGAACATAGCGAGCGAAAACTGCTCTCTCAGGCATTATTATTGTCGAGCACGACCGACGATGTGTATGTCGTGACAGAAATATATGAAGTATAGTGTGTTGATAGGAGTGAAAGGCAATTGTCCATAATGTGCTGATTCAGAACACTGAGTCAGTATCAGTTTGACGTGGTCTCACAGGGATGTCGCATTTTTCAGTCACAAATCATAGTATTGAATTGATATTAAAAACAGAAACAAGTCACACAGATATGTATTACCAGAGGCGGCGTAAGGAGTGGGCGACGTGGGCCACCGCCTACGGCCTCGCGGTACAAGGGGCCTCGCGCCTCAAAAATTTTTATGCTTAAAGCGATTTTCTTTTTTTTTATTATTTTATAAAATCCGTCTTCAGGTCGCCACAGAACAGGGCCTCGCGAAATCTGTCTTGCCCTCATCAAATTTAGGTCTTGCCCCGCCACTGTGTATTACGTCTTATGTAAATGTCTGTGCAGTTATTCATGTTACTCAATTTCAATAAACTCCAGTTCCAAACGTAACATCAAAGATGTTTCCAGATGATTGTTTCAACAAGTAAAGCTCATATATATGACTGAAGTTACTTTGTGCAAAACTCGTAACGTAGTAATTATTGTGCATTTTATAAAACACTTAGAACTGGGATTATTGCCGGCCAGCTTTTGTGTTTAGCTATCCTAACACGTGTCATGTGGTACGCAGGCGTGGAGACGTTGACCGACTACCGGTTCAAGTTCGGGCGCTCCGCGTTATTGGAGGGCGGGCTCGCCGTAAACCCTTCAGGCTGTGCCCGCGCGGAGCCCCGGCCCCGCGCGCCCCCGCACCGCCGCCCCGCGCGCTCCCTGCTACCCGCGACTCCCACGCCGGCCCCGGACCACCCCGCCTGCCCATACACCAAGCAGTTCGTGCACACCAAGAGCAGCCAGTACAAAAAAATGAAGCTGGAGTGGCGGAACAACGTTTACCTCGCCAGGTATATATGTTTTAACATCGTCACTGGGAGGGGGCTCGCTGTGACGTCATACTGCCCGTACATCAAGCAGTTTCGGGTAGACCAAGAGCAGCCAGTACAAGAAGATGAAGCTGGAGCGGCGGAACAACGTCTTCCTCGCCAGGTATATTTGTTTTAACATCGTCACTGGGAGGGGGCTCGCGGTGACGTCATACTGCCCGTACATCAAGCAGTTCCGGGTAGACCAAGAGCAGCCAGTACAAGAAGATGAAACTGGAGTGCCGAAGCAACGTTACCTCGCCAGGTATATTTGTTTAACATCGTCACTGGGAGGGGGCTCGCGGTGACGTCGTACTGCCCGTACATCAAGCAGTTCCGGGTAGACCAAGAGCAGCCAGTACAAGAAGATGAAGCTGGAGTGGCGGAACAACGTCTACCTCGCCAGGTATATGTTTTAACAGCGTCACTGGGAGGGGGCTCGCGGTGACGTCATACTGCCCGTACATCAAGCAGTTCCGGGTAGACCAAGAGCAGCCAGTACAAGAAGATGAAGCTGGAGTGGCGGAACAACGTCTAGCTCGCCAGGTATATATGTTTTAACAGCGTCACTGGGAGCGGGCTCACGGTGACGTCATACTACCCGTACATCAAGCAGTTCCGGGTAGACCAAGAGCAGCTAGTACAAGATGAAACTGGAGTGGCGGAACAACGTCTACCTCGCCAGGTACAACAATGTTTATACAGTGACACTGAGACGGGGGCTCGCGGTGACGTCAGGCTGCCTGTAGGGCCAAGCAGTCCCCACCCAGAGCAGCCAGTACAAGAAGATGAAGCGGATGAACACAATGTCATAACGTTGCAGCGATAGATTGAACTAGCGCTGGGATCGATAAGCATAGCAATTATATCGATAACTAGTGGGTTCCCGCGACTTTGTCTGCGTGGTTCAATTGATTTTCCATACAAACCATACAAACCCTCCTTTTCACCCATTTAAAGGATGATTTCTGGGATAAAAACTATCATATGTCCTTGCCCGGTATTCACACAGATCTATCTATTCATAAATCGGTCCAGCTGTTTAAGCGTGAAGAGTTAATAGACAGACGGACACACTTTCCCATTTACTGACTTGTTTTGTGAATAAAGTACAGATGTTTTTGTCATTTGGTTATTTATTTATACTTTCCATTGATCTCTTAATTCTGCAATCAAAATTTAACGTAGGGTTTTAACGTTAAGTGTATGATTTAATATTGTTTCAGATCTAAAATTCAAGGTCTAGGATTATACGCGGCGCGTGATATAGAGAAACACACAATGGTGATCGAGTACATCGGAGAGATAATACGCTCCGAATTGTCGGAGATACGGGAAAAGCAATATGAGGCGAAGGTAATTTTATCATTAACAGTATCTTAACGTTAGTATATTTATATTCTTAAACAACATATTGTTGTAAATGCTGCCATTTAATATATATATATATATATATATATATATATATATATAATATATATATATATATATATATATATATTAAAAGTTTATAATACGGCCGCAATAGGCTTTTCAACTAAAAAGTATTGCTTACGGAAAATATATAATTTAATTATTAGAATCTAGAGTCGTCATTTTATAACAAATGTGGACTCCTTAAAATTTAACGGAAAATATTTTACGTTTTTTTGCAAATAAAATGTTTTGCGCTTTTGAATATTTCAACCAAATCTTTGCAACAATAATTTCAACTAGAATCAGGCCTCGGATACATCTAATCCGTTAGCGGCTGAACTAGGTTTAGGCGTCATCAGCCGATTAAATCAAATCGATGATAAAATCAACTTAAGTACCTATGTATGAATTCGGACGGGCATTATCGGACGACGGCGCACAGTGGGCGGAAACGATCAAAACTACGCGCGAGGCAGTAAATCTAATCCTAATGAGATTTTTTGAAGTTATACTTCTTTAGGCGCATTATGAAAAAATGATGAGAGTGAAATTTTAAGATGCGCGCGCATCACTGTAACACAAAATTTTAACAGCATGATGTTGGTCGCTTTAGCGACCAACTTCATGCGTTACTTTTGTGTTTACCGCACATTAAGAAAATCTACCAACAAAATAGAAATAGAATCTCTATTTAGTGGGTGCTAACGACTGCATTGTGAAGGCCTATCAAAAGTATTCATTAATCTGGAACAACGGAACCAAAGCGCGATTCAGGAGACTACAGCGCCATCTCTTGACCATTGGTGTAGTAGAACCAAAAACCACATCTTTATTTTTTGTAATAAAGTAACAGTTATAGGTATTCATATTTATAATATTTATCCACATGTTTCCAGTTTGTATATTCGGAATACGTGTTGAGTTTCATACAAGTGCAAATCACATATGTTCTAATAAATTATATTCAGTAGCGATTTTAATTGAATATTTTGATTATTTATTTACCTTTTCCAGACTTTTTATTAATTTATTGTAATTAATTATTTGCATGCAATTAAAAACTAATTTTAAACGATGCCAAAGAAGGATAACTTCTCACGCGCCTACATAAGTACACGCACCCATTTTTTTTTAATACTCACGATATTCACTTTTTTAGGGGTAGAAACCACCCTTATCAACCCGTAAGCAAACTAAACTACCAGATAGTTATGTTATTTTTTTTAAACATTCAACTGATGTGTTTAAATCTAAAGAAAAAATAGTAAAATTAATAAAATCTAAAGAAAATATTTCTAGAAAAAAATAATAACGACATCTACCAATTTAATGCATAAAATAAATATATATATACAGGGTGTTAAAAACCTTTAACGAAGTCGAAGGCCACGTATTTTCCAAATCATGACGATCATTTTTTTCTTCTGGACCATACCTTGGAAATTTATAGTTATGGAGATATTGAAGATCAAAGTCACAATTTTTTTTCAAGCTATATACATTAATATTTTCAAAACGTTATTTAGAAACTTTTTTATCGACTCACACACATATACATACCCACAGGCACATTCTTTGCGTAACGCCACAATAGCGCGTCACGCTATGCATTGGGTACTGGAAAAAAAATGTATTTTTGTAACTTAAAAATAGAATTATTTCCCAATAATTTTTAATATTACTTGTTTGGATGTACAGAATGCGTAGTTTGAGTTATTGTCATAGGATTTTTTACACCTTGTATATTTAAATATGATATTATTATTTTTTTTATTTGACATCCATATGTATTCGCCCCGTTAGAACCGCGGCATCTACATGTTCCGCCTGGACGAGCGACGCGTGGTAGACGCCACGTTGAGTGGGGGGTTAGCTCGCTACATCAACCACTCGTGCCAGCCCAACTGCGTCGCCGAGACCGTGGAGGTGGACCGCCACCTGCGCATCATTATATTCACCAAGCGACGCATCGCGCGCGGCGAGGAGGTAAGAGCCTAGAACACCGACTACACAGCCCCCTTTTTGAAGTGATAACTTCTTCATCATCAGCCTATTAATGTCCCCACCGCTGGGGCCTTCCCTATGAATGGAATAGGGAGTTTGGGCCTTGACCCACCACGCGGGCCCAGTGCGGATTGGTGGGTGTTAACAACTGCAGATGCAGTCGGGACCAACGGCTTAACGTGCCTTCCGAAGCACGGAGGAACTCGAGATAGTTTGGTCACCCATCCAATGACCGACCACTGCGAAAGTTACTTAACTTCAACGATCGCAGCCGAACGCGCTAACCACTTGCGCCATCTAGCTCCTGGATAATTAACTCTCGATAACTTCTTATGGGTAAACCGCTTCGTTTCGTAACGCGTTACGGCGCCAGTCTGTCCGGCTTCCTTTCGCCGCGAAAAGGAGATAGACGCCACAACCAACCCAGGTACCAATCCGTATTGGACCTCTTTCTGTAAAATCTGTCTTTGTCGAAAATACAAACTTATTTCTCAAACAAGCCAACTAATATATTTTTTTTATATTCCACAGCTCGCTTACGACTACAAATTCGATATAGAAGATGACGCCCACAAAATAATGTGCATGTGCGGCGCACCAAACTGCCGCAAATGGATGAACTAAATAAATAAACCAAGGACTAGCAATATCGGTTGCCCGGGATGGCCCACGCGACTTCGGCTTACGTACCAAAGTGTTTTACTTTAGTGAACAGACTGTAGCTGACGTGTGATTTTGTATCAATAAACTAAGAGAGTTATAATTATTGAGTGAAAATATTGAGAGTATTCGAAACACATTTGTAAATAGTATAGGAGTAGGTCTATAAATCATTGTTGTTACTGATTATATTATTAATGTTTTAGATGTGACTGTTTTCCGAGTATACTGTATTGCGTAAGATTTTAATTTAACATTTTGATGTATTATATACATGTTCATTCATTACCGTTTTACCTAGACATTTTATCATTGATGTAATATATTTTTCTAACCTTTCGATAATTTTAATTCTTCTTCAACTATCTTTACTTCCGTATTGTGTACGTTATATAATAAAAAAACGGTATACGTGTAGTATATCACATAGCAATGAAATCTCAACAGTGATGAAATATTAGGATAAGTTACCAAATAGATGAGTTTGCATTTACTACGAGTAGAGGGTAGTGTGAGACATAACATGATGCCACGTTGTGCCTGATCCGTTCGTGTATAAGTAACTGGTAGGTTAGATCTACGGAACACCACAGCGCGCCTTCGGTCGACGAGACGACGATACATTCTTAGTGATTAGCGTAAGTAAGTAGTAGACCTGCGTGCGATTTCACACGAAAAAGGTGCGCCTGCAAGTGCTTTACTAAAATAACTTACTACACCATGCACTTATCAATATCGTAATTTAAGTCTGAGAGAATCTACTTGGAGTGAAATCGTACGCGAAATTAGCGTAATAACTTATTTATAACTAAATAGTCCCAAATGTGATATTACCTCACATGACGTCGTGTGTTACTTTTAGTGTGGCCATTGAATGCCAATCGTAGAGAAGAACCACGTCGTATTTGCGTGTATTCGAAGCGGTGTGGATTGGCTGTTCAGGAATTTAAATAGCTTATTTTAAATGTAAAGAGAACAAGTAGGAAGCCTGTAAGATCTGGATATAGAAAAATGTATTAGGTGTTATTGAAAATGTGGGTAATTTGATAGCACAAGGAATTTTGTTATTTTTAATACAGGTTGCCATCTACCAATGTTATGAATTCATGCAATATTATATTTAATTTTAAGTGTTATGTGCAATATCATATCTTGCAGATTGTAAATATGTTATATCCATTGGCAGACAAACATTTATAACAAAGAATTCATCATTCGTTTTATATAGTTGAATCATACCATTGCTTTACTATCACTTTATTTATTTAAAGCATTCCTGTAATATTCGCTATATTCGAGTCAATAATATCGTTTCACAAAAGGAAATTTTGACATAGTGTTGTTTGTAAAATTTATTACTTTAGAATTTTCTATACAATTAGTATTTTTATTGCATTATTTTCCTATCATTAAAATTTAATTAGTAAAAAGTATGTGGTTTTATTCAAATCTTTTTTAAGATTTAGCATCTATAACTCTTCGTTTACGTTACACACAGCTGGGTACCAATTCACGGAGTCTACAAATCCTTGATTAAGAAAAATAAAACAATCTTAGTCCACGAAAACACTAAGCCATTCAGGGCTGAAAAAAATACCTTCTATTCCATTCGGCGGCGGTATAAATAAATTGAGCCGCGCTCAAGGAACTTATATTCTATTATATCTGGAATGCTCACGTGACCCTCAAAAGCGTTCCGAAGTGTAAAGCTTAATTAGTGGAAGCGACTTTCTAGTAGTGTGTCCAAACAGTAACATAAATGATGAGATAATTCTTTTTCTCTGGGTGAAGGAACCTTCTGATTTTCAATTCTATATGTTTAGCTTGAAAGTCCAAAAAAAAAATTAAAATCTTTAAACGACCTTCCGAGCTTATTATATAAATATGTCGCTATATGTATTGCACCTGTTTTTTATCCATCATTGGACATGATTTACTTTTTTAAAATTTTAATTTGTTAAATGATACGTTTTTCAATAATTCTTATGTATACTTTAGATACCTAGGAAAACAATAATGAAATTAAAACCACTGAATAATATTTAATTAATTTATTACTTAAATTATAGTAGATTGGTATAAATTTTCTTGTTCTCGGAAAATTTAATTTGCTCATTTAAAAAATAGAATCTTTGAGATAGTGTTTATAATAGTATATTATAGTAAAAATATAATCATGCTTATTTAACTCTCAAACTGTATGTTCTTGATCTTATAAATGGTTATCGGGGATAATGTGAAAACTACCATTTGATTATTTTTATTAACACTGACAATTGAAAAAAGGGACATATTACACTTTCGTCGTTGTCCTGCTCAGAGTATTTTTCTCTTATGAAGTTAGAAACAAAAATGGACTTAATGCATACCTGAATAGAGTACATTTTTTGAATTCTAATATTGTTGCGTAAGCATTCCAGATTGAATTTAAGTTCCTTGGTCGCGCTATACCTTCCGGGTTCAGTTGTAAATCTGAACCAACCAGCCAGGAGGGCACACAAAAGTTAATCGAAATTGGTCCAGCTTTTTAGAGAGTTTAGTTACATAGACATACATGGCCATAAAGAAAGGCTCAATTTAAACCGCCATTGCAAAAATTCCCAACCATCCCATTCTGCGGTGTTATAAATTGAGTCAAAGTAATCACTGCGCACATGGCCGGCATTGGCGCCTTGCCGAAACTTGACAATAAAAAAATATTTAAACAAAAAATTAGAATAGTTAGCGAGTGCGAAACACTGTGGGAAATGTACTTATAAAATTTTGTGTGGAAACTTGAACAGCAGCGCCATAATGGACGTAACGAGAACTAAAAATTAGTACACATTTGACCATAGAGTACATTATATACATTTGACAGTGACATTTCTAACTCTCACGCGTATGAAGTCGCGGGCGGCCGCTAGTTGCTAATAAACTACACAAAAATAATGGTATTGTCAGTACTAAAATTGAAGTGGCAAATTAAGTACTGAAAAAAGTTACGAAGTGCAAAAATATAAAAAAGAATAAGTTTTTGGTGGGATTTCATCGAGTGCGGTTGGTGCCTTATTTTAATTATTCTTAAATTCGTTCATAGTGGATATTGTAAAATAAAATTGGTGTAATTTTGTGTTACAACTGTCTGTACAAGTGAAGAATTAGCGGAATCTTTAAATATACGCTATTCCGGTCAAGTGGACGTGAGAACTTTATTGTAGTGTTGACTGCCACACAGAAACTTATAGAAAAAGCCAACTCGATACATTTCGTGCCCAACACTTCAAGAAACATTAGAATCTGCACACTGATATTCTAATGTAAAAAAACTTTTTATTTCACTATATCCACTATGAACGAATTTAAGAATAATTTAAAAAAGACGCCAACCAACTCGATGAAATCCCGTCAAAAACTCCATGAATAAAGAATAATTAAAGATTAGACAGACGCACCTAGGTCTTGGATATACTTTCACCAATAATAGAAAGAATGCTATTTGCTTAGGACTCTTGAGCGTTATAGTATCGATTTACATAATCAAACTATTGATTCGCTACTATTACATAATGGTTAAAAACCGGCCAGGGTTTAAACTAAAATAAAACTCATTTTATTTTGTATAAATTTTTATTACAAATATTGTTTTTATTTACTTAAACTGCAAATAATATACCAAAATAACATTGTCTAAGTAAAGCTGGGGAGCCAGCTGACATTGATCGCAATACATCATGGAAACAGGCATATTCATTCCGATGCGTTTACATTCATTGGAAGTCATATTACATCAAGTTTACTTAATCATTATTGTGATGATTAAGTAGTAATCTGTAAATATTACGCTGTTTTGTCATTTTGTGCTTCATGCAGATTTTCATGATAATGTTCCAGTCACGGGAGTTCGATATTTTTTACAATTAAGTAGTCGTAGGTATCTTTTAAAATGTACAACATTTATTTGTAACAACCAGTCAGTACTATTCTTATGTGAGTTGATTTTCACTATTTTATTTATTTATAAATTAGAATTAAAAGTTTCATAGATCATTAGGTTTCAGCATATTTTATTGCTTTCTCAATACATTACTTAAAATATGTCGAACTGATAGGATTCGTATAAAATAAATACGACAGAACATCACATTCCCACAGCACATTAATATTTTTTGTTATAGATAGCCAATGAGACAAGACTAGCCGACCCAACTTCAGCGTTTTAACTAAACAATCCGAGAAACATATTACTTTATATTTGAAATAATTTACAAAAATATAACACTCGTCGTTATCAGAAATATACAACACAATGAGCACTATCTGTTACATAATAAAAGAGTCAATGTTATCTAGAACTGTTCAGTTGGAATGAGAATATGAAGACAAACTGAAACAATGGACTGGATTTGGAGATGAGATACTGAAATTATTGATATTATATAGATTGTGCAAGCACTTCACACGAAGTAGCTATTGCAGGATCGTTTTGCTTACACAAACCAAACTACGATAATGGGGAAATATTACCTAATATAATTGGCCAAGAAAACTATTTAATACCGAAATTATAATGCTTTGCACCATTACCTTATACATAATAGACACAAATTTAAAAGGTTTTACAAACCAAAAGAACAAACTCGAGACTTGTAGAACTGTAACCCAAAGAAATTATTTAGCATTAAGTAAAATTAAATGGTTTTTATGTATATAACAGCCAAACAAAAGTCACTGGACATTATAGCTAGAAGCCATTGTTAGTCGAGATGATTTGTAACAGCTCCCAATACTTCGCAAACTAGTAATGTTTGGCTCATAAAATGATGTAAGGACGTTATACGACTTCTTTGTACTTTATTATTATATAATGCATTTATTTATAAGTACGACACATTCATTAAATGGGTTGGTTTTCAAAAATATAACTACAATCAACAGCAATTCTGTTATACAGTAGTTACATAATTTAATTTTCAAACATTAGATAAGTATGTAAACATATTCGTTTTCTATTTGTATGTATTTAGTTTAGGATAGTATAAATTTAATTATGCAATTGGAATAAACTATTTAAAAGTTCTGCAGTCAATTCAAAACAAATATTACATTGAGAGTTACTTTAACAGACACAAGATTGCAGGAAGATCTTTCATGAGCATGTAAAATATAAGATTACATTACTAGTAAGCGAGTTTCCGTTGCTTAAGAATGCATTTTCAGACATCTATTATTAACGTAGCTGTTCGACATTAAAGTAATAATAATAGTACATAAAAACTAAAGCTGAAGCTTAGTTCAACTTCAATTATACACTACCCCCCTTATTAATAAACGTGGAATAAGCTTAGACTAGTTACGCCGCGGCGTGTTTTGTTTATATCACTCAAATGCCGCTTATCATTCAATGGACTGGGACTAGGGTTACTATTCAAAAATTTGAAAAGTCCTGATAAAAGTCCGGACATTTTAGCCATAAAATGCAAACATTACGCAACTTAATAAAGTTTATTTGGCTTATTTGATATAACTTAATAAGTAGATTTACTCATATTCTATCTATTCTCATCTAATTAAAAAAATCCGGGCAAAGTCCGAACAAATCCGGACGGATGGCAACCCTAACTGAGACAAAACATGGAGTAACCAAGCTTATTCTTCGATTACCAATAAGGGGGTACAGTGGTCAGTTATTCGAATTTCATAGGGAATATAAAAGTAAGGGCAGAAAGTTCGCTAAAATAAATAGATCAAGTTGTATGAAGACGCAGCTACGTTAGTATACGATATGAATGCAGTGTGATTGGGCGACAATTCAGTCGATGTACTGCGCGAGCCAGCGGAAACCCTCGCCGTAACCCTGTCGCTTGAGGACGGAGCACATGAACAGCTCCAGCGGCCGCCCCGGTAATTCCGATCGGGATACTTTGCCCTGCAAACGGTACATCCATTTAATTAAACAAGTAGTGGTTTCTAGCGTGATTCTCTAAACTTATAACTAAATTTAACATCAGTCTCTCCTTTTCATTCTGTATAGAGAATGACAAGGATGCACTGTTGTCAAATTTGAGTTTAGCTTTAGAGAATCATGCCAGAATCGACATCAATAAAATATTTAACAAGTTTTAGAAAACTATCTCAGGTTAGTAACATCTTTCCTCTCGCTTTACTGCAATTTGTGTGAGTGATTTCGTGAAATGGGACGGAAGTGTGTAACAGGAAGTTGCGAAAGCACGCGCTATTTGACTTGATTTTAGAACATAGTGTTCAATGACTTATTCCTTTTGTAGTAGGTTTTATTTCTTTTTTTACTTAAATAAGGTGAGGTTTCAAATGTTATGGTAGCCATACACACTACGAGAAATCGTTACGATCAGACTGTACACTTCGAACGGAACAGTTTATCGTACGTGGCGTACGTATAGGAAACTGTGCAGTTTTATAACATCACGCTACGATTTATCGGTACCGTTCGGACAGTACAGTATACAGTTACAGTCTAATCGTAACGATTTCTCGTAGTGTGTATGGCTACCATTACACATCATATGCGAGTACTGTAAGGCTCGCTCGTTTTTTTACTATTGTTTGTGTAGTCCATAAAAAGTGGATATTTTTAATTCTGTTGTCTAATTAAAAATAAAACTGAATTAAAATTCCATTTTCAAGCTGCCGCGAAAACGGTTCTTTGGCCAATATGGCGTTTCACTAGTGTGTGACGTCACACGACTGTCATTAAAACGTCCAACGATACAATGTAATGTCACTTTGGCCGGAAGTATACTAGCGTGTGACGTCATTTTATTCTTGGCCAATCCCAGGCATTTTCCGTCACGTGAAAAGATTATTAATTATTTGATCCCTCAGAATTGTAAAATCGCTGCTAATATTCATATTAAATACAGATGCCAACAATTGATACATTCTTTTTCATATTGTCAAATAGCCTATTAATCTGCATACCCTATAAATAGGTTAAAAGCCCTTTGGCCCGCCTGATGGTAAGCGGCCACCATAGATTGTAGATGCTTGCGATACAAAAATATAATTCGCTCCGTTGCCTACCCTGACCCCATGGGCGCCGACAAGTCATAGGATAAACCCCGTGAGGATTGCCACCGGGGGCAAATGGGAACAAAAAAACTGCAGTGGGGACAATGACTCCATTCCCATTTGCCTCCGATAGCAATCCGCGTGAGCGATTGGAAATAAAGATTAGTAACAGCACTGGCAATATGAAAAAAGACCAAGTGTGTGATGGACTCACGCACCGACGGTTCGGTACAAACGGTTCGCAGCGAGTCCAGGGGGCTAATCACCTAACAGAATTTCTATGGCTATCGCTATCGCTTACGAATTCATTTAGTTATTTTTGACCTTCTAAGGTTTCCAATTATCATCCCACGCTCATTTTATTTAAATGTTGTTATTACCAATCATCATCATCATCAGCCTATTAATGTCCCCACTGCTGGGGCCTTCCCTATGGATGGAATAGTGAGATTGGGCCATGACCCACTACGCGGGCCCAGTGCGGATTGGTGGGTGCTAACGACTGCAGATGCAGCCGGGACCAACGGCTTAACGTGCCTTCCGAAGCACGGAGGAGCTCGAGATATAATTTTTGGTCACCCATCCAATGACCGACCACTGCTAAAGTTGCTTAAGTTCAACGATCGCAGCTGAACGCGCTAACCACTTGCGCCATCGAGCTCCTCTTACTCTCGTTCGTTATTACCAATGCAAAATAAAAAAATGATCGCGAGCCATTGAAATTTATGGAAAAATCGTAATCGATAGCGATAGCCATAGCAATCCTAATAGGCGACTGGCCCCCAGGTCGGCCATAAAATATACCTAGTATAGGGTGAAAATTAGTATGTACAAACCTTCCCCGTAGTCTGCTGGTACAAGTTGAAGAACTGTCGCAGCTCATCTTCACTGGCTGCGCCAGGTTTGTCGATCTTATTTCCCAGGATAAGTACGGGGCAGTTGCTGAGCGTATCGTCGGTCAATAGCGAGTCCAGCTCGGCCTTGGACTCTGGCAGGCGCGCGCGGTCGCACGCGTCCACGAGGAACACGATGGCGTCCACCGCGGGGAAATAATCGCGCCATACGCGCCGCGCCTGCTGATGGCCGCCCAAGTCGAACGTTGTGAACCTCATGCTGCCTATCGATAGCTCCTCCGATGCTGCGCAACGAAATCACATTTGAATAAATCTTTATCTATACATATAATAAAATGATAGGAAAGTCAAAACTGTACATTGAATATTTTTTTTAAAGAATAATTGGGGTGTGATCTACAATCGATACCGAAGCCAAAAATATACTTTTTTGAATTTTTGGACACGGCCCTTCTATACATTTTGTATGAATGGGACATAATATTTGTTCTGAAAAATGCAAATAAACATATGTTTATATTATGAATATTTATCATTAAACAATGTCAAATAAACTGTGGTGGGAGCACCATGCCATCTCACTCCCACTTGTGGTGCTTATGTCCAGAACCCTAAGTGATGTCCCTCTTTTGCTTTATGACATTCAAGTCTCTTCCATATTTCTCATTAATGATGCCATCATGAAAAAAGCACATGCTTATTAAATATTGCAAAGGTATGCAACTTACTTGGATGGAGTGTCGGGACATGCTGTGCTAATCTATCATCCTTTAGCATGTGAAGGAGTGTTGTCTTTCCTGCATTGTCCAGGCCCAAAAATAGTAGTTTGCCAGATTTTTTCCACAACCCTGTAAAAGATAACATCAATTTAACACAGCATGTTACAAATGGTTATGTTTTGTATTTTTAGGGCTACTGCTTGAACTTTTTGTCACAAGTAACTGTTGCCTACTGTCACCCTTAATGTATTAACTGTAAACAGTGACCATTATTCAGTAATGTTATGTCGATACTTGAATGAATTGGGTTTTCTAGCAGCAGAAAGAGAGCAGATTTTCGAATTAGGTTTTTAGGATTGGAAAGACAAGGGAAAAGAGGCAAGCCAGAACAATTAACAAATGAAATTATTTTTAAAGACTCAAATTGATTTGTTGTAATCTATATTCACATATTCTGAGTCTATACAAATATTTGTTAAATAACTTTTGTATTTGGTGGCTGCTCAATTAACTTTTGAAGATTTGTACCTTATAATACTGGGATCATCTCAGTGGTAGCAAAAAACAGTACACATCCACTAGATAAGAAATGAAATTTTACATACATAGTGGTGTCGATTCTGGCATGATTCTCTTAACTTAAAACAAAATTTAACATTCCCTTTCATTCTATGTAGAGAATGACAAGGTAACACTGTTGTCAAATTTAAGTTTAGGTTTATTTTATTTTAGGAAGGTTTACAGCTATAATCACTTAGTAAATAAACAAAAAACAATATCTAAAAACCAATTAAAAACCTCCACATATTAAAGAAGTTTAGAGAATCATGCCAGAATCTACACCTTTGTAACATTTCATTTCTATTATGCACATTTGATAGTTATCATATCCAATAGGTGTTGTACCATAGAACCATAATGAGCACTCTATAATATTTTTATATCATTTGATGTTACATAAAGCCATAATCAGCTGTGGCTTAGTTTATATTAAATTTTTTATTACATCAAAACTTTGTTGGGGACAGCATTAACTGTAGATTTTTTTTTATATTTACTTAATGCAATTTAAATGAAAATTCATAAGTGTCGTGGGAAGTTTATAAATATATAGGAATATTTTTTTGCATTGTTATGATGATTTTTATGCCATTAATTATTGTTTTATACAGATGGAAAGCTCTAAAAAACGATAATTCATTAAGATTTCCTTTCTATAAGAAATCTTTACCATAGGTTATTTATTAATCAAGATACTCCTGAAACTTTATTGTGTCTGATTTTGATTATTTTTTTATATGAGGCTTAAAATCTGTCTAATAACATGGGAAATATGCAAAAAGATATTTTCTTCATGGAAATCCGAAAAAACGTAGTTTATACAATGCACTACTATCAGGTATGCATGTAAACAGAAAACAATTTCACTACAATCCTATACTGTAATGACCTTTTTGATAAAACTAAGTGAAAATACCTAAATATTTTTTATTCACATGGCAATAGGTACAATACACTTGAAACGGTTTTTAGAATGAAAAGTAAGGATAAACAAAAGCCTTTTTACATGACTGCCAAAAGTAGTGTTATGTTTATTTTCAGTGTTCTTGGTACGTTTTAACAAAAATAAGTTGACTTGTTTGTGGCAAATCCTTCCTTCTTTGTATTTTACAATGTGGTAGATACCACCATGTCTGATCGACATGGACATGTTTTTAATTCCTTTTTTGTAAACTTTATTGTTTTGTTTCTGGGGGATTTTTACGGCATTGAGGCCACCATAACTACACTGCTTTTGGACCTTCTACACAAAATAATTTCTTTATCCCTCTTTGATCGATATAGAAATGAACCTTGTTCTGTCTTTGTAATTTTTTTTTTGGCTGGTAATGGACATTTAGAAAAGCTATTTGTACATATGGTTCAAGTTACACTAAAGTTTCTTTGATCCAGTCCTTCAATATGGGGTATTCATGAAAATTGTTATTAAAACATTTATGGAAGTATGTCGAGTGTCAATTTTCTGCAAATTATCAGCATTGTGCCCCCAACCCGAGATTTATGTACTGACTTAAGTCTTCGTCACAATGTCCAAACGAGTAGCATTTACCCAAAATATACTCGTATATCCTATTTTTTTTTATTGATGGATGTCCCTCACCATCAAGTGTAAATGCTACTCCATGCCATTGATACTACCACTGTCAATTATGCAGATAATCTTATTCAGTATCTGAAGAGCACAACTAATTGTCTGCATGAGCTTGTATTGGCTAACAAGTTTTGGGTGGAAATATAATAAGTGAATATGCCACAGAACAATTGTGCATTTCTATCTCCTCTACAATTTCAATCAACTTCAAATCTTGTTATTTTATCCTCAGATAAAAAAAAAATGATTGTTTATACGATGCATAAAGTAGTACTGGCGTTTATAAACATCACTAGTTTTTTTGTCATAACTTTTGCCAAATATTCTGAATCACTTTTATTTGATATTAATTTTTAATTCATGATAAAAATATTATGATTACATAAATTAAGTCAATAAATTGTGCAACTTATTGTTTTTATTTACCTTGATAAACTCATCATTTAAATTTGGCTGAATTAACTTTTATTTAATAAACAAATAGTAATTAATCAAAATGATTTGCCATGCAGATTCAAGTCAACAAAACACTCTATTGTCAAAAAAACACACAATGCCTACATGTTTTGCATTTTTTTTATTATTAGTTATTTTAAAACGACATTACGATAGCGGGTTAAGGCTGGTAAAAAGTATAAAAAATAATTTATCAATGTGCTTTTAATGGAGATATTGATTAATTAAATAATTGGTACATAATAATCACACAATTTTATCAAGTTAAGTTCATACAAGAGTTATATTTTTAAATTTAAATAAATTATTGGATATTTTTTTACTAAATAGTGGACCTAAAACAAAATCTTATCAGAAATTTCTTACCCAAGAATCCAAGAACACCAGTGAACCAGTCCAAGATAAACATATTGAATCTGCAACGCACGAAATATTAGATTTATTACTCCACATTCAAATCTTCACAAAGAATGTACGGATTTGTAATGACTTGCATTAATCATTATCAGTTGCGTAGTATTATCTAGCACACACACGCATATGTATCAAAGCTTGAAAAGTAGCACATATTATTCTTTACTTGATAAATTAACCGAAATGTAGAAAGAAAGAATGTGATTTACATTGAGTAATAAGAATGACAGAACGTCATTCGAGCACTTGAAACTTGAACGATAATTACATAAAATTACGAATACAATACTTACTTATTAAAATTGATCTAGAATATCTAATACTAGTAGAACTTTATCACAAAATTTCGCACTTATGTACAATTGTTACGTCGTTGAAATCGAGGATTTTTCTCCAGCGATGTAAATGCGATGGGAATATGAATCTGTTGGCAATGACGTACGCGACTTCCGGAAGTTGACATGTAGATACATTCAGTTCATAGAGCAACACAGCCGACGCGGCTAAGAGGGAGTAGCTTTAGGAGCCATAATGACTAAATAATAAGTAATCATTCTGCCGCTTTTTGCGGGGGGCGAGGAATATGCACACAAATGCAGTTCCACATACTTTTCCAAAAACCAAATTTTCATTCTACGATACTCACACATAAAAATGACAGCGTTAAATCGGGCATGGATGAAACTTCAGATATGGCAAATGGCAACCGCCGTCATGCCATGCCATAATAAAAGACGAAGAAGAAGAAACATGTTTTTTTATTCAAAGATCAGTAATTTGCTCTGAATCTCGTAAGGAAATGACACAAGTATGTACTTTGCGTGTTTACCTTTAAAAACAAATCGGGGAGTACTGATGGGATTCGAGTTCCTTTTCACTCGAGTGACTCGAGTAGTTTTTATATTACTCGCACTCGAGTTAAATTTTTGACAACTCAAGTTTCGAGTGACTCGAGTCGACTCGTACCACACGAGTGGTTTATACCGAGCCGAGTGAGAAATTCAAGTTGTGACAAATTTACCCGCTGTAGGTTTTCTTTGAAATTACGTAGAAATATGTTTGTGTAAGTTGTTAATGTCATAAATAACCAAATTATGACTGTGTGTGTATTAGTAAGTGGTGAAAATGAGTAAAACAAAAAACCATTATTTGTAGGTTTTGCAAAAAAAGTTACAATTTTGGTATTACAACTAACTTGATTTCTCGCATGAAAAATAAACATCCACTTCAGTACAAGAATAGCAGTGGTGAATAGCTCGGCACCACAAGCATGTTCTTCCAGTAAAAAAAATCTTTTGTGTTTGCGTTAGAAAATTTTGGTCACTCGAGTTTTATATTCCGAGTGACTCTAGTCAATAAAAATCACTCGAGATTTATCTTCACTCGAGTGATAAAGTTACCAGTACCGAGTGACTCGAGTGAAAAAGAATCACTTGAGTCCCATCACTATCGGGGAGCAAACATGGCGGACGTAGGATGTCTTTAATCGATACTTTTTATCGATATCATGTATTTTTTGCTGTGGTCAAAGCATATAGGGTCACATAAATATTCTGGGGAAAAGGGTAGAAAGGAGAAAAGAATCTATTTGAATTTTGGAAACAATCGGAGATTATTTTATTCGATGTAAATTAAATTCCGCCACTGTTATTAAATACAAGGACAGCAATAAGAAATGGCTTAGTAAATTTCACTAACCTTTTCGTTATTCGACTGCATGTGCACATTATAATAAAGGCTGGTCTTTATTAACTTTAATATATGATTATTACAATATTAAACTAAAAGTAACTCAAGGGCATATCGATGATATATTATTTAAAATAAAATTCAAGTTTAAAATTCAGGTTTAAACATTTATTTCAGATGTTAAAATAAAAAAAAAAATCTTTATTCATTTATACCATTTAGGCTTTTACAAGCACATATGAAAGTCGCCGTTGGTTCGCAAATCGACGGCGGGAGACCTATTATACTGAGAAGAACCGGCAAAAAACATAAGCTGCTTTTTTATCCCTGTCTTATTTCATACAGTGTTGTTAAATTGAAGCTGACATCAAAATTATACATATTTATTGAGGTCAACTTCCATAACGTAATGTAAAATAGGAAACAATCAATATACAAAAGCCACGAAATATCCAGTAAACAATTTTCAAAATAAAAGACACATTGTCCAAGGTTCACTTCAATACCCCTTTTGAGGAGACAAGTTTAAAATACTTCGAAAATTTGCTAAACGTAATAATTACGGCCAGGCGGTTGTATCGCTTTCTGTGTGTATATTATAATATTAATAATAACTAAGCAGCTAACCATTTCTAGGTCAGTCTAAGTATATACGGATGTAATTTGGCTATAGTGGACTGAAATGAAAAAAATGAAAAATATTAGATAAGCAAGTTTTTATCATAATTTTCCTTTGGAATAATAATAATAAATATTTCCAACACTCACACCAATTAGCCTAGCCCCAAAGTAAGCACTGTAAATCTTGTGTTAAGGGATACTAGGGTAACGTATAGAATACATATACTGTGCATATATAAGTTAATTTATATAGAAATACATATTAGACATCCATGACTGGAGTACAAATGCTTGTATTCATCACACAAACATCTGCCCCCACCGGGATTCGAACTTGGGACTTAGAGTAACAAATTTGTCGCTTTTCTATTGGATTTTAGTTAAGGAAAATTAAAGTTTAGTTAGTTATGTTATTTCATTGTTTTTCATGAATGAATTAATTCGTAGGGTTAATACACTGTTGCGAGTTATTAGTACCGTTCGAAGCAAACTAAAAATAAAAGGGAAATTAAATATCGATAAGACCAAGATCGATGAGGGGGTACAACGCTAGCGCTGCTAGATTATTAGGTATTGTAAACTACATGAAAATTCGGTGAAAGGCTTTGGTTCCTGTAACCTTTGGTTTCTTAAGCTGTATTTTTAATATAGTTTCATGATCAAGTTCTCGTAAAAATAGCAATTTCTAGTTAAATTGGTTACTTTCCGGTGAAAAATTAGGTTAGGTCTACTTTTGTTTTGACACAGGCTACAATCAATTACAGAACACTTCACATTTATGTTTAAATCCTTAACTTAATTATTTTCTCGGTTTTAAATTCCTCCAATAAGAATCACGTCGACAACTTTGAGTTTATTTTGTAAACAAACTAGGGAACCACAGACTGCTTATGGGGAGCTAAAACGGCGACACGAGCTCAATTGTTTATTAGATAGAGAGAAATAGAGTGCTGGTGTCTTTTTCATATGCATCAATAGGAATGTAGAAAGGAGACAACACTATTTTTGTAATTTCTATACCAAATTACAATGTAACTACGTATGTATATGTTTTCGTGTCTTTTCCATAATGATCCTTATTCAGAGGTAATTTGTACTGGCAAGTAGTTTGTTTTGCCAAACAAGTCCAAAGATTGAATTTTAACAAAATGATATGAATTTCAACTCGACACGCAACTGGTTTTGTTTTTGTACTGGCACAACAGTGGTGGAAATTCCACTACTCCCCTCCTGCTGGCCACATCAGCAGCGTTGCTCTATGATTCAGTTAACAATATTTTTTATTGACGTTTAATTGACTATAAACGAGAAATAATGGTGTAGATTCTGGCATGATTCTCTAAACTCAAAACTAAATTTAACATCAGTGTCTCCTTTTCATTCTGTATAAAGAATGACAAGGATATACTCTTATTAAGGTTAAGATAGATAATCATGCCAGGATCGACACCAAAGTCAACTTTAATAGTTTTCTTTCACCAAAACACTTCGAGTTGCTTTCACCAAACAACTTTTTTCGAATTCTGCTCTTTTCTTTTTTGTAATATTAACATTAATTAAATTATAAACTCCCAAAGTAACATGATTTTTAAAACAATAATCAGTATGTCTACTCACATACTGAATTGAACTTCGTTTTGTATGAACATTGATACATAATTAAAGTGCCTGTACTATATTTCAGTCTTGATAATAAACGTAGGCACAAGATTTTACGTTTTGATTTGAACGACTAAATTATCGATAATAATCGGTTATTCATAGATACATTAATGACGTATTGACAGTTATCTGACATTCCGTTCGTAGTCTTGCAACACCGATGTACAGGCATTTCTTTCCAGTTTTTGACATCTATCAAAAACAAAGGTATTTTGTAATTTTCTCAAATGTGAATTTATAAACGGTGAAACCATAAAATAAATGTTTGAAATTACTGTTTTTTTATCGAATTGAGGTTTCAGTGTTACACCAAAGCAAAGTACCGCAGGATTGTTTGGATTTCTTTAGGTTACATTGGTGATATAGACTTGGTTGTCCTTTCCAGGCTGAACCATGGCTCCAAGAAAAAACAAAGTTGCAAAAGAAGAAGTCCAAGTGACCCTTGGTCCTCAGCACTTAGCAGGTGAAACAGTGTTTGGCGTCGCCCATATCTTCGCCTCGTTCAATGACACATTCGTGCATGTCACTGATTTGTCTGGCCGAGAAACCATCGCCAGGGTTACTGGTGGAATGAAAGTAAAGGCTGATCGTGACGAAGCTTCCCCCTACGCTGCTATGTTGGCCGCTCAGGTACACAGTTTTTTATTGACAAATTTATAAAATACATTTTTGGTATTTTAGGTTATGTTTTGGTAGATAAAATGCTGTATTTCACAGGTTACATGTGAGTATCTTTCACCCGAGTCGTCAAAATCACATTATTAGTAGCTTTACCATATAGCATTATTAGTAGTAGGAGCTGTAGTGTTGGCTAAAACTAAAACCAACTGTTTATTAAAATATTTTTTTTTTGGTTTGTAATAATAACAGCATAAAGCAGCACTATTTATCTGCATTTGTAAGTTATTGACATCCAGTTACAAATATATACATAAGCTTTGTGTATGCAATCAATACTTTGTTTATTATAGTTTTTTAAAGTGAAACTTCTCACTACTGGGTGTAAATATCTGACTAAACAGAAAAAGCCACAAACAAAAAAAAGCTTGTTACATCAGCCACATAAAATTTTTAATTGTTATAAAAATTCAGACCTTTCAACAAGTGTTGGTGGTTCCATACTAGAAAGCTCGGCTGCCACCACAGGCAGCTTTAGTTCGATTCCCAGCCTAGAAAGGTATTGTTTTTTCCACTTTTTATTAGCCTGCGTAACATTGATTTAAATTTTTTTTGATAAAATCAAGGTAAATGCCCTACATTCTGAAAAAAAATTGAGGTGATGTAAAACACTTAAGATTCACTTGCATCATGTTTTTTATTTTACTTTTTCATTGGTTATGATTTAATACTTCCCACCTAAGATCTGAATTATTACAATAGTAGTTACTTCCTGATACTGTTATTTTTTGTTACACACTTACCAAAAAAGTCATCAAAACATTTTAGGGAGTTGTTAAAGGTAAACATAGCTTGCCTGAAAATTAATCAAGTAAATACAATGAAGAAAAGACAATCAATAACAGAACAATACAATACAGCCAGCCCCCTAGCATGAACACCGCGATATGGTATATAACACGTTTTTATCACACCCAATTGTCAAGTTACTATGGAGTTTGACATTTAAACACGATAAAAATGTGATATAATGTAAATTGTGATGCTTATGCTACAGGGACATGATAACATTTTGTCAATTTTGATAACAATAGATACTGTAGTGACACTTATAAGATTATACACAACATTAATTTGAAGTCTTTCAGTGCAGTCAGTAGACTTAATTAATATTGAATCAAAGTGAAAATTATTTGTTTTTAAATGTACTTTGATTTTTTATTACAGGATGTAGCTGAAAAGTGCAAAACTCTTGGTATCACTGCTCTCCACATCAAACTCCGTGCAACCGGTGGTAACAAAACCAAGACACCAGGACCTGGTGCTCAGTCGGCTCTTCGTGCTTTGGCTCGCTCCAGTATGAAGATTGGTCGCATTGAAGATGTTACTCCAGTACCCTCAGACTCTACCCGCAGGAAGGGTGGTCGACGAGGACGCAGGCTGTAATCTGCTCTTAGCTTTAAGTTCACTGTTGACTTGAATAAACAAGTTTACGGTACTATATTGTTTAATTATAAAATAATCCTGTAGGTCTAAACAGTCTACATTCTGAAATAGTTATTCAAGTATTGTTCCATGAATAAGGTTTTACCAGTAACTTAAGTGCTACCAGTTAATGGGTAAAGCTAATATGCTACTTTCTTTCTCAAATGAAAAGTTCAGGCAAGGGGCTTGTTAACTGTCACTATTGTTTTTAGATGGAATCTGAGACCTGACTTTTTAATAAGGCGTCATTAAGATGTGGTAGGGGTTTATTTTTTTCATATATGATAATATTGTCCAACACACTGATTTAAACAAAAGCTTATCATCTTACTGGTTTAATAGAGTGGAAGTTATACAATGCATTTACAATTTATGATATTAAAATCTTATTTACCATCTCCAAGCTCAATATGGATCTTTAGATACATTGGTTTCAAAAAATCATTAAATTCATATATTTTTGCTTTCCTGTTAAGAACTGGAAGTTCATTTTCTGTGAGTTGATTTTGATTTGAGACAGTTGAACTGCTGGAGCCAAGCAGGACTTTACAACATCCTATCTCTAAGATAATTATTGTTCTTGGTGTTGCGAAGACAGTGGGAGCATCAAAATCGTCTATTAATTCAAACTCAAAAGTTGATGACTTCATATATAGGCAACCTAGCCTATAGAGCGCAGCGACAACCGGGATAGACGCGACCCCTCAGGAGACCACCCGAGGGAAGATGCCATTCTCCTGGAATATCTCTAGAGGCACTCCCCAATTCTCGGCTCGTGGTTCCTTGAGGATCTCGCCGTAAAGGTCATCTAAAAGTATAACTTAAATTGTTAATTTCTCAGTATATTCGCCGCGGTTCTGGTGTGCACTACGCCGGCGCCGCCGGCTACACTCTAGTTACAGAATCGTCTAGGTATGTGGAGCGTTTTATCACACAACCGCGTACAAAAGACTAGGATGACTTTTGACTAGGATGTAGCTAGGGATTTTTGTAGGAAGGCAGTTATCCAGTTGAACTAACAATGATTCTGAAATTATTGTTTAACTGTAGTTACGTTTTCAACACAGGGCAGCGTCGAGAGGTTTGGAGTTGCCCACCCTTACCCCCTCCTGGCTACATTCAGCATGAAGGCCCATAATGAACACTAAAAAGTCGCCTCTGCTCGCTTAGGTAGATCATGATGTCGAATCGGGCATGATTCTCTAAACCTAAACTTGGCAACAGTGTATCCTTGTTCTTCTCTTTATAAAATGAAAAAGAGAGACTGATGTTAAATTTCGTCTCGAACAATTCTTGAGCTCAAATCCCAGATCCAACTTATCGATAAGTGTGAGATACAGCCTCATGTCTGTGAAAAGTTAAGGAAAATTCCATGAAAACAGTTGCCTGTCATCAGAGCCGCTGGGGCCATTTGACCATTTTTTTATATTATAGGAGGCCTTAGAGCATGTACATAATATATACGAGCAGTTGGCTCACCTGGCCCATTATACTTTAGCAGTATCAGGGATATCACAAATGCGATGCCGGCCTTAAGCTAACTCCTTGACGTCTTTTTTTTAAGGTTTTCGGGTCGTATTGGTCTGGAAATAGTGCTGGGGACAATGTATTCCACAGTTTTGTCTTAGATGTTAAAAAATTCGACTAAATCGCACGTTTGTGGAAGGTCACACACCAAGATAATGGGGATAAATTTTTTGTCGCGATGTACGATGCCGAAAAACAGCAGCTGGAATTAATCCGTACCATTCCTCAGAACACTCCCCGTGATATAGCGGTAGAAGATGCAAAGCGAAGCTATATCTTTTAACGGAGCCAAAGAATCAAGCTGAACGGAAAGGTCCTGTTCGTCGACGATTCGAGCCGCTCGGAACTGGATGCGATTTAGAGGGAGAAGCTGGTACTGGGGTGCCCCCGCCCAAAGATGAAGGGTAAACCTGTGCCTTATAAAGTTACAGTCGGTGGGTCGGTGAGAAGTACCTTCTCGATCTATTAAACACACCAAGTTTCTTAGACGTCAATTTGGCCTTGCCCTCTAAACGATCCCAATCCTTTCCTACATTTGGTATTTAAATAAGTTATCTCTTGCCAAAGATATTTCTTCTGAATACGTTCTAAACACAAAAAGTGGCATGCATAGTGTGGTCTCCATACAACACCGCAGTATTTCATAATGCTTAAGACAAATTAATTGGACCTTGCGGCAGCCTTGCGAAATTCCCCGCCTACTGCCATAATAAATCCAAGCATGCGAGACGCTCTTAGGATAAAGGCTTTTTGGCGGAAATCACACCTCAATCTTTTATGTGGGCAACTTCTTGAATTAATGTGTTATTTAGTGGCGTAGCGTGCTTTGGCGGGGCTCCGAATAAAAAATTGTTTGGGGGGCCGTTAGGAAAGGTAAAGATTTCTCACAAAGAAAAAGAAATGTTTGCATAAAATTACAAGAAATATTTATTCATCATCATGAATCAATTCAAATTAAATATACACTCTCCTTGCCTTTTTTTCGGCAAACTGATTTATTAAATCATTTATAGTTGATGATGACTTTAGTTTTTCTAAAGTTTCTGCCTCTACGGACAATAGTGACTCCGTGTTTTATCATTGTATCGCATGTACATCGATTATTGTGGGATTCCCCCGTTCAAGTAAATGACTTACGGGGAAATCCCGCAGCCCGCGATAAGCGATGTAGGGTGTTGCCAACGTACGCTTTACACGGGAAAAAAAGAAATTGCTTTCTTGACTTTTGTCATTTCTGAGAAAAAAGTTCGGGAAGTTTTTATTAATTTTTGCTTACGCCCGTTGGGGGCCCCCGTATCATTAATACGGTAGCTACGCCACTGGTGTTATTAATACATATTATTAACTAGATTGTATAGTACGAGGTTTTCTAGTACATTTGATATAAAAGCACTTATCCATATTCAGTTCCATACTATTAACTTCACACCACTGATTCAAGCAAATCATCCTGCAGCAGTGAAAACATTAGACATTGTAGATAAAAGGGATTTAGGTCTATAATTTGTTACTAAATTATTGTCTCCCGACTTAAAAACTGGAACCACCTTCACGATCTTCCACTCGTCTGGAAATATCCCATTTGCTAGGGATGTGTTATATACAGGGTTACAGGGAAAGTCGTACTGAATATTGAAGGACGTTATTATTCAGGTCATTTCTGATGGATTTGGTCCTATAATATGGTGTCCGAAACTTAACCGTTATGAGACTTTGTTTTTATTTACGTATTGCTATTTTTACCTCAAACTAAAAATGTACCCTCTGCTACCATAACTGTTATTTGGTCAATGTTTTGCCAATTTAATAGCAAGTGTTATACCTTTTTGTATAGCTAAAGAGACGTAGAAGTTTTTAAAATTATTTGCAGAATAAGTTCCATACATTTTTTTTAGAAAAGCGCTTCAAAGTTAAGAACACTTGGTGAAAATTCTTTAGTTATAACCGTTGTCGAGCAGTTTTTTTAAGCCGTTAGAAGTAGGTTCAGTTTTTATTCATTATTTTTATTGCTTGACATGTCTTCTAACTAGATACATTAAAAAATCGGACCTTTGGAGCTCTAATTTCAAAAAAATCGACAATAACCCAAAAATCTTTAATATCCAATATCTCCATAACGGTTAAGTTTCGGACACCATATTATAGGACCAAATCCATCAGAAATATTCAGTACGACTTTCCCTGTAACCCTGTATAAAACAAAGAAAACAAATCTCTCAAAAAAATGGATGAAATACCGTCAGGTCCGTAGCCTTTATCAATTTCCAAGGACTATAAAACGTTAACTATTGATTCAAGGCTGATATAGAGGCCACTAACGGATAAACTGTAATAGTCCTGACCAAAAGAAGACGATACAAATAAGACCTACCTAACTTCAAACACTCATACCATGATAAATTATTCGAAGAAGGTGATAAATAAAAGCAAGGCATTATTCTTTGATTCATAAATTTTAAGTAATTAGGAAACCTATTACAATCTATTATCAGAAATCATTTAAAAAGAGCTAATTCTGAAATCTTAGTCTTAGGCCTTTTAAAAACATAGTGACTTAACAAAGCCTATGAACTTAAATTATAGGAATATTGTTCATCATCAGCTGCTGGGGCACAGGCCTTCCCTATGGTTGGAATAGGGAGATTGGGCCATGACCCACCACGCGGGCCCAGTGCGTATTGGCGGGTGCTAACGACTGCAGATGCAGCCGGGACCAACGGCTTAACGTGCCTTCCGAAGCACGGAGGAGCTCGAGAGAGTAAATTTTTGGTCACCCATCCAATGACCGGCCACTGCGAAAGTTGCTTAACTTCAACGATCGCAGCCGAACGCGCTAACCACCCGCGCCATCGAGCTCCTCCTATATCCATACAAACAATAATTAGTGAATAATTAATTAGTAAAATGAATATAATTTGATAGATATATTTGATAAAAATAAGGCCTTTTATAAAAGTAGGCTTTATTTAGGACATTATACTTCATAAAAGTAATTAGTAGTATATAATTCGCATATTCTAAAAAGTTCAATTTTAAGACATAGTCAACTTTTTGTTTAGTTATATTGTGATCAGTATTCATTACATTAAACAAAACTTCAAAGAATAACGTATTAAAGGAGATTGCTCAGCTTCCATACATGTTTGGCCTAAAGACCAATAATCATGAAAAATTGTTTCCTAGATTCGAAATTACTGTAGAAACGAATATTATTGACGGACACCCCTGAGAACTTCTATAAACCATATACACTGAACATATTAAAATAATAAAAAACAAATAAGTTATATAGTAAACTACGGAAATCAGCCAAGTACCAAAATTATGGATTAAATTCAGGTATATAGAGCATGTAGATTAACAGATAGTTGCCTGTTTTTAAAGTTAATGCATAAGAGTAACTTTTAAAATCAGGTGTCATTTCCGGTTACTCTGTGATGATTGTGAATGAGCCACAGATAAGAGAGAATTTTTAAACTCGTTAACCAAAGAAAGCTAAGAGATTTAGGTTCTATAGCCATATATTCAGTAGCTTCATTATTTTTGTTATGTTTTTAAGATAATCATATTTTAGATTTTAAGTGTATCACACCTTATAATTTTATTTATTTATTAATTTATAGTCAAGGAACGTAGGCCCATAGATAGATACCTTAAAGTCTAACATATATACAGATTATAATGAGTTTATGGAGGTGTTTGGCGAAAAATGTATGGCAATAGACTTTATGATGTCGCCCACCATCTATAATAATTGTCTGAGCACATTTGCATGTAGTGAAAATGATAATATAGTTGTGGATATTAATACCACAGTGTAATAAAAACAATGATTTATTTTATCGATCTTTACAAAATAGATTTGCTTTTATGTTATATAAACAACTTCGATCAGTCTTTGGCTGAATGTTACTACACCCATAGCCATTAAAAATTTTCGTATGTTTTCCAAACCGGTAAAATTAAAAGTCCTTTTTAAAGTAAATATATTATACAAAGGTGTCCGTTGCAATCTAAGGACTGTAAATTAAATTATAAATTACGCCAAGAATTACCGTGTATGTCAATATTTTTTGTGCATTTAGGCCAATTTGAGCAATCTCCTTTCGTTTAAGATTATGATACATTAATAACGCGCTATGAAAAGCTCGTCCTTCACAAAGTACCGCCACTACTGACGCTATGAGCTCGAGCGGACCGCTCGTGCACAGTTTGTCGAGCTATAGAACTGTCGTCTATGCGTTTGTAAAGTATTTTTGATGTTAATATATTTGAATAGACTTTTCTGCTATACAGGCCTTATTTCAGCATAGGCCTTATTTGTATCAGGTACCTTATATATACCACCGCGGAATGGAATGCAAACGAATTTTCGCAACGAAATTGTGCATAGCACAAAGTAAATACCTATCAGGTAAGAAATCTTTTGCGGAATCCTCGATTATTCTCGAGAATTCCCGTAACTTTTGGCTCGTATTTAGTTTCTATGTTATACAATTGACATTTTTCATGATTGCATTATGATATGCACAGAACACAGAAAGATGTTGAAAAAAATCGCTTCCATTTTATTCCGCGCCGTATAACCTGAGCCTTAATTAAATGAAGGGTAGGTATTATATGGAAGTGAATAAATAAACAAAATGATTACGTTTTTGTTTAATATTTTTAATTAATATTTTCTGTTAAATAAATAGTTTTAGTTACATACTATGCTTTTCTACGATAAACACATCTTATATTACACACAACATCCAAATTTTTAAAAGTACGCAAGTATCTTTTTATGTGCTACATTTAATTTGATATAAAACAAAATTATCTCTATAAAACATTATTGCACTCTTATAGGTATTTTAGTGAAAACTGTCCATAAATTGTTAAATAGTCGGCACTTATAAATATTTTGTGGAGTTAAAAGTTACAATGTCATATCTTAAAGAACCTTTTATAATTATTATATTAATAACAACTACATAATATATTTATTATATCACACGACTTGTTTCATATATCAAAATTTCTGTTTCCACTAGTTCGAATTCAGGTAGTTGTTCACTCGGAGACGCTGAGTGTTTTTTTCTGTCCACGTTCCATTTTGGACGTTAAAGAGCGCTCTTGCGAACGATCCGTTACACTAATGGACACAGAAATCTTTGACAGAAACTAACTGCACAAGGGCAGAAACCGGTCTCGCAAAATTTTATAAAATGAGATCAATTGTTTTGAAAATACTGCTCCTAGAGCATGCCTTTAGGTGTTGGGTTCACTTTAATTATTAGATATAACCCATAGCTATTTAAAATATTTTTTATAATTATATTCAATTTGTCTTTAAAGCAATAGGTAGATAATAATTATATTATTTTTATATGCAGTCAGTAATAACCGGCAACGATAAAACTATACATCTAATACGTTTGTTAATAAGAACACATTTAAATTATGCATAAATTACAGCAGAACACAATAATTTCCTCAAAGATCAGTCACTGAATTGCGAAAACCAACAGATAATTTCACATTTCAAAACATCGTTCGACACCTGATTTACTACATGACGATATGTTTACAATGTTACAAAAAAAAATTACAACAGTCACAACAATTAAGAATCCATGAATTTTGGTTAATTAATCATCCATATACCCCTATTTAAGTATATCTACATAAAGTAACTTATGAAATAGGGAAAAACCTGGGACAAGAGGACCAAAACAGATTATAGACTACACAAACAGCCTTTTTCTAGCGGGGTAAAGATTACTTGTTGTAGTTGGAACATTTCTGGTGTAGTTATTGCGCCTCGGAAGCGGGCCGGGCGCGCGGCTTGCGCTACAAGCCAGACTTTAGGCGGATCTTCTTCAGGTGCGAGGGCGACGGGTTCGGGAACGGCCTGCGTTTCCCGGATACGGATATGGATTCCGGATGTGAGACTCCGCTTTGGGAGCCTAACACGGTGCCTCCGTGGACGTCTTCCCAGTTACCGCCGAGCATATCCTCGGAGGAGGAGGAAGCCATAGCTCGGCAGCGGTTTCCACCGGATCGAGTGACTGCACCGCGTATCGACCTAGAGAAGCTGCGCTTACTCAACTTCGCTGAAACGAGGGAAGCGCGGGGACTCTCCGCGTCGTCTGCCGACCGTCTACTCACCTTCCCCTTGGCGACGCCCACTTGAGTCTTGCTCGAGTTCGGTTTCCGTATCGCTAGGATGTTCCTACGTTTTGTCGACAGAGTCTTCGGCTTCGGCTCGTTCTCGCTGAGGTAGCGCGTGCGGGACGGCGTTTTCACGGGATCGTTTTTTTTGGCGAACTTCATGTTCATGTTGATGATGTCGTGGCCGGAACGTTGCGCGAGTACCGGCGGACTGCGCTTCCTTTCCGTGTCTGTTTTGGCGCCGACGTAAGTGTTCTCCTTGCGTTCGTCCGTAACTTTAGCTTTAGAACGCGCGTACAACGGCACTCGCGTCGGCGACGTTGTCTTCGGCCGTAACCGGGACATCGTCAGCTACGAACAAAGGGACATATCAAGTAATGCCTAAAGTTCTACAAAAACGGGCGAGTCTAGTAAAACCTTATAAAACTTCTACTTAAGAATGAAACAATCGATGGTACTTTGATTACTCTAATGTTCTCCACGCGCACTATGTTTAGTAAATCTAGCAGTATATGTATGGTGTTATTATTATTAGATTGAGGCTCAGACAATACGATTCACTCGCTAATTCTTACCCAAATTATTAGCTACTAAAGGCTGGTGTTTATTAGCACTGAAAATTAAAATGATACATTATACATATGGAAAATCATAGCGAAAATAATATACTGAAAGAATAAAGTATCTGAAAGTAGTAGTATCTGAAAGTTTATTTGTAACAGTGCTTGATTGGGCAAGATACTTGGAATTCTTTAGGAAATGCTTATTTATTAGCACTAGCGAGTATTTTTTGTATATTTTTTTTAATTTAAAATCATGGCAAAAAGCTTATCTCAGCAAATGAGCAACAAATAATTTAATTAATGTTTTAGATTCCATTTAGCCTCCGTGATCATAGGTCATGTGATGTAGAAGTGAATAGATAGTTTAAATAATAAATAGTGAAGTGAATAGATAGTTTAAATAATTTTAAATAAATAAATATAAACGTTAAAGCGGCCTTTTCTACCATGGTTGCTTCCAAACATATTGACCATTGTCCAGAGGAAGAGAGGAGAGAGGAAGATATTGGAGTGTTGACTGGCCCGCATATTGAATTCAGATTCGTTGCAGGTAATTCAACATATCAAAAGGTTTGTACCGTGGTTGTGTATTTGTTATAGCTATCGCATTTAGACATTGACCGCAACGAAGAAGGGACGATATGGAAAAGATATAAGGAACAACATATAAATATTTTAAATTTACCAATATCGTCAAGTTTTGTCATACGAAAATGTTTCTTATGCTATGTGGTAGGAAGGAGCATAGAATGCGTCAGTTGTTGACCAATAGATAACAACTTCCCACTATTGATGTCAAAGAAATTTAATGAAGCATACAATTTAATTGATATATTAGAGTGCTGCTGTAAGAGTCATATCCAAATCAAATCTTGTTTACTAGTCTCATAGTACCACATTTCACTGTGATGCTAACGCCATTAACATACCTATTATTTAAACAGACACTGGTGTCGACTCTGGCAGGATTCTCTAAACTTAAAACTAAATTTAACATCAGTCTGTCCTTTTCATTCTGTATAGAGAACGACAAAGATACACTGTTGTCAAATTTCAGTTTAGCTTTAGAGAATCATGCCAGAATCGACATCACTGAGTACTTATACCGATAATACGGGCGAAGTGAGAGATATGGAACAGAGGCCTTCTATCCCTTTCTAATAGAATGACCATAGCTATTGTTTTTGAGAATTAAAACTAAAAAAAAAGGTTTTTACAAAAAATACCAGTTAAAGACTACACAAACAAAAACATAGTTTGACTGTGGTGGCATTGAGTCTGAATATGGCATTGTCATTTATTAAAGTGCTTACAAAATATATTAGTTTGTCTTTTGTATTACATTGCTAATTGTTAGTGTACAGTTCTTAATAATCCTGCTTGATACCTGGATCTTGTTGATTTTTTTCTAGTAAAGTTTTCCGTATTACAAATCAATCAGTTTAATGCTTAAAATGAAATTATAATATAGTTGTTAATATTATTATACGCCTGTGCGGCTGATAACAGATGTTAGGGTAAAAACACACAATCGGGCCGGCATAGTCTTTTCGACAGTATTGCAGAACAACAAAACCGACCCTTAGTAATTACTGCCCAACATTCATCTATACATATTCGATTTTACCGCCCGGCTGTGCCGATTAATGCCAGAACGCTTGTGTGTAGCTATCCTTATTTATAAAGCTTAAGATTAGGGTTACCAACTTTTTTTTATCTAATACGTATAGTGTTTTAGAGCCGTTACTTCTAAAAATAAAGGAGCTGGCAAAAATATAGTATGTGGTTAAAATCTTTATTTTTTAAATAAATATATCTTTACTGCTCTTTGCATTACTAATAATATTATAATAATTTTTTAGAAAGCTTTTACTGCCAAAAATATGCTTTAAGCTAAATATAGTAGTTTCATCTACTACCTATATTTTTTTTGAAATAAAGTATTTGATCCCCTAATATAGTAGGATACTATATTATATAGTAGATTTGGCAACCCTACTTAAGATCCTATTACCCGTGTCACCGTAATATATTTGAATTTGAGTTTTTATATTCTAACATACCTGTGGTCTCATGGTGCGTGTATGCGCTCGCAGCCAATCCCGTACGGCGGCTAAGTTTCTGTGCTCCGAGCACGGGATGCGAGAGTTGGGATGCTGCCCCGTCAGATCCAAGATTGACGCGCCCAGAGATCGACCCACCTGTCGCCAACGACCACTTATTATAATAATAAATGTTATGAGAGAGGAACAATCGCCTCTGAAGATGGATAGTGCGATTATGAACGAATGGCTATTTACAACTTTCCTAATGTTTTAAATAAATAAAGATACTACAAATTGGAAATTTGTCTTGATATATTAATTTATATGAAGAACTAATAGGCTTTAAGTCGAAGAAATTTGTCTGTTTCAGGTATCTTGAAACTACAAATTGTAATGAAATGAAAATAAACTTACTCCAAATTGACCTTATCAATTAGAAATCAGAAATTTATTTCGAATCGTTAAATTTGAGTTTTTTAGTTACTGTTTTATTTGAGTTACTTTTTTAGTAATAAACTTTTAGGTTATATAGACTCGGATTCGTTTGAAACGAAAACGGCCTGTGTGGTGCATCGAAGCGTTGGATATCGTGAATACCATAGTTTCTTTAGCCTTTTCAGATATTCTTTATTAAATAAATACTAGTGTCGTGTCCTCGCTTTGTTGTAATATGGCGGATGATATAATGATGTAGGTAGACTTTAGTTTTTATACTTGAACATGATGGGGCAAACTTCCACAAAAAAATATATGAATGGTGGTAAAAACCGATTGAAAATCCATTCAGTTGATTTGAGATAATCGTAAACATATAACAAACAGACGGGGTGACTTCGATTGAAGATATGTATTAATTTACAATGAATTAATGTGTTATGTAAGCTCAAATGATATTAAGCTAGACGAAATACATATTCATATAAAGATAAGATAATGCTACGCCAGTGCAGAGCTAAGTTGAATCTGCATACCATTTGATGCATATGGCACATATTATACAAATAACCCGGATAAATTTCGAAGAGAATAGATTTTAAAGTTTCTTCATTGTTTATGTACAAAGAAAGGACCGAATTGACACAAATTCCAATCATACGAATATCGGTTGCGACTGACTTTATGTACTATCGAGTGCAAAAAGCATTTATGTCATTTAAAATCTAACTACTTTATAATGTATTTACAAGTAAATAAATTAGACCTTATGCCATGAACAAACCTGCATCGGTTCTATCTCTTCGAAACCATCGGGGTTCTTTGCACGAGTGTGTCTTATCTGAAATGTGGTTTGCGTTGCTAGACTATATTTTCGCATGATGGAAAGTGTGAAATGTTCCTAATAAATTTTGTTCACTGTTGAACCAAGCGAAAGAGATGATTAAAAGGAAATTAAAAGGCTTCGTTCATTTCATAAAACAAATGCCTACTAAATTTGGCATTGAGATCCGCCGTTTTATGGAATGCATGAAACTTTTTAATTTTCTTTCAAAGAAGAAACTAGAAGAAGAAAGAAGATGTAAACTTTCAAAGAAACGATGTAACCTTTATAGGGCACTGTTGAATGTTCTTTTAATTACTTTAAAACTTTTTTTTATACCAAGAGAATAAAGAGATATTGGTGGCAATTCTGACAGGGTTCTCTAAACTTAAAACTAAATTTAACATCAGTCTCTCCTTTTCATTCTGTATATGACAGGGATACACTGTTGTCAGATTTAAGATTAGGTTTAGAGAATTATGCCAGAATCGACACCAATATATTGCTATTGGTGTCGATTCTGGCACCAATATCAATTCTAATTTTAGGTAGAGCATTTGATTTATTAGATATAAGTAATTATAAGGTTATTAAAATACTTTTACATGTTTAAGACTATTATATAACGGCGGTGCCTTCAGGTTGATGACCAAAGTAATTGAAAAATTCAAATCATATTGAAGAACTATAAGTTTTCCATACTTTTATCTTGCTTTTATTTTATATTCTAATGCTGTCATACGTTTAATTAAGATAGAATATATTAAAGCGGACCAGTTATTTGGAAATTAGAAATCTTCGTGAAACTAAAGATGTCAAATTAATTTCACGTCACTTTGCCTTTTGCTAAAACGCGGACGAGCTTGTTGATAAAATTTGTATATGTTTTGCAAAAAATAATGATTATACCATTTTTAGGAGTATAGAATACGTATTTTATATTTATTCTCGATATCTCTATTGAGTATATTTCTATTAATTTTGAAGACAATAACATGATGGCAAACCAGCAAACGTTCTTCGCTCTAAGAAGCGGTTACTGAATCCAATGCCAATTTAAAAACAAAACAGTTCTACGCAACTTTTGAAGAAACAAAAATGTTTTACTGGCTGCGCTAACGTTAAACTAAATCATCTTCAGCCACACCAATTCCCTACGCTTTTGGGAGTAGGTATCGAATACGGAAACACACACATATTAACACATTTCACCGTGCATTGTTCTAATAAATTCTCAACCAAGAAACTTTTTTGAAACTGAAAACGACCGCGACACCACAATGAGTTATGAAAGTGGCCTAATAAAAAAATGCTTTATTTTCTCTTGTCTTTAATCGGAAATGCGCAAAACAAGGTAACGATTTAGGTCACTTTCATTGTAAAGGTGTTAATTCTGGCATGATTCCCTAAAACTAAAATTAAATTTGACAACAATGTATCTTTGTCATTCTCTATACATAATAAAAAGGACAGACTGATGATAAATTTAGTTAAGATAATCATGCCAGAATCGACACCATTGATTATACCTACATATAATTTTACAGCTACTGAAAATTTCTTGACAACAACAAAGTTTCAGAATTCGATTCCTCCCAATGATATTAATTACCCTAAATACACCAACACGAACAAAATCGTGCTCGAAACCTGTCCAAAAGGTACATTGGACTATCCACGGCGTTCCGCCAGATGATCGGCTAGTCAAAAACAATATAATTATTTAAACATTTAAGAACGACACTACATATTATGTATAAGTATTTTTATCGCATTTTTTCACGGAGCTCTGCGGCAACTTGACTTTTCAATGGTCCGCGCGTGACTGTGAACCAAGAAGTGCTTAAGTTATGTCCAAGCACTTCTTGATTGGGACACATTATGAGCGCGCGCGGTGTATCTAGGGTATTTAATATCGTCGATCCTCTACCCAACCTTTAAGATCATAACTGAACATAAAAAAACAGCACGGACCAGGGCATACCTTGGCTCTGTTTTTCCTATAAGTAGTACACTTTAATAAGTGTATCATAATTTGGAGGCAATAAAACAGTTATTATTATTATTAACTATAGCATGTCTCCACACAGTTCACAGACCTGGAACGGGTTTACCTCTTCGAATATGTGGGGCGTATACTTGGGCGGGGGCGGGGGCGTGGCGGCGCTTGCCCCGGTAGTGAGGGGCGGGTCCCGGGCCGCTGGGGGCAGGACGTTGACGAGCCGGCCCGTGTTGTAGTTACATTCCAACGTGTACGAACGAACTAGGCCCGTGGCCTTTAGGACCGCGACCCGCCCTGAGCCTTCGCGGGACATGCCGTCCCGACGATCCCTACAACGCAATTCAATGGTACAGTGCAATCCAAACTTTAGGCTGCCTGTCCACAAGAGAATTTACTGGAGAAACGGAGAATTATTAACCAATAGGATTGCAAAAAGGCTGAAGACTGAAGAGGAGCGGAGATTTTGTGCAATCCTATTGGTTAATATTTCTCGGTTTCTCCGCTCCGCAACCTCATTCTGCTCTAGTGGACAGGCAGCCTTATGTCAGCTGTAATATTAGAGGAGCTCGATGGCGCAGGTGGTTAGCGCGTTCGGCCTGCGATCGCGGAGTTAAGCAACTTTTGCAACGGTCAATCATTGGATGGGTGATCAAAAACTTATTCCCGGCTGCATCTGCAGTAGTTAGCACCCAACAATCCGCTCTGGGCCTGCGTAAGTAACGGTCCAATCTCCCTTTTCCATCCATAGGGAAGGGCTGCGCTCCAGCAGTAGGGACATTAATCGGCTGATGATGATGATGTTAGCAACGAACACAACTATTTGCAGGTTTCAGTGATATCCTACGCACGCATATATCATTTTCTACATTTCGTTTACTGCTTGGCGACTTGCGCCATCTTCACAGCCGCTATTGAGTTTGAATCGCACTCTGAACGTCAAATAACAAAGACCATCCAATCACGTCTTAACGCTGTAATGGAGAAATTCACAAACTTGTTCACTTATGGTGGTTATCTACCATTTAGTGGTATTTTATTTCTAGCAATGAGTAAGATTTCAGGTCGCCATGAAATAGGGTAAAGGCTGTAGCGATATTCTTGTATCGCAAGCGTCTATACGCTTTGTCGTACGCTCGCTTACCATCAGGCGGGCCATTTTAGCCACCTTTTTTCACATTAAAGAACATATTTTTTAATGTAAAAGGGGCAGCAAACAAGTATAAGGCCCGCCTGAAAAGTACAGCGAACAGGGAAGACAAGTGAAAATCATTGCGCTATCATAACCAGTAAGTACCCATTAGCACGAACTACAATTAGCACGAATCAATATAGAATTCAATCTCCATACACGTCAACCGTCAAGAAGTTTTATATGGAAGATTTTTAATTCTCGTTACGTCCGTTGTGGCGCTGTTCTAATTTCCATTCAAAACTTCTTGCCATTTGACGCGTAACGAGTTCGAATTCAACTATTTGAATTCGATATTGGTTCGTGCTAATGGTACAGTCTATCTATATCTAAGGTGGTAAAGTTTCCCTTTCGATAAAATCGGATAAACAGGCCATGAATTTAGTGGAATTTATATAGAAAGCAACTCACTTAAGATACATATTCCTCTCGGTGAAGTTGCAGGAGGAGAAGTGGAAGTGCAGGTTGTTGAGCGACATGATGCGAGGCAGCAGCATGCACTCCACAGAGCTCTCTAGGTCGTCGAAGTGGTTGCCGTACATGAAGATACCTGCACGAGAAAACCGCTCGTGTTTGTACAGATAGCAACTTATAAAATTACTAGAAACTTTTAAATTTTCTCAAAAGATTAAGTCAATAAATAGTACAGCGAGAGATTCAATTATTATTCTTGCATCGATTTCTCACTTTTCTTGGATGAATCCGCAATTAGGCCCGATCCGCTCTTCTGCGGGTGCGGGGGGTGGTATCTTTTTCATTTTTGGCAAGGAAGATTTAAAAACGTCTTATATATCACTCCATGACAGAGCGGCAATGGTATCTAATGTGGGGGACTTGATAGTTGCTCTCCTGATATACAGGGTGTAAAATTACCTTCTTCGAGACGTTAAATTATTCATCTCGTAACGATTTTTATCTTTCTTAGTTGCGAGTCCGTGCAAGTTTATGTCTTATGTCAGGACATACTCAGGAGTCGGGCTCCTTGGAGTAGGGATGTGCGATCCGGGTCGTCGATCCGATTTTTCGGATCGTAATGCTACGATCCGATCCGCGGATCGGATCGCATGCCGTCGATCCGATCTTCAAGAAATCGGATCGGATTGGATACAATAAATAAGACAAATTATTTTAGATTTTTATTTGGTAAACCTATCAATAATCGTCACACCTAATCAGGTACAACTTTTGTTTATAATAATAGAATGTATAAGATTAACTAACGGATCCACCTGCAAAGAATGCCGCCAAGTTAAAATGTAAACAAAGATAAAGTTCGTAACAGAAACCTTAGTAAGTACCTACCCAATTTATTGTAAACAAACCGCGTTTTAATTCATACGATCCAAGCGATCCGATCTTTCAAGTTTTGTAACGATCCGGCAAAAAATCGTATGGCCTTAGCTATGAATATCGAAAAACTTTCTTTCGCAATTTGAATTGATTCCTTAACCTATTATTTAGGGTGCAAGTCTACCTATATACAGGAATAGTATGTAACTTGGGCAAGGAACTCTAAACTGCTGTACATCGGAGGTCGTCATTAGCACCTGATGTGCGGAATTAAACTGGTATTATTGGATGGAGTTCTTACCTTTCTTAGATGCGTGTCCGTGCAAGTCTATGTACAGATAAAGGCCCGAGTCGGGTTCTTTGGAAGGGGCTCGTGCGGGCACCGGAGGCGCTGGAGGCGGCTTCTTCTTTAATTTGGGAAGGGGAGACTTGGGCTTCTCCTCCTTTGACGGTAGACTTAGCTAGTGGATAAAGTAAAACAGCAGACTTTGTAACAACCAATATTTTTTGTCGTGAAATATATCTTACATCTTAACTTAATAATTATAATCCCAATCAAGAAGTGCTTGAACACCACTCAAGAAGTACTTGAGTGCAATACAATTGGGAAGGAGTGATTGAACAATATAAATTCTTACAAACATTAAGTTCAGAAATAATTCAGGATATGTTGTATTTAATGAAAAATCTACATGCTGCTGCTGTCCCAAGTTAGTTATAAAATAATGGTTATTTACGTGGATGATAACAAAAAACACTATTTAAACTCTAACTATTTTTTTTATTTAAATCAAAATATATCATTAACCCATTAACTATCGAATTCAATTAAAGAATAGCAATAGACATTAATAATAAGGGCCTCTTGTGTAGAAATAAACAAAAAAAAAATGTTTGTCCAGATTTGCTAGTTTGGGCTAATAAATTAACTAAATAATTATGACTTCTCTTGCACACTGCTATTTCACAGGCAGGCTAGCTAGCCCAGATCAACATTTTTTTTAGTTTCATTGGTCCTGGTTTAAGCAGTAAGCCCTGGGCTACACGGAGGAGCGTGGTCCTAAGCTTTGTAATGGTTACCATGCCAAGCATACAATGCTTACTTTGGGGCTAGGATAATTGGTGTGAGTGTTGGAAATATTTATTTAAATGGCATATGTTTTGTTCCTGTACAAAGGTTTTGGCATCTGTACCAATCACCCATAGAAAGTGATTATCCTCTTTTTAGAATTCTTGAAAGAATTGTTGGGATCATTTATGTCCACTGTCAATATGTACATGTATTGAAGATCTATCACAATATTCTGTCTTATTCACTCACTACTTTTCATATTAAGATTCTGTGATTCATTTCCTATTAATATAGATAGATTTTATAGTTAGCATACTTACCGGTGGTGGGGAGGGCGGGGTGGGGGGTGCAGGCGGACAGTGAGGTTCCCCGCTCTCTCCACACGAGACCGCTACGCTCGTGGTCGATACCGGCGAGCATACCTGTACACAATATGTAATACCTATATCAATCTGTCAAATTATACTTGCGTCAAATATAGCGGCTCACTCGGCACTTAGCATTAAAAGTTTTGACGGTCCCTAGCTAAAAATGAATGTTACATTGAGCAAAATGTTTTTACGCAGTTATGAAGATGATTTATGTACCATGTTTTTTTTTTTTTTTTTTATATTTGCTCAACATAAAATATATTTTTGCTACAGACCGTTGAAACTTATAAAACAGTGGGCCGATAGATGTGTCCGGAAGTGTACAAGGTTCAAAATCGATTGTGAAAATTTGACACTTTGTCGTAACTTGACTAACATTCCGTTTCTCACTGTACAATGTTCACTATAGTGTTGATATTTTTATGTTGTAGTTATTGTAACATCTTTATTTTGTGTGTAATTAAAAGATTTGGTGAAATAAAGTATCTTAATAGATTATTTTCAAGTACAGTTGTACAATGAAAGAAATGAATTCGATGAATTATTAGACTGCAATTTCGATAGGCGACAGCAACTATTATAAAAAAAGGTGATGATTTACTTATTGTAGATATAATATAAAAATATTTAAGTGATTTCAAGTAAAACCGACTGCACATTTAAATAAATGTCGGTGCGTTTTGCGGGATCGCGCACATTATTGTCGGGTCGCAGTTGCAGCGCAAGAATCCGCTCTAATCGCTCGTATGTATTATATGTGAACTATCGCACCATGCCGGAGAGCGCAGCTGGCCGCATATTTTGTTCAAAGATAGTATAAAAAAAGCACTTATTAAAAAAGCTAATTACAAGCGTCTGATTATATAACAGACAAAAATTCTTGGGTTTGAACTGTTCCAATCATTCCAACAGGTTTTTCTATATTAAATAAATCATGGTTGTATTGACGTTGTAACAACATAATAATTTGTAAATGTTGTTACATTACACTTTTAATGTTGTGGAGTTTTTTTCGTTCGTTTTTCTCCGCAGCTAAAAAATATGTCTTATAACGAGTGGTAGGGGAAAAAATGTTTGGACGATTCAAAAGAGTTGTACTATCCAATTTGAATAATGATATATCGACCTGTGATTTGCAGCGGATTTTGGTTGCGTGCGATGAGGCCCTCCCCGCCTCGACACAGTGAGCTATGTAAAGCAAGGGAATTGAAGTGCATACAGTTTCACAAACGTCTGGCAGTAAGTACACTGTACCCAAAATTCACCAATGAGCTGCGACAATCAATGCGCTGAAACCTGGTCCATCACTTATGTTGACGAGCTCCGGCCGAGTGGTTTATACGCCGAGTATCATGGTGTCGCCAATTCGAGAGGTCCTGGGTTCCAATTTCGGTCGGGGCAGATGTTTGTGTGATGAATACGAGCATTTGTACAAATATCTATACTTATATATGTACTGTATATGTATTCTATTCGTTGCCCTAGTATCCCATTATACAATCCTTACAGTGCTTACTTTGGGGCTAGGCTAATTGGTGTTAAAAAATAATAATAAATAAAATGTGCTAAGTAAGCATTTTGCGCTGCGCTACGGCCCGTTTCGCCCCGCTGCGACCCAGCACAATGTGCGCGAACCTTTATAAAACAATTTATATTTATTATAGTTTCCCATAACACAAGCCTTATAGTGCTTACTTTTGTGCTAAATAAATATTAATTTATATTTATTTTTCTACTCACAAGTTCTTCGTTGAGGCCTGTTATCGTGTACTTCTTAAAGCAATTGGTACAGAAGTAAACTGTGTTCTTATCATCCGTTTCGTTGTCCTCTTTCTACAACAATATAATTAAATTAGTAAACAGATACATCCATTTTTATTTTCATATGACATAAATATAAATATTTTTAAAAGTGAATTACTTTCAAAATGGTAGCCAGACAAATACTTCGACCATCCTACATGATAATAAGTGAAATACAACAATTTTCTATAAGCTACATTTATACATACATAATGAAAAAACAAATGATTTCTAGATTTAAGCTCATCTACATCATCGCGAATCCATTCCAGATTTGTGGGTGTTAACGGGCCGTTGCCATATGCTTGTCTTTGTCTAGCAACTCATCGCTAATACGGGCAATTAAATAACCTGGTGTTCGATAAAACAAAGGTCTTTAAAAAGAGGCCTTAAAGTCGATTTTCTTTTCATTCTATAATGAATTAGTCATCGTCATCCTACTCACATAGTTTATAATGCTGTGGAGTAACACACGACACGATGAAGTTACGATGCAATATAGATTTTTAGAGTACGCGCTTTGGATGCATAATTAGTTACAACAAACTTATTATAGTATTAAATACCCTAGATACATCACGTCCACAAACTAAGGTCTATATCGTAAAATTTTAAGAGCTTGCATTTCCAAATGTCAACTCTGTGACCCATGCGTTTTAATAAGACCTTACACAGTATGCATTAAAGCTGGCTTCCAATGTTTAAATAATGCCTTATATTGTTTTTCACAACGCGATCACCTTACGGAGCTCCGTGGATCGTCCAATGTACAGGTACAATGTACAATTGGACAGGTTTCGGTCACGATTTTGTTCGTGATGTTGTATCTAGTGTATTTAATATCGTTGGTTACAACTATCAGAAGCGAAACATAGTTTGTACCCGTACAATGCGTTCTTTGTCGCCTATCTGCTGTTTCTGGTGCTCTCTGTATTCATCGATGCTGTGGTGAATGTCCGGTTTTAACTAAACAGTAACAAGTATTTTCAAATTTAAAAAAATACTTATCTCCCGCTATTAACTAAGGTTTATGAAAAATCGCCGAGACTTAGAACCGAATCGAAGGGCAAAAGTAACGAGGAGTTTAAATCATTTATTAAATAAATGTACACACTTCAAAAAAGTTTGAGATCACTTGCAAAAGCTGATATATTTTCAAAACTTAACTTCATCAAGAGAAAATGTTTACGTTATATCTTTTTTTATTTAAAAATACAGTTTCTGAAATAAAAAAAATCAACTAATTTTATTTTATAGTATAAAAAAATTAATAATTCAATCCTAAGGCGATTGTAATAGAACTTTGATAGAAATAAAAAGGTAGTTTAACCAAATTGTTGTTTATCTAATACAAAATAACTCCTCCTCTGGCTCGAACACATGCGGAGATCTTCCTGGGCATGCTGAGGATCAAGATAACCAACATTTCTTGTGGTAACCTGTCCCATTTTTAAACAACAGCTGCGGCACTGTCTGGGGTGTTGTCTGCCGGTTCCAACAAGCTCGCATAAGAGCATCCCACGCGTGCTCTATTGGGTTTAAGTCAGGAGAGCCGGCAGGCCAGTCTAACCTTGTGATTTCGTATTCAAAAACATTCGATAATCCTCGTGGCATTTTTTAAATCACAACTTTCCGTGAAAAAGTACTTTAAATTCTATAATATTGACTAGAGTCAGATTTCTGAATGAGTGTCAGCTTGGATTGCATGTCAATTTATATGGAAAAACTATTGAATTATTTTATTTTTGTACGTTCTAATTCTAATTTTAAAATTTAGAATCTTATCAGAAAAAGAAATTACAAAAAAGTCTTCTGTAACACAAAAAAACAATCTATTTTTCAAAGTGATCGCAAACATTTTTTGATGTGTGTATGATAAGTCCTACGTACAATGAGTTCACGAGAAAGTACCCAGTAGGTTTGATTCCCTTGCGAGTTTCGAAAATTTGCGGAATAAACAGCTGTATCTTTTGATAGCGTTGACTTAAAAGTTTGATTTTTTCACAGCTCCAACAGACAGTAGACCTGAGTATTTGATATAAATCATCAGCTTCATACCTCCACGCGTTCCTGAGAAAAGGGTCGTGACAGACGGATGGACGAACAACAAAGTGATCCTATAAGGGTTCCGTTTTTTCCTTTCGAGGTACGGAACCCTAAAAATCGGACTATAACTGAGCATTGAGCATGACTTGCATTAATGGTAAATCCTCTGTAAATCATGCTATTCTCAATAGTATGGAATCTACCATCAAAGTATTATTGAGATACGTTTTTTTGTTTCTTTTTGATACGTCTATATTAAATACAAATTGTGTTTATAATGCGATTCAACTAAGAATAGGACCGACTGGGCGCCATATTTTGACGTCATATCTGTGTGTGTGCTGTCAATTCAAACCGAATAGGTAGAGTGAGCAAAAAAAAATTCTTAATATAACTTAATTACTTAGATTAAGTGAGAAAAAACATCAGATTTTTTAATAAAACTAATTTACTAAGATTACAAGATATTAAGATTTAATAATATTTCTTTATTAAGACTGTGTGAGAAAAAACATTAATCAGAATCTAGCTCTTCAATTCCGCTCATCTCTGCATTACCGCCGGAGTAGTTATGTATAATTATGCAGGTCACATACGAACATGCATCCTATATGTTAACGAAAGTTTAAAATCGAGTTTCTGAACGCAACATAAAGTGCCATATGGTTGACGATTTAAGTTATCAATCATTCATAGCCAAAGTTCAATAAATGAAAAAAAATATCAACCAATATTAATTATCAATATTTGTTATTGTTTGTTTAAAAATGTTTGATTTTTATTCTAGAATTAGCCGAGTGCTAAAAAAGTGTTCCGAGATTTTTTTGCAAACTGTACTTTACAAGCGACGTTTGACAGATGGAGGTCATTGGCTTTCCTATTCTTATTTGAATCGCATTATACATTGACGCTATTTCTCTTTTTCACTCAAGAGAAATGAAATTATTTCAGTAAACTCTGTAGACTTTTATAATATACACGCGCAGTAGCCGCGTATGGAGACCTCGAACCGGGTGATGGCATCTTTACATTCATGACACCACCTCATGCGGACGTTGGACAGTCGCGACTCTTAACTGTCCATAAGTGGTCAATACCCGGTTAAAACTCACCATACACGCGCTGTAGCCGGGCACCATGGCGGTGATGCCGGGCATGGAGTCCTCGAGCCGGGTGATGGCACGTTTACACTCGCGACACCACCCCATGCGGACGTTGGATAGTCGCGACTCTTTATCCTCCATGGAACTGTCCCTAAAATATAATTATTGAACATTGTTGATAAATGTATGAAACTTGACTATAATAGCTTATAGACATGTCAAATACATAAATATAAATCTTAAATAATCAAAAATAATTTATTATTATTATACATCGTATGAGGAGCTCGATGGCGCAAGTGGTTAGCGCGTTCCGCTGTGATCGTTCAATTTAAGCAACTTTCGCAGTTGTCGGTCATTGGATGGGTGACTGAAAATTTACTATATCGAGATCCTCCGTGCTTCGGAAGGCACGTTAAGCCGTTGGTCCCGGCTGCATATGCAGTCGTTAGCACCCACCAACCCGCACTGGGCCCGCGTGGTGGGTCATGGCCCAATCTCCCTATTACATCCATAGGGAAGGCCTGTGCCCTAGCAGTGGCGACATTAATCGGCAGATGATGAATGAATATACATCGTAAATTTGTCAATTTTTAACTTATGGTTAGTTTTTCTATAGTATTTAACTTCAGTTGAAAACAACGCGGCTTTAGTGTTAATAGTATTGTCTACAATCCAGCTCGAAGGACCAATGTTCGAGATGTTCGGAATATAACAAAATGATAGAATTAATAATAAAGTCTATTTATATTTTGGTACGCAGCTTGCTCATCAGCTTTCAACCAGTCAACATTTGGGAGACAATGATAAAAATTTAAATCGGTTCAGATAGCAGCTGGAATCGAACCAAGATCCTACCTGGAAGAATGCTCTGATTGTTACGCTACCGAAACTTTAACAGACTTCAAGAAGTAAACTAGAAGAAATTCGTCACAACAGTTCACATTCTAATCAAGAAACTTTGACCGATTTAAATTCTTTCCATTAAAAATGTTTCGACCCTAAACCTTTGACAATTTTTTACAGGTCTATTATTATCTATGTTTATGATGTCAACTTACCCAGCTATTGAGGAGTTGGATTCCATCAAAAGACTGATGCTGTTTTTCAAAGTATCCCGGAGTGGACGTAGCGGGTTCGAGCCCTGGAAGTTTAACTCCTCGCTCGTACTCAAGTGCACATTGGATCCGAGGCACGAACGCAATACGTCGTCGTTTAGAAGCGAAGGCTCAGCTAAGTTCGTGTTGGATGCTTTAGATGACGTGTCGGATGTCTGCGACGGCATCTCTTGGAGTTTCATGTCGCAAACCTAAATAAATAAAGCATTTTACTTATATTTCATAGTCATTTCAATGTAATTAGCAGGACTGCTACTATCAGTGCATGACACTTGCAACAGAGCTGAAATGCATGGGTAGCAAACCCGTCAATTACATAAATTACTATAATTTTAGTGATCATGAAAGTTTAAATCAATATATGTAAAAGTATTGTGTGTATACTGCAGAAGAAGTAAGCAGTTTAACAGTTCAGGAGCTCTACTCTCTTTCTCCGAAACGAAATTTCGAAATGAAATAGAAACAGAGTGAGGAACGTGCGAAATTTCGTTTTTCGTTGAAATAGAGTAGGCCTCCAGGTGATCATGATTAGCTTTTTCACGTCCCTAACTTCTGTAACAAAGGTCTGTCCTATGAATAGAATAAAGGTCATGCGCACCTGTACCACCCGGCACCTGACCAGCGCCGCCCTGTCAACCAGTTACGTCGGGTGGGCCGCGGGTGAACGCCAACCAGTGTTGCCATGTGCACCGTAATTACGGTAAATGCTCAGCGCGCATAAATTTATAGTAATGCGCAATAATTTATAGTAAAAATGAATTTCTTGGCGTTCGCAAATGAAACATCACATTTTAGTTTGGCTGATAAAGGAGATTGCTCAAGTTCCACACATGTTTGGCCTAAACACCAATAATCATGAAAAATTGTTTCCTAGATTCGAAATTATGTATAAATTACTGTAGAAACGAATATTATTGACAGACACCCCTGAGAACTTCTAAAAACCATATACACTGAATGATTTTAAGGTTATGTTTGCAAATAGGTACACAGGTATTAAAATAATAAAAAACAAATAAGTTATATAGCAAACTAGGGAAATCAAACCAAGTACCGAAATTATGTATTATATTCAGGTATATAAAACATGTAGATTAATAGATAGTTTTAAGTTACTAGAGTAACTTTTAAAATCAGGTATCATCTTTGCATTTCCGGTTATAATAAGGTACCTACTCTGTGACAGAAACTGTGTGTGAGTGTGCCACAGATTAGAGAGAATTTTTAAACTCTCGTTAACTAAAGAAAGCTTATTATTTTTGTTATGTTTATATTATAACCATATTTTAGATTTTTAGTGTATCACACCTTATAATATAGTTGTAAGGTGCATGTAGTAAAAATTATAATATAGTTGTGGGTATTAATACCACAGTGTAATAAAAAAAAAATCGATCTTTACAAAATAGATTTGTTTTGATGTTATTTAAACAACTTCGATCAGTCTTTGGCTGAATCTTACTATACCCATAGCCATTAAAAATGATTCGTATGTTTTCCAAACAGGTAAAATTAAAAGTCCTTTTTAAAATGAATATGTTATACAAAGGTGTCCGTTAAAATCTAATTACTATAAAATAAAGTATAAATTACGCCAAGAATTACCGTATATGTCAATATTTTTTGTGCATTTGGGCCAATTTGAGCAATCTCCTTTGTGTGGAGTGGTCGAGCTTTCAACGTTTTTAATTTACTTATTTCAACCGGGATCTTCAAAAATGAGTGAAAATGATTCCTGACTCACAATCTGAAGTGCCAAAAAAAAAAACGAGGAGCCTTACAGTAGTCGCGTATGATGTTTAATTTTAACTGTAATGTATTTGTTTTATTTATTTTATTGCACCATAATCAACACTTTTTTCCCTGCAGCTATTTATAGAATCTACCGTATTTTGTGAGGGGCGTCACTGTCGACTAGTATTTGGACATGGCAACACTGACACCAACCATACGAGCGTGCGAGATAGAGCGCGCAGATACGACACGTTTATCGCGTGCGAGTGAGGCGAGGCGTTGACGGAGTCGGTGTAGTAAGCGCATCCCCATAGAAATCCATACAAAGAATATCAACAGCGCGCGTACTGGTCAAGTGCCGGATGATTCAGGTGCGCTATGACCTTAAGGAGAATGGGCCATAACCCACCACTCTGGCCTAGTGCAGATGCGTGGGTGCTAACGACAGCAAATGTCAGGACCATAGCTGAACGTGCCTTCCGAAGCCAACATTTCTTCTTGCTAACTTCTTAGACGGCAGATCAAACGCGCTAATGTACAAACTTTTTGATTTTTTTGCATGCAAATTTATCAACATGGAAAACCGATTGTTCATATAACACCTACCTACACCAAATTCAATCAATTAAATATTGTCGGTTTAACCTAAGCTTTAGATAAAGCTTAATTTCGTGTTGGATTCAGTAATAATCTGATAAGCTTCCAGGGATTATGGTATGCATTTGGTTCATTGTTAATTAAATGATAACAGAAACCTGAAAATAGGATAGATGTTCTCCTATTTTTATACGAATTTTGCACAATGAAATATAATGATATTCTTGAAAAAATCTAATACTTCAAGTAAATAGGTGCGATTCAGATCCAAGCCTCCAGTAACACTGTTAAATTGGTCAGGTAGCTAATTGTATTTAATTGCTATTTAGGACCCCAAGACCGAAACTAACTAAACAAAACCAAAGACCGAGGGGCTGATGTGTAACTCTGCTCTTTTTGCCCTTTTATTTCATACTTGGGAAAGAGATTACCTTATATTATATTGACATTCGCTGTAGCTTAGATGAAGATTGCGAACAGAGTTACAGTTAGAAAATCAGCCCCAATTTTTCTTTTTATAAATAGGTACCACAGTTGAGTTCACCTCACTTGTTAAGTAACGGCGGAGTCCGATAGCTGGTACAGCAGTTCTACCTACCACACCAGCCATCCTCACCTTGCCGGCCTGCATATTGCTTCTGAACGCCTCTTCTAAAGGACCCCGGGTTACAGGAAGAAGGGAATACGTGAGCTGGCAAAATATTCCATTTGCGGATAGTGCGACAAATAAATGAGTCATAAAACATATTTTTTCGCGTGGGAACAGTGGCCACAGTAAGTCGGTGAAAACGTAGGCCAGAGCGCCTGGTCCTCTGAAGAAAAGAGGAATAGGGAGAATAACTCCTCAGTAAACTCGCCGTGGTATAATTTTGACCATTGGAGGCGTTCGTATCTGGGGAAGAAACAACATAGTCCGTGACTTACTTGTTCAGCCAAATTGGATGCATCCCCGCCAAGACTGGTAGTTTCTTTCTTGTTTTCGCTAGATGGCTGCTTGATCGTGTTTGAAGACTTATTAATATTGCCAGGCATCGACTTGGCAGACTTCTCGCGCTTACTTTCGCTCTTGACAGCGTTGGCGCTGGACGGCTTCTTCTTTTTGACATCTAGTAACTGTGTGGAACAAAGGAGGTTGAAAATACTTACATTTTTGATTTCGTCACCAGTTTATTAATGTCTTCACTGCACACGCACAGGTAGGCCATTAACAGTTTTGGAATAGTAATCTCTGTCCTAAGACATAGAGCCTTTTATTACATGCATCCAACTAATTAAAAACATGGTTCCAAAGTACAAACTCATACAACTAAACTTCAAAACAAACGCGACACGCATTCAGACATAACAAAATAATTTTCAAATCTATTCAGCTATCCATTTATTGGATAAGATAATGTTAAACGAAAATCCAACCAATCCCATGATCGGCGTGTTGATCGGACTTTTCTCGCCCCACCGACTTAATCGCAGTTTACGTGGAACAACTTTTTAGCTCAGTTCTTTTCTATATTATTTCTAATTCGTTGCATGCATCTCTATCAAAGTTTAGTATCTTTAAAAACTGCAAATCACCTCCTTAGTCTTGTTTATGAATGGAATAGTGAGAACAGAGAGAAATGAGACCACACAGACCCGCATGGTCAATATTCCAAACTAAATAAGAATAAGATGTTACTGATAGTATGCTATTTAATAATTGAGAAATATTGGCAGAATTCAGAAAACTTTACATTATAGATTTCACAGTTGATTTGTAAGGAATCAAAGGTGCAGGTAAAAATATACCTTATGCGTTGGGCATATAAGGACTATTTTTTTGTGTGGGTAGTTCACTTACCTCTGCACTTTCACTGATGTTCTGTATACTTCGCGAAGTAATGCTTTTGCTGTCATCAAAATTGTCTTCCTTTTCGCAACCGAAATGGTAATACCTGAATGCAAGTTTATATTAGGTATCACTTATAATATTGCCTTTGCTTTCAAAAAATCAAATCTTTGTTAACACTAATCAATTTTGTTTTATTTTGCTTTTAATTTTAAATGCAAATAATATTAGCCTAACAGGGCTGGTATAGAAGCAGCAAAAGTTAACTCTTAAGCTATTTTTGGCATAACTTTAACTTGAAACCGAATTTGACATATTTTCTCCCCTTTTACTCTGTATAGGGTACGAAAAGAATATCTGTATATTCTAAACCTTAAATTCAATTTAACACAGCAGTCTGCGTTAAATTGAATTTCAGGTTCAGAGAATCGTGCCAGAATAGGACCCAATATATAATTTGGCGTCTTTCTCACCAACCAGCCTATTTACTTACTTTTTTGATATTTACAGTGTATAACTAAAGAGAAAATTGCATATCCATTGATGCTTTTGAAAACGAGTATCTTGCGTTATAATAAATACTGTGATAATCACATCCATCTGTGAAAAGCACTAAGCGAATAGGCCTACAGATCGTTTCGTTTTCATTTCTGAACCGAATCTTTACTGAGAACCACTTTTGTGGGCCTCGGTTTTGGTGCTGTATCGTTTCGTTTTGTTTAATACGGTGTTTTGTCATTTGTCATAATGCCGTCATGTCGGGCGGGCGAATGGAATGGTTCGGTAGGATGATCAGGAGAGAGATGTATGCCCTCGGTAAACAATCTGTACAGAAACGATACGGAACCGATCCGGTGCGAAAGTCGCATTATTTAACTATTTACGAGTTTGCGCTAACGAGCAATAAAGTGAACTATTTATTTCACATAACACAGAGAATGTTGCTAATGTCATAAAGATCACAATTTAAATGTCGTGTCTTCTTTGTTCACTAAGCGAGCACGCAATACCTATATATTAGCTTAGCGATTCTGTTGGTGTTTCTTCGTACTTTGTTGCTAAAGTTGTTGTTAAATTTATTGCCACTTGAAATTAGATTTACTTCGTTTCCATAATAGCGGTTTCTAACTTGGCAACTTTGTATTAAATAAATCTTTACAAATTACAAGTAACAACCAATATTCTCATAAATATGTATCTAGATACTTTCATATCACTTAAGTCTAGTTGATGTTTTCTGGATTCATAATTTTAAGAGTTATCTACCATCAGCATTTTAAAACAGTGGTGCCAAATCTGGCATGATTCTCTACACTTAAAACTAAATTTAACATCAGTCTCCTTTTCATTCTATGTAGAGAATAACAAAGATACACTGTTGTCAAATTTAAGTTTAGGTTTAGAGAATCATGCCAGAATCGACACCAGTAACTACTTTATTTAGTTTCTTTATCTTAATTTCTAAGTTCCAATTTTTCCCTGATTTTATAGAATCTTTATTCTTTACTAGGCATTTTGTTTTATATCTATGCGACTGCAAAGCCTCATTTGAATTTGATCGAAAGACACATTTCTGTGTATCTCTATTAAAGTCTATTTTACGATGCTACGTCTTGATAAGAGAGTTTTTTTAATCATAGGCTATTCTTTAAACATTTACATTAAATACTGTATATTTAGTAGTGAAGGAAAATGACCTTTATTTCTTATTATTTAACCATTTCAACCTTTTTAGCGTAGGCACTTACCAAATTACATTTGCTACAGCTTTATTTATCAAATTCAAGTACGCCGGCTTGCAAATATTCTAGAAAGATGACGTGAACAAGGTTGTTCATGCCTTCTCTCCAGACTATTTGTGATCTTCCTTGAGAACGTTTTTACTCTCTTTCATACGAGAAGACGTGTGCACAACGATTTCCCGTTTGTGGCTATATGTCCAGCCTGCGTCCATTGGAGATGAGCTACTAGTTTAGTATCTATACCTCAGTAATATCTGCGACTTCCTTTGTTCTAAAAGCCATTTCTTTATTTTGCGGGTCTTCAATCACTTATACCAGCTGGTTTTCCCACTTACAGTCTATTAGACTGTGGTAAAGCCTACAAGATCTAGGTTTCGGCACTGTTGCCACGAGTTTCCATGCGCTTTAAGGGTGCAATAATTAAATGTCTTGATTTTCGTAAAGTTAATTCTTATAAGAGTCTAATACTTTTTAACCGGGTCATTAAATAGCGTACTCTACCTTTTCCAATAAGTATTACCGTTTTATTAATAGAGACTCACGGGCGATGGAATCACAGTGGATAACACACGCACGAGTCATACTCTCTGTTATCATAAGTGTGTATAGGCTATGCTGGCCAATTACGATCGCTTGCAAAGTTTTCAACTGAATAAAATTACTTAGTAGATCAATCCAACGAATAAGAAATGATATGGAAAATGAATTGCGCTAGAAAGTTGTTCCACGCAAACTGCGATCAAGTGGGCGGGGCGAAAAACCTGCGATCAACACGCAGATCATGGGATTGTTTGGGATTTCCGTTTCATATTACGCAATGCATTGGTAGCCGAATTCATTTGCAGATATTTGATTTGTCAAAGTATTTTGCTTTGTCTGTGTGGGTGTCGCGATAGTATTGAAGTTTAGTTGTATTTGTTTGGATCCATGTTTTAGCGGCCTCTTTGTTGGAGAGTAAGGCTTCCACATCATTTCTAATTCGTTGGTTCAATCTATTAAATACGACACATACCTGATTAATGCTCTGGACGCGTACACAGTGGGGTGGTACACCAGCGAGGGATTTAAATAAACCCGGTTTAAATTGACCCCTCTCGTATCTGTCCGGTAATGCCCTCTGGCGACCCCGTCAGGGTTCAAGAATGGTATCATTTTGAACACGTAGAGCTTTCTCAACTGCACCGCTATAGGGTCATTCCTATTTAACAGCAGATTCAGGAAACCGTTGAATACAAAACTCGAAGGCGTTTCACCGGGATGCACCCGCGCTGATACGAAGATAACCTGTATGATTTGTGACTTTTAGGGTAAAGAGTATTGAGCGAAGAATCCCAAGATAATTTAAAAAATATATATGTGTGTTAAACCGTATTCTTATTGCTTAAATGATGTATTTACCCACCTTTTTGTTTAGAAATTTGAAAGGCCTCTCATTGTTTTCGGGAAACAAATTCTTTAACCCTTCCTCTCTTTCGTGTGTTATTCCATGGTGTGATGTTATAGTTAGTAGATCCACTCTTCGTCCTGTCATAAACCAAGTTGAATAGTTTAGTTGTCTATAAATTTGTTGCATAATAGAAGTGTAGTTATGGAAGAAAAAATATCATACCCTCTAGAGAATATATGAGACATTCTCTATAGTAGTAAATGTCATCAGGCGATTGCGGGGGTGGTAACGGAAGCATTTTCATGTCAATAGAGTTTAGCGCGATTTGAAGTTCCGCAAATGAGAAGGGATACGTGAAGGCAAAGAATGTTGTCGCCTTCAGATTCTCCGATGTGCGGTACTTGAAACTCAATGTGAATGTGTTGTCGTCCGTCTGGAATTATGATTATAATATTGCTTTGTGATACTCTTATTAAAAAAATCTGACTTATGTTATTTACTAGTTAAATTATGTTTATGTTGAATTTATACAACTTGTGACTTAGGGCGGGTGGGTACACATAGCGATCCGTTTAACAGGTCCGTTATTTGATGGCGTATGTAGTTGTATGGGCTTGACCACACATGACAGAATTTCGGATCCAGTAAAAAATCCCACAGACAATGGACATACTGATCCGTTTTATCAGATTAAAACCGTGTGAAGCTTTGCGCGGCCAGGCAGTTATCCTGTTTAATAAATAAACTTTCCAATTTATGAAATATCACTTAATAATTTGTATTAAATATAGCTTACTATAAACCATGTAGAATATTATTTTGTTAGTTAATATAAAAGACATTTTACCGAATGTACAGGACGGTCTCTTATCCTTTCCCATTGAGGCTTCCCTGGCAGGGTCCTAGTAACCGGTGCCATGCCCTGGTTATACATTTTGCCCTGTTTGTTCAGGTTTATTAAATTCAGCCGTACCTGTTGATTTCCATAAAAATTGATTATTTTGATTATTATATCAAATACATAATGTTGCATTGAGGCATCCCAAAGCAGATCTGATGATTGTAATAATGTTGTTAGATTAAGCTTTGCCTCTGTGTGTCTCAGAGTGAAAATACAATCATAAAACCTTAGCATTTACAATTTTGACAATCAGAATACATGCACTATGTGAAAAGCAAACTTATTACTTTGCAATAAAGATATTTAACATTATTCTATTCACTGCCATACTCTCAATTGGTCTATCTTCTTAAATATGAATTTCAGTAAAACTCTTATAAAATACTTATCCTGATATACTATTACAAAACTGTCTTTTTACAGTTTGTAGCTATCAAGATAATATCATATTTTTAATACATTATGTTTAAGAAATTCCTAAAAAAGTATTCTTTTGTAAAACAAGATCAACAAAATACTGCAGTTGGGGACCCCTCTTGTTGAAGTTTTCTCTTAAATGGTCTCCTAAAGTAAAGTCCCTGGACTGTCATAATTTTGTGGAACCTTAGCTACTGTATGATTTTTTTGGCCAGGCATTTGAGTTCTTTGTAATTTTATATTGTGAGTTAAATGGTTTAATATTATAACACATTTACCAATGCATTAGGCTCACTGGCCTGCACTCCGAAGTAGAACCAGGTCCGATTTCCATTTTCAAATTCTGTACCTGCACAGTCGGGTCGTGTCCACAAGTTGAATTCATAGTCAGGTGTTTCAGTTGCATTTGTTTTAGGGTTCAAACTTGGAGCTGCAATAAATATTATAAATTTATTTTAGAAAAAAAAATATTAAGTAACCATTATAAATAGATTGTAATTTAAATTATTTTCTTAAAAGATTAATGGATTCTTCAGTTAAACTGTACTTTCAGGGCCCAAGTGGTGATACTTCACACTAGGTTAGAGTTGTGACCATACAAATTTTTTTAGAGGAAACCTTTTCTACAAAAAAGTTCAAGTATCACTTCTTGGGCCCTGGAAGTACTGTTTTACCGATTCTTCTTGGATTTTATTTAATCTTAATGGCAAATAAAAATATGTGAATAAGTTCTTGTTATTGTGTGTTATTCTTTAAACATTATTCAAATACAATCAATAACAGTAAAGGTAGAAAGGGAATGAACTAAAAATATGTATTATTACAATGTTTTTTTATTAATTTGAGCCTTGCTAATATAGAATGTTATGTTGTAAGCAAGTCATAGTTTTTATTAGATAAAATCTCATTGTTTACTGTTATTGTTGTAGTAAAAAAACTCTCCTTAGCAAATACATTGTTGCAAGACCATGAAAAGGGCTATTATAATTGGCAGCTGATGAAATAACATTGGACTTTGTATTTAAAGAAAATGATATAATAGACTTACCTATAAGCTCTGTAGGGACCCTTTCTACATGACCGAGATTTCCCGAGTCAAAATTATGTATGAAATAAAATCCACCGCACTCTATTAAATTGTTATGATCCATAACTAAAACTTATTATTGGTCTACATCATACAAAGAAAAACACAAAGTCACTTGGGTTTGTGGGCTGTTTTGGAGATTTTCTACTGTATCAATTTGTATATTCCTAATTAGGATTGATCTGCATCTTTTTTAATTTCAAAATGACACTCAAAACGGAGACTACACTGTTTTTCTAAACAAAATTATGTAATTTTGTTGACATCGATTGACGGATAACAGCTGATTTGTTTTATTGGTGTTCTTTTAATTTTTTTAGATTTGAAACACAACTAAAATATACATAATTAAGAATAAAAAATTGGGAGGAAAATTTTGGTTATTTTATTTTCAGATGGAAATGATATTTCTGACATTCATTTTTTATTTAGAAATTGTAAAGATACTAGCCATCATGAAATTATATTCAAGATGGCGACCACACTGCATTGATGTCAAGTGTGTCAAATGGTCAAATGTCAATCACCCGCGTTCATAGACAAAGCCTGCCACAGAAAACCTGCCAGTATTAAAAATGGGCGCGATTCTGAATATGATTCTCTAAACTTACAGTCTGTCATTGCATTGGTGTCAATTCTTGCAAGATTCTTCTTAACTTAAAACTTACTTGCGAGTGAATGAATGATGAAAATCATGCCAGAATCGACACAAGAGCTTAGCAATGATAACTGCAGTGCAACCATGATTTTGCTGCGCGTGGCTGACAATTGTCTGTAGAGCTTAGCAAGGATAATTGCAGTCCAACCATGACTTTATTGTGCGTGGCTGTAATCCGTACATATTTATTTTAGGTAACAAATAATGTAACACCTATTGTACCACTTTTCTTGCAAATAAATAAATTATTATTATTATAGGAAGACAGTAGTATCGATTCTGGAATGATTCGTTAACCTTAAACCTAAATTTAAAATCAGTTTCTCCTTTTTATTCTGCATAGAGAATGACAACGATACACTGTTGTCAAATTAAAGTTAAGGTTTAGAGAATCGTGCCAGAATCATACCACTAATAAGTTTTATTTTCCTATTCCTCTTACCGAGTTATAACAAAAGTATATTGTAGGGAACACGGAGGAAAAACGGAAAAACTTTTCCTCCGTGGTGGGGAACTAACTATTTATTATTATTTCGATATAACTGCGAAGAGATTTTACGCATAAAATTCATATCATTTCACCAGCAGCGTCCTCCTGTTAATGTCATCTAAGTGCAAAAGTATCTTAGAGCATTTAAGTATATGCTCTAAGATTAGCATAGACAGAGTATCATCGGAGCACCTTGCACTTTCAGATTTCCACATGTTTCAAGAGGACTGCCAAAACCACTTGTCGCGGTTTTTTGATCGGATCCCCAAAATTTCCATAGTAATGGGATGATGTCCCTAAGCTACCTACAAGATGGCATAAAGTTATCTAACAAAAATGGCACCTATTTAAAGTAAATAAACCTTAATAAAAATATTTTGAATATTCATATATAAAATGCGAAGAAACTTTTTCCCCAACTTAATATAAATGTGACTTATGTGCGTGCAATTAACGTTCCACATATTTGCGCTACATAAATTATATCAATCAACACGAATTTTGAGTATAAGTTGTTTGTACTAGATTTTTATTTAAAAAAGTTTGTTTTATAATTTATCAGAATGAATTTTTAAACTTCTTGTATATAACAAGAAAAAAAACATTTTTTTATTTAAATCGCTTTACGTAAGACAGTAAAACCAAGTCTATGAATACAAAAAAGATATTGGTGTAGATTCTGGAATGATTCTCTAAACTTAAAATTAAATTTTACATCAGTCTCATAAAAAGGAGGTTTCGTTTCGATGTAAATAATCAGACAATACTACAGCGGCCAGCAAAAGTGGCATTGACGAACGAACATATAAGTTAATCAATGCCTAGTTGATACCAAGGCTTGTATATTTTTATTTTATTTATTCGGTATACATAACATATTACAATAAACAAAGTACTGACTTATTAATAATGGACGAATCGATCAAGATTTCAATACTCAACATGCGTACACATACACATAATACGTACATTATGATATAAGTGCGGTTAGTTTAGAATTACAGCCGAGGCGATATTGTTAGCCCGAGCCGTAGGTGAGGGCTATAAGAAGGCAGAGGCTGTAATTCTCAAGCCTCACGTATGTCATGCGACGTTTTATAACACATTTGGGAGGAAATAATACTTCTTAAGTACGTACTTTCTGAAAATGAATTTGCACCCATAAATGAATGATGAATTCATTTATATTTGCACATTTCTTGGTTTTCTATAAGATGAAATTTTGATACGTTTGACTGTAAGTATCTATCCGTGGATTTTTCGGGCAAGAGGTTTAGCGTAGCCTATTATACTAAGTATTATACCAAGCTTGTTATATAGTAAAGCATACTTGCTTGCAATATATCGCGTAATGTGAACGCAAAGTTATTTAATACATCTTCACGAAAGTTCACAATAAGTATTTTCGTGAAGGTTTCACTAAGAACCATTCTACATGGTGAAGCTGGTTCCACTTTACTAAAATCCATATTTAATGCTTGGGAAAAGCCGCAGAATATTTTTGGGATATTCTGTGAAAATTATCTAAAGCTTTTGATTGCGTATACATAATTAAGCTATGTTACGGATATTAAATATTTTTTCATGAGGCATAAAATATACTGCACAAAGGTCCAAATCTATTTAACCACAAGAAGACAAAGAGTTAAAATTAACCTTACAAAATGAGCCGGATCTCATGTGAAAATTGGGTTCCAATCTGAGTCCAAATATTTTTTTTTATAAATTATCACTGGTCGGCGAAACAAAAACGGAGTCGATAATTTCAGGTATCTGCCTTTTCAATTCAAGAGATAGAGACCTGTGACGGACATACATACATGCAGTGGAGGCAATTTAATCGGGTATGAGTAAAAAACCCTAACTATGAATTAACGTCTTTGTATTTGGCCGTTTCTCGGAAATAGGGTTTTACACTGGGTTATGTAGTTTCAAATAAAATATATGTAATAGATAATATTATTGTAATAATTCTCTTTATTGTCCATCAACAATATTAATCTTAGACTAAGCTTTATACATACCTATTGAGTTATAATTATGAAGGATCTGGCGCCTGAAATAAAACAGGTTTCTAATAAAACAGCAAGCATTATCTCAAATTTGTATTTTTCATCACCTTACAACTATTACAGTATTAAATAAGCTTAAAATTATGTATATAATAATTTTATTATAATAGATGTAATTTTAGGCGTGGCACTTAACTACAGATTATAATAAATTACATTCCTTACAATTTCAAATACTTAACTTGGCCAATAAATGCCTTCATCACAAAACTTATAAATTGATAATGTAATTCTTACACTTAAAATACCTTATGTATTCTAAAATATTCATGAACTACAAACTTTATCTAATCTTTGCTTACTAGATTGTCTTTTCTGAGCACAAAAATTTAAAGTATTACGCAAATAAAAAATTAAAATCATGGACGTGATCGATACAATATTTTGGCAACTTCTTTTGGCTCGTCTACCAAAATTATATATAAATATTTAAGAAACAAATTCATTATAGTGCGCTATTAGTAGCAGGATGGGCGTAGTAGGTTTAGTCACGACACGTTGGGTCCCCGTTAAGGTGTATTAATGTACCTTTTTCTTAGAAAAAATATGATACGATAAATCCTAAAGAGTTATTAAACATGGAAATAGAACATTTGTAATACAAAAAAAGATTGTGTTTTAATTGATTAAATTAAACTATCTTCAGTAGCAGTACCTACAAAACTTTGGCTGTTATGTTCCTAACAATGAGATTTATTTTCAAGAAAATTTATTCATGGGCCACTGTGATCATTAGGGCCAACGATATCGTTGATTGAGTAAATGAGTTCTTAAACGTTATGCAAGCTGCTGATTTTCTAAACTTAGAGCTAAATTTTAATCAGGTTTTTTACGAACGTAGCAATTCGCTATTGAACCTTTTTTCTTTATTTTCCATATATCATGATAAAGTTTCACTAGGTACTGGTGTCGATTCTGGTATGATTCACTAAAAAATAACATCAATTTCTCTATTTCATTCTGTATACAGAATAACAAGGATACACTGTTGTCAAAGTTAAGTTTAGATTAAGAGAACCCTGCTGGTATCGACACAACTATCAAATTAAGTTTGGGTTCAGAGAATCATAAATTAAGCTCAATATTTTGAAAGAAGTGGTGTGGAGTTTTCACCTTGATGCTGACTATGGTCACGGTAATATTATCTATTATTACCGTGCTATGGTACTGCCACCTAGCATCCGACATTTTAGAAAATCCTCATTATTTTCAAGTGGAATGTTAATTTTGCTTTTTGGAAGATGATAGGTAAGCACGTTCTATTTCCGGGTTAGTTATTAGTTAACTAAAATTTGTATGTTATCCTGAAAATATACCTACATACGATTATTTTTATTATTAATGATTATGGTCATAATTTCAAATAGGTACCCATTCCAATAGTGATGAATATTGTACTGTTAAAAGTCAACAATGTTAAATTAAACAAAAAATATCACATTTCGGAACTATATCTAGGGTACTCTTAATGTATATAACTAAGACACTTAATAAAAAATGATTTTATTGGACAAATCCTTAAATAGGTATAGTACATTAACATAATGAGGAACGATTTTATCCTACTGAGCCAATATTAGAAACTCTTTCCTACGATGATTAGATTAGGTCGACACAGACAGCTTATATATCAGCAGTGAATATATCTCTTAAAGTTAGCATCTTGGCCATTAGGCCCATTATAGAGATCTCGTGTTGTCCCATAAAACAAGTAAATGATGGTCCCATGGCCCCAGATAGCTGTCTGCGAGTTACGATGATAGTAATAGATAAAAGATCAATTTTCTATATACCAAAACGACTAGAATGTGTATGTAATGCGCGTTACATTAGCAAAATGAAAGTTCACAAAACAAAATGCTTTCCAGTAAAAATCAGAATACGTAATACATTATTCTAAAATATAATTTACATACCAACGAACGTTGTTTCAACGATCTCTCTCACATATTTCATATTATATGTTTTTTTTATAAAATTTGGTGCAATTTATTGCCAAGAATAAGGACTGCAGTGTTCCAATTAACTATATTATTGCACCCTAGCTGAAGTCATGTAAGGCTTCACAAAAAAATAAAAATAATTTGTTAACTAAAACATAATAACTAATTTAAAATTTTGTCGGGTGTTCGATAAAAGTGAGCGCCAGCGGAAGACGAATGTGATTGTTTGAGCAGATATTTCAAATGTTTTCGAAGCGCCTTTACTGTATAATAATGAATTTTATGTTCGTATTATCAATTTATGTACAGTGTTAATTAGAAAGACGGGGTATTCGATTACAATAATCCGACGTTAACCGATCACATTCTCCGATTTATAAACAACAAACAGCGCATCAATCACTTCCTTTGAACGTCATATATTTTTCTAATACGAAGTCTAGTTCACTTTTCGGTTAGTGGTTAACCTTTGCCTTCATCTGGAATAGTGATGGAAACTGTATTGGGTCTTGTCTGTGTATTATTTAGTGTTTTTTCCTGGATTGTGTGTACTTGTGGTTCGGGAACACTGGGTGGATTACGTGATATTTCGTCCGTGGTTGTAATTTTACATTCGACCACTCTGTAGTTGCAGGAGGGGGTCCCGCAATCGAAGTCTGGACGCGTCACAGTGTTCGGAATGCTGTTTTCGACGCATTTCGAGTCGTCTTTGAATGGAGGGCAGCTGAAAAGAAAACAAATTACTTAGCTACTGCTGATGAAGACAGAGTAGGACGGACAACTTTTCGTTAAAACAGTAAATTCGATTAGAAGCAAAAGTGGGGGACGTTGATTTATTTCCAATGTACATACACCTACTTATGTTTATCTATTTACTATATATAAAGTTGCGAGTACTATTCTTGATGGAGACAGTGCAAGGGCCCACATCGTCTCAAGTCTACCTAAAAGTTGTTACACCGTCATTGCTATTAATTTCTTTAAAACAAGTGTTTTCTGTTATTCATGCATGATACATTCATACTGAATTTCGATTATTTTGACTCAAACTTCGATCTAAAATCGCTATTATTTTTAACAGATACCTAGAGCTTAATTAAAATAGTTCAGTTTTAGATACACTCATTATTGTAGTGTAGAGGATTCCACATGAACAATTAAGGACATGATTAGTTCTAAATTGTTGCCCGGAAACAATTCGACATGTTAAAAACTAATCGCTAAATTGATAGATTTAGCTTATTTGATAGACTTTTACTATTTGCACAGAAAAGTTAGCAGCGGTGAATCGGATGTTTTAATTTTATCCCAGTCTGGCAATGAAGGTCTTTATCTATGAAATCTTTAGGTAGAAAATAAGTTAATGCTTACCTCAAGGGGGGCGGGGTAGGGGAACGTGAGAGCGGGAAGCTGGCCACTTCCCTCGATATCGCTAGAGATTTGATAGAACCGAATGTTTGCTCCGGGCTGAGGGGCGCTCCTAGCACCGACGCCATTCCTCTGTAACAACAAAAATTAAATTGAATTATAAAAATTGAATTCTTTTACCGGCTATTGAATTATTATTTTGCGAATTCCCTGTTCGAATCGGAGCGGCCCGTACGATTACTCAGGCAAAATAACACTTTTTGTTTTGATGAGAGCGAAACTAGATTCGTTTTGCTCCCAGTTTGGTCAGTGTTATAGTAGGGTACACTTTTATGCTGTTAAAAATTTGGTTCAGCCTAAGCCAGTCTACATAGCCAGGTGAGGATTTTAATGCCGCACTTGGTCGCTGCAGTTTCTTAGGACGCGGGTGAGGCGAGATCGGTGGAGCGCGGGCAGCGCGGCGTCTGACGGACTGCCTGCAAGGGACACGTGCGGTTATACTCACACCACGGAGTCAGAGGGCACGAGGAAGGGTAGCGGCGGCGCCGGGCAGGGTCCGTCGGCGCGCGCGGGTGAGGCGGGCTCGGTGGAACGCGGGCAGCGTGGCGTCTGACGGACTGCCTGCAAGGGACACGTGCGGTTATACTCACACCACGGAGTCAGAGGGCACGAGGAAGGGTAGCGGCGGCGGGCAGGGTCCGTCGGCGCGCGCGGGTGAGGCGGGCTCGGTGGAACGCGGGCAGCGTGGCGTCTGACGGACTGCCTGCAAGGGACACGTGCGGTTATACTCACACCACTGAGTCAGAGGGCACGAGGAAGGGTAGCGGCGGCGGGCAGGGTCCGTCGGCGCGCGCGGGTGAGGCGGGCTCGGTGGAACGCGGGCAGCGTGGCGTCTGACGGACTGCCTGCAAGAGACACATGCGGGTATACTCACACCACGGAGTCAGAGGGCACGAGGAAGGGTAGCGGCGGCGGGCAGGGTCCGTCGGCGCGCGCGGGTGAGGCGGGCTCGGTGGAACGCGGGCAGCGTGGCGTCTGACGGACTGCCTGCAAGGGACACGTGCGGTTATACTCACACCACGGAGTCAGAGGGCACGAGGAAGGGTAGCGGCGGCGGGCAGGGTCCGTCGGCGCGCGCGGGTGAGGCGGGCTCGGTGGAACGCGGGCAGCATGGCGTCTGACGGACTGCCTGCAAGAGACACATGCGGGTATACTCACACCACGGAGTCGGAGGGCACGAGGAAGGGTAGCGGCGGCGGGCAGGGTGCGTCGGCGCGCGCGGGTGAGGCGGGCTCGGTGGAGCGCGGGCAGCGCGGGGTCTCGCCTTCCTCGCCCATGCCCAGCCAGCCTACCACCCACCGCCACACGCCTGATGGACTACCTGCAAGAGAAAATAAATAAATGACACTCACAAACTTTTTGATGTTCTCAAAAAACTCAAGAATGGACGAGAATGTTCAGTCAACCGTTTCACTAAGGTTTCCTGTACTGAAGCGTTCTCTGTCAAATTGTAAAATAAAACAGGGTAGATAACACTAAGAGAAGAGCAACGATTGTGCGTCCAAAAACTTGCGACATAATTGTGGCGGCCACATCAATATATCTTTTTTTTTGAGTTGTCAATAGTTTCAGTTGAGTTGTGCTCAGTATATTCTGTGTGTCTAATGGAGAGTTACGAATTGCTGTAAGTTTGCCAGAGTGGTATGGAACAGCGCAGAGAAATCCTCCGTCCAAATATGGAACAGTCGAATAAGTGACACGCTTATGTCGTAAGAATTTGGTGGTCGCTTACCATTAGAAATATCATCATAATATAATTATTATTTTCCACACCTTTATGTAATGAAAAAAATATCATTCAGGTACTCAGAAGCCCATTGGCAAACACTCTACCAAATTGAACACTGAAGTCAAGTAATTAAGTATTAATGAAGTTTATTTATTACTTTTTAATCGAACATGTATTTATGTAAAATCATAACATAACGTATAGGAAGGAATCGTTTTAAAATAAACGTGAAAGGCCAAAGTTGAGGTTAGTATGAACATTTTTAAATATTTAAGTGACCACGTTCGTTGTTATGTTGGGTTTACGTATCCTATATTTAACATACCTACCCAACTTTTTATCTCCATGTGATTCTTATTAGAAAGGAAGAAACCTTAAATAATTCTATGGTGCCAGTAGTTGGGGCTTAGGAAGCTAGCAATATAATGATTTTAAAAATATCTTACGTGAGTATTTCCTGCTGTTCTGCGGACTTAGTGGGTAGAAGTCTCCATGGATGGGGCAGTGGAACGCTAACCTCCGCTGCCGCCGCTGTGCAGCACGCATTAGCATACATAACACGATACCTGCAAATAAAAAAGAAAACTTGTTTAAAAAAAACCTTTAAAACTTTTTCTATGAACTTATAATGTCATTATAATGCGATTCAACTAAGAATAGGATCGACTGGGTGCCATTTTTTGATGTCAAAGCTGTTAATTGAAACAAAATTGGTAGAGTGAGCAATAAAAGTTCTTCTTCGATAAAACTTATTTCCTAAGATTAAGTGAGAAAAAACATCAGGTTTTTTTAAAATAAAACTTATTTGCTAAGATTAAGTGAAAAAAACATCAGATTTTATTAATAAAAATTATTTACTAAGATTGAGAAAAAAAAACAACGATTTTTAATAACATTTATGACTGTGTGAGTAAAAATATTAATCGGAATCTAGCTCTTCAATTCCGCTCAGCTCTGCATAACTACCGAAGTTGTCATCGTCGTCATGTTTGTTTACAAATGTTTGGTTTTTTTATTCTAGAATTAGCTGAGTGCTAAAAAATAGTTCCAAGATTTTTTGCAAACCGTACTTTTCAAGCGTCATTTGACAGATGATGATAGAAAGATTTTCCTATTCTTATTTGAATCGCATTATACTAAATGACATTTAAAATGTATGCTCTATAGATGGTGTATAGGTGTACTTAATAATGCATCTATAGAAATAAACCCCCTTTTGGGGTCAAAAAGTATGTGCTAATAAGATAAATAACTCCACGCGTACGAAGTCGGGGGCGGCCGCTAGTACATATAATAAAATTGGAAAGGCAAAACTGTACATTGAATATTTTTTTAAAAGAATACTTGGAGTGTGATCTACATTCGATACCGCAGCTAAAAATATAGTTTTTTAGAATTTTTGTCTGTTTGTCTGTATGTATGTCCGGGATAAACTCAAAAAGTAGTGCATGGATTTACTTCAAATATTGGCACGAATATTATTAAGAAGTCTACATATTATCACGCTATCACCTACGATATAAAAGTTTAGATGAACAAAATTTTCTCGAATTGATTTTATTAATAATAATAATAATATAATATTATAATAATAACAATAATTTTAGTTATTTAGATTTTCACATTATAAATACCACTAGTTTTTCACGGGTTAATGCACGAAACTTTATTTATTTATTGACGTTTCGCAGCCTTTACAGGCTGCTTCGTCGGAATAAATTTTTTATTTAATTTTGTCGAGCTACCTTCGAAAGACTTTTATTGAGCGTTCAGTTATTTCTGCTTCGCTGCGAAACGTCAATAAATAAATAAAGTTTCGTGCATTAACCCGTGAAAAACTAGTTTTATTTAATGAGTGATGTGCATGAAAACCTAAGAAACAAATATTATAAATACCAGTACTAACGTAATTATGTAAATTGTGTTATAAGTTCATAGAAAAAGTATTAAAGGAAAATTTTATCTTATATTTTATCGCATTTAAATACACGCTTGCTTTTTATAAAAAGATTTTTATTTCTATTATTTCTTTTTCTTTTAAATTATCGATGGACATAATCGAGAACTTCAAAAACCCCATATTCCCAGCTAATCTTTCATTTGATACCCATATTGTTCGATAGAATAGAAACCTTAGTCTGCCATGTTTTTAAGTCCGCCATATTGGATTTAAGGTAACATCACCTTATTTTTCTAGTTACTCTCATAAAGCCCTTTCATTTAATACCCATATTGTAGGAGTGCATCAAAAATAACTAGTTCGCCATCTTGTATGTTCCGCCATATTGGATGTAGAGTGACATACTGTACCCCTAGCACGAACCATTATCGAATACGAATAGTTTGCAAACCGAAATGTCAATGTCAAATTTTGTATGGAAACTTGAACAGCAGCGGCACAAAGTACGTAACGAGAACTAAAAATCAGTACACATTCAAATGTGTACCTCATGTCATTGTGAAATGTCATTGTCAACAATGACATTTCGGACTCGCAAACGATACGAATTCGATATTGGTTCGTGCTAAGGGTACTGCTCATCATGCATTGTCATCTATATACTTATAATAAATCTGTAGAGAGGTCAATTCTGTACATGAAATATATTTTCAAAATAATTATCAGGGGGTGATTAATGATCGATACTGATGCCAAAAATGCAATCAGTAAAATTTTTGTCTGTCTGTCTGTCTGTCTTACTGTGTGTATGTTCCTTATAGAAATAAAAACTACTCGACGGATTTTAACGAAACTTGGTACAATTATTCTTCGTACTCCTGGGCAGGTTAGAGTATAGTTTTCATCACGCTACAATCAATAGGAGCAGAGTAGTGAAGGGAAATGTTGGGAAAACGGGAGAAGTTACTCCATTTTTTAAGCTTCCGTCGCGTGTGCAGCCTTAATGGTTAAAGTTACATAGAAATTATGTATGACGGAAATATTCTACATAAAATTGTCTAAAAAATATTTCGCAACAGCATATGTCTATCTTTTATGGTTGACTCACAATAACACGTGTAACTCCTGATAGCTTAGCAGTTCGGAGCATTCTGATTATATTTGTTTACTCTTACGTTTATAATACTCTCACTCATCCCTAATTTAAAAAAGTTAACATTATTACCTATTCAATAAAAAGAGAATCATAGAAATCGGTATAGAAACACCAAACTTATACATGAAATAAGCCATCGCGCCGTCGCACGTGAATACTGAATCATGCTATAAGGATTATTTTTGTGTATCGGTTGCCGCGCTCGACAGGGGTCGCGGCGGCGGTAGGGTATAAAAAGGCGGGAGGTCCGAAAGCGAGCTTCCCCGCCCCCCCGATCCTGAGAGACCTTCAGTCGCTTTGTCCTAAACCGATACGGATGCACATCAGAGTGCATCCGTCCTCTAAGCGCACTATGCAGTAGTATTTACTAAGGCAGCGCTGCATCATCCCCTTCTCAGGGGTTGATCGCATCAGATAAAGCCTGTATGGCTCCTAAGGTCATAGGCATCCCCCACGGGTGTGTTTTAGTCAGTAAGAGTCTGACATAACCCTACAGCCGGCTGTAGGGTATCCATGAGGATTTCACACCCGCCCGCCTGGGAGGAAACAATAAAAAAAACCGGGCTTCATTCAATATTTGGCTGTTGATGCGTTCAGAGCGTTCGACCTTATTGACAGACAATAATTGATATTAAGAAACCGTGCTTATCTTAGAATAAAAACCAAACATTTGTAAACAAAATTATCAAATAAATCATGTAAAACGTGTAGAAAATGAGTACTGGAAAACGGAAATATGAGAATTTTAGTTTGATTATAATTACAAGTAATAAACATGACCGTTTTTATCTAAACTGTAGTCTACACTTCAGCTCTACACCGAAGCGAAGCGAGGGCGGACCGCTAGTCCAAACTAAACGTGTGTGTAAAATTTCAGCTCAAACGAATGAAAACTGCTTCAAAATTGAGTTGCAAGATTCCAAGTTAAATAAAAGCTTTAAATCTATAATATAAAACTGAATCGCTGAATGTGTTGCTAAGCGCAAATCTCGAGAACAGCTGAACCGATTTCGATAATTCTTTTTTTAGAATATTCTTGAAGTACGAGGATGGTTCTTACGCAGAGAAAAATTAAAAATATTGCCTGAAAAAGTCCAAAAACAACACTTTTCTATACTCCCATACAAACGATTCGTAATAATACTTAAAAGTCAATTTGAACTTTAATACCATATCATAAATTTCAAATGTTAGTGGAGTGGTTCCAGGAGGGCAAAGAAATTGAGTGACGTGATTTCAATAGAAGTTTGGAAAAGGCAAATACATATACCATTTTCAGTTATTTTTGACGTGACAACGTCTTAAATTAGGTTGCGGCTGGGAGTCACTTATGAAAAAGTGTAACGCTCGGTAACGTTACGATGAGTCTCTCGTGTTAAGTTTAAGTTTACATGTACAATGTTTTAGTAAACAAAATATATTTCTATAGTTAAAATTTGTGCAATTCTTATTTTCATTCAATTCCTTGTTCCTATTGTGCAATTTAATTATATTCATATCAATAAATATTCTACCGAGAAAAAGACGTTGTCACGTAAAATCTTCGCCCGTAAAACCGACTTTACAGGCAACCATTTTTTTTTTTTATAATTATATGAAGAGTCATTTTAGTCCACTCTACGGCTCTACACCGAATCGAAGCGAGGGCGGGCCACTAGTAACAAAATAAATCTATGCTTAATTTTATAGAGAGCGTAAGAGAAATAAAGCTTTCCCTATATTTCTTTATCTTTAAAAGAGGTAGCATAGCTGATTTCTCACACGAATTGGAGCGCCCGTCTGGGGACGCAACCTTTACTTTGCAGAATATCAAAGTAAAATAACACTACCATTTGGTGGTGTTGTGTTTTTGACTGTGAGTAAGGTTTCCGGACTTCACAGAGCAGGGGATTGGCTCAGGGCAGGCAACGGTGCGAGTGATTTTTCTGGTACCGTAAGTATACCGTAAGTACATTTGACATTGGTTAGGTAGGCTAAGGTATTGTCGGCTATTAATAGTGACAGGTTAGAAGCTGATTAATTAAATCTATAAACCAACGTCTACTTTCTGTAACAGTTTCTGAAGATGCCCTGTCCATTCTTCGATGCGAAACTCAGTGTCATATTTTCATGATTACCTATCTCTTCAAGGTCAGCATGTTTATTTATCTAAACAAAACTTCTACACACAATTTTCAGTTAGTTATCCATTAAAAATTGTTTAAGTTAAACAAGTACATCAACATAATAATATTTTTGTGTGGAATTTCTCTCGCTTGTCGCGTCTTGCAACTCATGCATTATGTATTTCCTATGCTCAAAACTGTTTGCGATTCAGCGCTTGTCCCATGGAAGAGATTACAAGTTGTCACCATAAATAAAATTAGCATATTGGTTTATTCAGTGAACCTAAGTACTCATGGCTCGTCACTGTTACATAATTCGTTAGTTTTTTAAGATATATATTTGATAAGTGCTTCTTTTAAAAGTAATTAAGAAACTGTCGGTTTGGGCAACGACAGCGATTCTGCTTCCAGCGTCAGAGGTCTTGGTTCAGATCCTAGTTCGGCATTTGTGACAAATTCAAATATTTTATTGATTTTAGACACATGGTTGCACAAATACTTATTTATGTATGGATTATAATCTATTATATGTATAATTTCAGTAACTTTGGGACTAGACATTGGTATGAGTTGGCCGGAGTAAATTAATAAATTTGTTTAAATGGTTTATACAGTATCGGCCGACAAGGTCAATGGTGGAAACCACTTGACATCGATGACACGTTTATTTTCAGCTATAACCTGAAATGATAACCCTAAAACATTAAGTAAATATTCATCGCTGTACAACTGCAATGAATGCCACGAAGGCCATTACTTTTCACTGCTTCATAAAGAGTTTGGTATGGGAAATTCGTAATCAACAAGACAATTAAGGCCTTCTTCTGGCACATTTCAGAGCAGCCGTAGGTGGACATTACCGGCTTAATAGCGGATTAATGAGCATACATTCTCAAACCGGGTATCCAGGGTCCGGCCCGGACAATCCGGTAGCCGGAACGTGTGACAATTCACTGGATGAACATATATTAAACAAGGTATCTCTAACTCGCATTTATTTGATGTAGATAATAGTTTTTCTTCATGCGCATGTACACATGCACATCCGTGCATAATTTTATCCAACAGATGGTGAAAACCGCATGAAAATCTATACAATAGTTTAAGGAGCATTTCTGCCAAATATACCTGCCTATTTGACCTTCATCATCATCGGTAACGTGTATGTTACTGATGATGATAAAGTTAAGAGCATGGCATATACCAGCCAGAGTAATGATAGCGCCGGCGACGATGCACACAGGGCGCAGCACGCGGTAGTTGCCCGTGAACGCTATGCGCGCCGCGTAGTGATCCGGCTCTAAGTTCTATTACAAGTGCGATATATAGCTATCAGTAACAAACACAAGTTGCACATACCGGCCAGAGTCATGATAGCGCCGGCAACGATGCACACGGGGCCCAGCACGCGGGAGTTACCCGTGAACGCGATGCGTGCTGCGTAGTGATCCGGCTCTTCGTTCTCACCACAACCGCGGTACGATGCCGCTGTAATACATAACAATCGTGTTACTCCGTGATCATGGCGCTTGCAACAGTGCCGAAATATCGGAGACTCATAAAAAACAAGGTACATGGTAACAATCCCGTTAATAGCTTTAATACTATAATCCTGTTAGTGCTATATAAATGAACCTTCCAACCATGATCAAACTCAATGGCGCAGCGGTAATAATGGCGTGAATGGTGTAATTTGGTAAGTGCATGGGGTTACTACTTAATGTGGAAGGAAGGCAAAGTAAACAACAGTGTGTGATCGGATGGGTGACCATACGATGTAATCTTGAGTTCCCGGGCTTTGAAACGTACGTAGGTACACTTAGCTGCGAGCAGCTTTTGGAATCATCAACACCCGCAATCCGTCTTGTGTCCGCTGGTGTACGGCTTTGTAGTACTTAAGCTACATGACCGAAGTGTTCCCCATGTCACCGCGACAAAGGGTAAATAAAGCATAACCTATCAAGCAAAACGCAGAGTTAGTAAGCAGTAGGTACCAGTTAGTACGCAGTCGACGAGCATGAACAGACACCTTATTATGGACAGCATGATCTGGCAGTTGACTGTGACCACCACGCCCGCGACCGCCACCGTCTGCACTAACTCCAGAGCCGCCATAAAGTTTGAATCTCATTGTAGTAAGTACCAGTTAGGACGCAGCCGACGAGCATGAACAGACACCTTATTATGGACAGCACGATCTGGCATTTGGCGGCGAACACCAGACCCGCGCTCGCTGGCCGTCTGCGCGAATTTCATAGCGGCCATAGAATCTCATTGTAGTAAGTACCAGTTAGGACGCAGCCGACGAGCATGAATAGGAACCCGAATATGGGCAGCACGATCTGGCAGTTGGCTGCGACCACCACGCCCGCGACGGCCAGCCCGCCTTCCACCTTTTCCACTCGCAACCGGGAGATCGCCGGCGGACATCTTGGCTTCCCCACCGGCACTCGCACCAACGGCTCGCCGGGCGGCGACGTCGTCCTGTAGACAAGGTAAATATATGTTACAGCGATTTAACATTATTATAAGACTACTAACAGACAAAACAAGAAAAGATCTCTCCTAGTAATGACGAGAGAATATACTATATATCTCTGTCTCTTATAGAAACGGGTTAGTGGAGTGCTCTCTTTATCGTAGTCATTTATTAAAGACAAGGTAGGCAATACCTCGCTATTTAATAAGACAAAGCTTGTCCATCCTTAAAATCCATAATTATGTCACAATATTTCTGATTTCAAAATGTTGAAGTTAGTGTTTTCGTCTAGACCCGTACTATTTACTAAAACAATCTTCGGTGATGGGGTAGCGCGGTACCAAAATATCACTACAAAATTTTCAGGGCCCTTCGATTGACATTTGCATGCAACACTACACTAGCTTAGCACGGCGTTAGTCAGAACTATTTTTTTATTGTTTTCCATGTATTTTTGGTACTCAGCACATACAAACAACGCTGAGTTCGCCTCTCTTTGAACTTGCTGGGTGTATGGAGGCGCATTCAGCACACAAGATATGGCTATTTTCTCATGCAACATTGCAATCCAACACAGACACTAACGACGTACATACATACATATTATCTAAATTTAAACAAACTGATCAAAAAAATCTAAGCAACATTTTGTACAGTTTGGAACTTTTTAACAATTTCTACTATTAGAAAAAAATCGAAAAGTTTGCATTTTTTAATCACCCAATTACATTTTCGAGAGCAAAAAAGTTTCTACACAAATCTGCTTTGTTAAAAAAGACACCAATTATTAACACAAAATTTGTGATGTGTGTAGTTAAATAAAAAAAATCGTTGATATTACACTAGTATAACAATAAATGTAAGAAAGCAATAACCAAATAAGTCCACTTAAATATTTTGAACCTTTTAACCAAATGGAAACAAAATCAACATCGTACCAACTTTGAAAAACGAGAGAACAGAAATTCTTTGATCTACGATACATTCAGCTTCAAGTGCCACTCAGTGGAAGATATCGATTACGCGGTCATTACAGGGAAACTGAAATATGATAATCTTTACTCATTTTGTTACCAAGAGACTGGGCGATACAGCTACATAGCTACGGCACGGTAATACGGTAAGCTTTAATAACATTTAACACTTTCCATTTGAACCCGGTATGAACAGTATAAAATAACAAACCAACAGTTATTTCCTTTCGACTCGAACATTACACTTAATAGTTAAGGACTTACTCACGACAGATAAATAATTATTTTCGGTAGTAGGTAATATTTGTTTCTTAATTAAGACGGGCAAACCTATTACCTAAGTATCTATTTATATAAAAAGTTCTCTTACTTCAATGTTACGTAACGTAATCCTAATGAATAATTCAAAGTTCTAAAAGAAAATGATTTTATAATACCATTGTACGGTACGTTGCGTTATCTTGAAAAGCATATCTAATTATTTTCTTCTCAATACTGAGTTAATTAACAAAAGTTTTCTTGAGATATTTCTTCGTTCATTAGGGAATTTCTACAGGTACGTTTGTACAGTGTCTATTTAGAATGCTAATTACTAAAATGACACTGTTGGCGCAGAGTGATTTGCCAATAATATCTTGGCTGCGTCTCCAGGGTTCAAGCGGGTCCGTGATACAGATATAATAACTGTTCCAATTGTACTCTCATTATCAGGACAGGAAATTACCATTATAGATTATTTATTTGAAAAACTGACATTTCTTTTAACTCTTTGGTAATGAAATATTTTGATAACATCATTTGCGATTTTATTAGAGCGATAAATTATGTAGATCTATTTTTTTATATTTATGTAGGATACATAATGTTGGATGTAAATATAGTTTATCATTGTGTTTTATTAAACAAAATGCTTTTTCCTTCTTAATTTTAGCGTAGTCTTTATCTAATTTGTGTATTATATAATATGCAAATAACAATAACGACTAATAAACGTAATTCTGAACGCAAATTTATCCAGTAGACCGGTCAATCGAATAAAATCAGCGAGGCAGTGCAATAAACGCCTCATAAAATCATCAAAGATGCACTGGAAAGCCACGAGAAAACTCGTTTATGTCAAACAGACCGTAAAGAAAAAGAACAGTGTTAACATTTTTTGAGATATTTTTACTTTTACATTCCATTAAATACTTTTTGATTGCGAAAGTTTAATCTTACTCAGCATTTGACCTTTTTACGAGCATACCAAAAATGTTATAGGAAATCACCGAAGGCATTCATAACAATTCAGGGTATTGACTTATTTAATGATCGAGTTTTAATTTGTGATACATTCTATTTCAAATTTTAATAATTAAAAAAATACCAAAGTAAAAAATGTACCTAAATTCTTTTCCTTCCTTTTATCATCAATTATTCTTTTCTATCATGATTATTCCTCACTGAAGTTTTTTTTTAATAAAGATATTAGTAACAAATAATTAAAATATAAGAAACATGACTGCTGTTAAAAAAATAACTAATAAGTAAAGAATATTTATAATTTTTATTTTATAACTATTTAAGTCCTCCTATGTTACCCGGGATGGTGAAAGGATACTAACGACACCACATACATCTAAATCGATTTAGGTGTTTAGAAGTTATGGTGGAATAAAGAATTGTACATAAATACATACATTTACACATTTTTTTTGGACAGTCGTGTAAAAAGTAAGCCAATATTCGGATAATTGTAATAAGATTTTAGCCCAATTAGTCACACAAGTAACATTATATACCAAATCGTCACGTGGAATTAGGTTGAGGGAAAACGTATACAAAGGGAGGCTCTGCCACAAATCCACAATAGTCTATAGTCTGCGAATCACGTGCGTGAGGTTAATAAACATTGTGGGCCGAGCCTAAAGACGCGCACTCATTGACAGCTCAAACTAGTAATGTAAGATCAGCTATGGTTAGACAAAAATAGCAATATCATAGTTATAAATATTTTAGCTTTAAGTTCAACAGCGTGTACATATCCAATCGTTACATTATTATTATTATAAGTTATTGCTAGCTCTGTAGTCTACGCGTTCACTGTTATTATTTTAATTTTACTAGTTTTTTATAGTGCGATTCAAAATTAATTAATGGCGGCAGGGAAGTTAGCTCAAGTCGCAAGTAAGCAGAATGTAGAAGGTGCCTGCGGGTGTTGCTGAACTGAAACCTGCTAACTTCACAACCGCCCGAAAGTTTGTATCGCATTATAACCAGCTGTATAGGTACATAGGTAATAAATAGCTCTCACTACAACCGGGCTCTTATGGTCACATAACAATGTAGTTTTTTTTTGTCCTCACGGAAACTTTTAGCGAATACTTCTTGTGCTGCGTTTCCACCTAATGCTCAGAACAATTCCGAGCGAGCAAGCATTTATTAGTTCGCTTTTCACTTGGTAAATGGAATGGTCAAACAATGTTGCGTTGTTTCCATTGACGACTGAGCAATAGCGCATTCAGCCCCTGAGTCCAATTAAACAGCGTTGTTTTTCTGTGCTAGCTAGCTGCATAGCATATTTTTCGTGAGTTTTTAATTTGCCCAATTCTGAGTGTCCACATAAGCTCAGAACAGTTCTGAGTCCGAACGAGTTTGTCCCTCGCTCTGATGTTTCCATTTACCCAGCGAGAAATTTTTTGTTCGTACAGAGATGAGTTCAGAATTCACAAAAAGATGTTATGCAGTTACTAGGTAGCACAGAAAAATTAAACGTTTTTCGTATTACCTACCTACTTATTATGTTACTTTTCCGTAGAAAGTGTTCATTGTACGAAAATTGGATTTAGTTTAGACTTTTTTTAATATCGGTTTTTACTATATTTTGTTATTATATAAATTTACTTTTATGTAAATGCTTTCATCCATCCATATTATAGATTCACGACTATCTGTAATAATATTTTCTAAAACATTAAACAAATAAGTTGTCATATAGAAGCTTTCTTTATATTGTGCATCAAAGGAAAAAATATTGAATAAATCAGTATTTTTTAGATGTGACTAACTGAAATACTATTGCGAGTTCGTTGGTGAGAGATTAACAGACTGCCAGTGTCTGCGTACGACGTTCAAACAGATAATGTGTAGTTGGCGACATGTCTGTATCTGTCTGATCAGATTTATTGAGCAGCCGACACGTGCTACAGAACGTGCGGCCTGAAGATAGGCGGCAGTCAGCACGCGTTTACTAAGTGTTTTTGGCATTACATAGTTGCTAACTTCTAACATGAACGTAGACGTATAAACAGCCACGTGCTCTATAGTTGGGGACCTGCCTAAGGTCGAATATCGGATATCAAATAGACACTTTCAGAGTTATTATTTCAACTGAATTGATAAATGCATTATGCTCTGCACTGCATACTATGTCAGCAGACGCGACTTAGCGACTGTTCTGAAAATTTAAAATAAAATGATACCGAGATATTCAGTTCTAACTATCCTAAAGGTTTTTTCTTTATATTTCAACGCAATATTTATCTGGAGATTTTGAGTAATACACACCACATTTCAATTAAAAAAACAACTATGTTGTCCACCACCAAGTCTGTGGAGAATAATTTAGTTTTGAGACCTATTGAAAAATCTTTACATGCTGATACATAATTGGCTTGATTATCGCCGTCGCTAATAAAACTTTAAATTTCTGTCCGGTTCTCTTTGTTTCCGCACCTCACTGCTGTGTCATAAGTTAAATGGTTTATAATCATGTAGTTTAATTTTTGAAGTTCATTGCCAGTACAAATTTGTTCTTTTGTCTTACTTATAAAATAATTTATTGAATTCAAAGAAGATCATAAAATAGTGAAAGTAGTTGTCTGCGTTCCTTTATTGTCGCATTTCCTGTAACATGCTCTATTTCTATAAGAAGATGTAGAATAAAGCACTGATAATAATGACTACTTTGTTTTATTGTTAACAATCACAAGAAGCCAGACTTAATGCAACCGGTGCGCACGCCCTGCCAGAGTGAATACTTTTATCCGGGC